GTATCCACTGTAGCCACCCCGTGCCCTTACCAGCATTTAACCTAGCTCAGTCACCAAAGGAAGCGGAATGAAATGACTTGCATTGTTATAATATTTTATCATGTCAAAATGTTACTTCATGAGTAATGCCAAGTGTAGTAACTTTTTGTACATAAATGCAGCAGCATTTGAGCCTATAAACAACCTAATAATTCTGTCCGGAACTGAGGTAAAATATTTACAAACACTGGTCTCGTTGTATATTTTAATTGGACAATTTTTAAAAGGTTTGAGTATTATCCAGTTAATTGTAGAGTTGCACATGGAATGAATATTTCAACCTAGTGCTGAATATTTTGTTTTCCCCTGATGGTGCACAGAATGGATGCTAAAGAAGCCAAACTATTTAATGAAGGCAGAAGATCGTTAGCTTTACAAATATTCGAGCTTTCAATTCTGGGAAGTGTGATTGCTGATCTTTGCTTTTCATTCTGGGTTTTCTGCCAATTACAAAGTCAAAATATAAAGGTATAGAGGTCAACTTGTTGTTGTAGAAAAGTGTACCCTCTTAACACAGGGAACCATCACAGAGTGCTGTGGGTCAGTCACCTTGCTTTGGTGAAAGACTATGTATGTGATTGACATGCATTATCTCTAAAGGATGGTGATCTTTGGGCAACCTCAGTTCCTTAGTGTCCACTGCCTGACAAAGTCTTTTGGCTTTTTCTAAGAATATATGAATCTATCAAAAATATTTTTCATAGATGGTATAGCTTAGAAACGGGGCATTAGGCCCATCCAGTCTGGCTGGTGTTTATACTCCACTTGAGTACCTACCTAGGTCCTCTCTCTGTCCTTTTTCCCCCATATCCCTCAAATTATTCTCTTAACCAGCTTTTAAATTGCCTGTGGCTTTGAAGAGGTCTGAGGAATTGGTGCAAAGTAATGCCTTTAGCAATGCCGCTGATCTGTTTAAACTTGCTATTTCGCATTACTGTCTGTTCTTTAAAGCTTCCTCCAGAAATGCTGCATAATGTCCCCTCATGCAGTGGAGGACAAGGAAAGAACTTACGGTATCCATTGGAGAAATATTCAGTTGTTTAGTGCCTTTAATGTAGGATGAACATCTCAAAAGTGCTACCCAGAGGCAATGGGGATCCTTGAGCAGGAAGGAAAGGAGGAAAACCTAGGATTGACACCCAACAGCAGTGAAATGATGGAATATGGAATGAATGGTTTCACAGAACGTCCTTTAACTTGATAACTGGAAAGAAGCAGAGCTGTAAAACAAGAGGAATCGCTTGCTTGTTAGCCACATCTACTATTGGTCTTCTAAGAGGCTGCCGAGTGAATACTTGCAGTGAGTATTTTATTGAATTTTAAACACCCAGGTTCAAATAAACCTATCAATTTGCAGTGGGAGATCACGGCTGCATGTGGAACTGTTACTTATGAGTGAATCATTGCATTCAGGAGGAGGTGTGTGTTGGGGGAGGGATAAGGGTGGTCCCTGGTGGAACTCAGAAGTACATCACTGTAACTGTGAACTGGATGAATGCTGAAAATTATTTAATGAGAAACCCGCAAGTGCCGAAGTCATCATTTTAGATCACTTTTTTGATCTCTCTCCTACCTCTCCACCATTTCACCAGTATTGCAGGATTTATCACGGTACCGTCACTCGACATATCAGCCAACACTTTTTCTATAGCTTCTTGACAGAAATACTGCTTCTCATCAACAGCCTCCCAGCTGATTCCATCTCATGTCCCTTACAAACTGGACTCTTGCCCTTCTGTGCCCCAAATTCCACAAACATGCAGTGAGTGACCCAGTCCAGCAATACTGAAGTGCACACTTTACCCAAATCTTTTGAGAGGAGGGCTATGTTACAACTTGGACCAGCAAATTGTATAGTAAATTCAACACCAGTTTGAGTGGTTACATTTCCTTGTAAGGGAAGTGGATAAACATGATCTAATGGTAGATTCATAGTCTATTGGTGTTGGATTTGCATGGAGATCTTGGCTTTGTTGAGTTGGCCATGTGTGGGCAGAGATCAAAGGAATGTGGGATCATTGGGCAAAAGAATTTGGCAAAAATAAGCGTTGAGGCTGATGGTGAAAATGTACTCTTTACCCCCCCACCCCACCTCTATTGGAATTTCCCGTAAAGTTTAAAACGCTACCTGCTGACTTGGATTATTGGTTTTGGGCTGACTAAATATTTAAATAGCGACTGCAACACATAAAAGCAGCTCTCAAAGTAGAGCAACATGCTAGCAGAAGCGAAAATTACTGTATTGGAAGAATTCATTGTGCGGAGGACAATTCAAATAGGCTTCCGGTTGATGCAATGTTACGAGCTGCTTCACAATTTTCGGCTGTAATGAAATATACCCGACAGTCAGATTATTTTTCATTCAGTATGAGATAATCTCTGGTCTCTATGGTTCACTTTCTGGGAGTATTCTATATAGTGTATATGTCTGGCTAGACCTTAAATTAGATTACCTTTCCATTAATCTTCTCGTTAAAGGGAAATTGTGCTTTAAGAAGCAAAATCAAATTAAAAAATTGGTCTAGATGCTTCCTGATTTTTGACTGTTTCAAGCATTTTAGCAATTTATTTCTATTATGTTAAAGCAATGAGTTTAGGGTCATTTAGTTTTTACCAGCGATGCAGTTGAAGTCACATAGCATGTACAATGTTTTTGATCTATGTAATGACTGCAGTGTTGATATATTGTCTTCATTTAATATTTGTAAAATAAAACATTACAAATGTCCAGAAAATCTAGACTTGGCCAGGAACAAGGATTTGTATTATTCTATACTGTCAATACTTCCATTGCTCATGTTATAAATGTTGTTCGGTGGGGGGGGGGTCATTGGCAAAGATCATCTTCCAGTATGAAAGATTGTGGAAGTGAAAATAGGAGGTGCACGTATTTCAAGAAGAGAAATTGTCGTAAATAAAAGAGACACTGATGATTTTCAGTGGTCGTGTTGAAGATGTGCAGTATTCAGGTCAGGTTACACCTGGAATACTGCAGGGTTGTTCCAAGTTAAGAGGGTCTATCTATCCAAGCCACGACGAATGTCAGTGTTGCTGCTCTCCAGTGTTATAGGTATGATGAGATCAGCTGGAACTCTTCAGCTTCAAAGAAAGACCTTTCAGAAAGAACTTTATGGAAATTATTAAAATATTTAATGTGATAAATTGTAGCTACTAAGTACATTGAATTGCCTTTGAGTTGACGATATGAACTAGAAGAGGTAATAGCTTAGCAGTGTCATACATTACCAAATTATGTACAGATCTTCTTGTATTGGTCTACGTTATTGACATTGGTCTAGGTTACTGACAACTTTTAGTCCTGTGATCCAAACAACTCCCACAATTTCAAGGAAATCCATACATAATATTTATACAAAAAGCTGTGTAATTCCTTTGAGATCTGTAATATTGTGCAGTCTGGAATTGCCTTGACTAATTTCCACGCAGCTTTAACCGTGTCCTCATATAAAGAGGAACTGGAAAAACCTGACTTGTCATTGCAACGTAGCCCGATTCTGATTATATACCGCGTGCACCGTGCTGCTTTTATTAGAGATGTTGTCTGGTATTCGTATCAAAAGTTAGAATTTTTAAGGAGCCCTTCATTTTAAAAATAATTCCATGCATAGGTGACATGCAAATGTGGAACTCTCAGCCAGGTTTGGATATTGTTAAGCTTGGTGATTGATTTTGTCGTGGGTCAGACACCTGGCTGACTAAAAAAATAACTGAAGCACCTTCATGTGTGCCTTAGTGCAGACTATTGGTCCCCTCAAACTTCTGTGAATGGCAATCCAATTGAATCTGACTGTTCTAAGCATGCTAGACTTCCTCATCACATTCAAACTAGAGCTAATGTATGATTTATCCATTATTTATTTTCAGATGTGCTTGGACAATGTGTTTTTGGAGCCAAGTGACATAAACATTCCAAGTTCTTAGTGTGTTTGAGGGTTTACTTTTAATACTCCTTTAGTAATCCCAGTACAGTTAGCTCAATTGACTATAATGCTTCGAAGAGATGATGTACCAACGTGCACACAATATTGGGGCGAACCTCCAGCTATATAACCAGAAGCTTGCTTAATTCTAAATGCTTGATATTTCATATTCTGTATGAGCTTTAACCGAGTTGCATGATAATCCTCAAATCATCTTCTTGTTTGCAGATTGGACCCTGTTACTGCTAACTCCTAATCTTTCTTTCAAAGAACTCGCCCACATGTTTATGGAAATTCTAGACATTTTTTGTATTAAAAAGCTGCATAATTCCTTTGAAATCTGTCATGCTCTGCTGGCTGAGTTGCCAGCACTAATTGACATGCAATTTTAACCGTATCCTCATTTAAAGATGAGCTGGAAAAACACGACTACTGTTACAACATGGCCTAATTACGTTTCTCTATCATTTGCACCTTGATGTTTTTGTGCTTTTTTTGCATGGAATAATATGACCAGCAATAATATCAGAAGTATGCAGTTTTAAGACTAAGCACTTGGTAGGTTTTACTGTGATTTTCTGAGCTTCTTAGATGTTTAAATGATGTACCAAAGACTATTGAAGCATTCATTGGGTAACAATACATTTTAACCAATAAATACAGTCTAGACTGTACAGATCTTTTTGTATTACAGGTAAGTAGTTCAATAGTTGCTCTGGGATTAGAATTGATTTTGATTTATGAGGATTATTATGAGCACGTATTAGTTGTACGGCAGTAGTAATTTTTGATGAGTGTCGGAATTAACATTGTTCTGGCCTGGCCTCGATCGTACAATAAAATGTATTTTGTTTGGGAAAAACATGGGAGGAGCACATTAGATCAACTTCCTCTTCTCTCTGGTGTTGGCGGCGAAACCAAGAAGATACAGTAATATGATACCAAGGAACTGAGTTTACTATTTCAGTCTTCAATGTTTAATCTTGTTATTCTGCTTTAATAGGACTCTTCTTTTCACAGGCCAGGTACAAGCAGAGTCTGGACCCCACAGTGGACGAAGTCAAAAAACTCTGCACATCTCTCAGGCGCAATGCCAAGGAAGAGCGGGTGCTTTTCCATTACAATGGACACGGCGTTCCAAGACCAACAATTAATGGCGAAATCTGGGTATTCAATAAGGTAACCAGTATTTTGTGCAGACACGCTTAGATTTTTTTCTGTTCCTGTTGCCATTAAATCCATATCACAATGTGCAGGAAGTGGTTTGCACAGCACTCAGACCCTAGCTTATTAAAAACTAGGCAATATTAGAAGTTGGTCTAATTTATATGTAGGTTTTGAGTGTCTAGATCTCACATTGCAGGCTGAGATGCGTTTCAGAATTCTGGTGGTTTGTGGCTAATTGCCCGTAAAATCCGCAAACATTTATATCCTTTTGCATGATCTAAGGGATCACCCTCAAGCACACCAGGGAACTTGATGTAGCTTAAGAAATGGATCCATCAAGAAGGAGTTTTTACATTTTTAACCTGCAAAGCTTTTCAGGCAATTTTGTACAATATTTTGCTGTTATTTTCTGACAGTGTAACCAGTGGTATAATACATTGGCCTTGTGTTGTCCACCCTGGTATAGAATAGTGTGCAGCGTAAGGAAAAAATCAAATGCATACAGTAGAACCCCATTATAAAGCAAGTTTGATTATTGTGTGTATTGGGGACCCTAACATTTACTGATCCAAAAAATGCACATATCCTACCTCTGTTGGCACTTTGCTAGCTTCATCAGTACTATCCTTAGCTGGCAAATGCCAAACTGGCTGACTTCTGGAGCATCAGGTTGTTATTGATATCAGTGTGCAGGAAGTGGCAGTGACCTCGTGATCGAATGGTGGACATCTGGGTCATCAAGTTGCCACTAACTCCACTTCCTGCTCTCTGCAAAATTAGCCATTTTGGCTTCCCATGTGCTGGCTGGGGTTTTATTCTTATCTGTGGCAAACTGAAGTGTTGACCAGTGATTGTGCTACCATTGATTGGGATTTTATGGTTGCCTGGGAGCATTTGTTGGATTCAAATCCAACACAACAGATTTTGTAATCCAGTTAGCTACCAGTTTAAAATTTGATTCAGATATTCAGAATTTTAAAAAAATATATTGCCACAGTGGTTTTGAACAACTGTGTTTTCAAAGTCACCCGGTGAATGGATGATTGTAATGCTTAATCCATTCACATTGTTTAAGAGGAGCTTAATGGCTAAAACCTGAAAGATATTGCAACATGTTTAGGAAAATATAAAGAGGTAGGGCTGGGTGTTTGTCTAATACTTCACCAGTTATGTAGTTATGATTTGGTTTGAATTCACTGCAAAAATGCACTGTTTTAGAGGCCTGTTATGAAAGTAGATGTTCTAAAATAAAAAAGACAAGCAGTGTTTTATATGGGGTTTAGGTAACCAGAGTTTCTGTTAGCTGACCAACTATTAGAGAATCTACAGTGAATCACATACATTTCTCAGAAGCCAGGGTGACATAGGGTTTTTCATGCAGCAAATGTTTGAAGATTATGTCTTTGTTTCAATGAATGAAAAAGTGCATGTTTAATCTTTAAGATTTGGTGTTCTATTTATCCTTCTGTTAAAAATATTGGCTCACCTGGTCAAACTACCGTAAATTGATCCCAAAATCATTAAAATGCAATCTGTTGAGGGACAATGTTTTGGGGGATTTTCTAACAATTATTCTCAGCCTTTTTTTAATCTATGTTACGCAATGGTAGGTTTCCAAATGTTTGCCTAAAGCAATATTCTCTTTTATTAGAGTAATTCAACTATGAAGCAACGTTTTTTTTGTGTCACAATCTATAATTGCCAATGTATTAGTAAAACCAATATGAAATCACTTTTATATCTAAAGTTAAAGATGTTGCAATTACTTTTCTGTCTGTTAGTTACACAACCACATTTGTGGTGTTTGCTTTGATACTGACATACTCGAGTTGTTAAATTTTTTTTTAGATTAATCGCCTACAGGATGGTTGGAGTGTGGGGGGGGGGTGGGGTGGGAAGATTTTCTAGATGTTACGTGTAATGCATCTGCTCTAAAGGGTACGGTGACAAATGAGAAAAGCTATTAAAGTTATAGTAATATTACCTTGGACATACTGTTGCAGTCGATAGTTATTGTCAAGTCGTCTGGTTTGCCCAATGAGAGAGTGGGATTTGTCTAGCATCTAATAGGTTTGTAATGCATTTGTAAAGTTGCACTGCAAATGATGGGCAGCCTCTAATTCATTTCTCTCTCATTCCAGAATTATACCCAGTATATTCCTCTTTCGATTTATGACCTTCAGACCTGGATGGGGAGCCCCTCTATATTTGTCTACGACTGCTCAAATGCCGGAATCATAGTGAAGTCATTTAAACAGTTTGCATTGCAGAGAGAGCAGGAGTTAGAGGTATGTTTGTGTTCCTCCTTTCTTCCACCCCCAAACTAACAATTTGGCATGTTTGATATCTGCTACAAATATTTTAATATTTGTCTGTGAAATTGTATTACAATAAAATGTGTAATCCACCTTTGCCCCTCAAATCATCATTTTCCATCATTGTGCCTTTATCCAGAAAATAGAGAGCTTAGCTTAGCTCTCAGTTTAATTATAATTGACCTTTGCGAAAGTATCTTTTAATGTGGTGTTAGCTCTAAATTTGCTATCTTTATTATTTCCAGTTTTCTCTTTGAAGATTGGGAATGCTTAGAAACCTGTTGTGTAGATATTGTTTGACCACTTGACCTGAAGACCATTAGATTTAAAATCATGATCATAACAATCCAGTTCGGGGCCTGTTTCCAGTATCTATGCTGTCTCTAGAGCAAAACCCTCATTTGATAGATGTTGCAATTATTTTCCTTGCTCTCTCTCTTTCTCGCTCTCTCGCTGTCTGTTAGATTTATAATTTCTAATCCATGCACACAGTCAAATTCTTTGGGGAGAATGTTTTAACAGAGCGTGCTAACTCCTCTGACTGAGATAGGGTTAAATTAGGAATTTAAAGCTTAATGTGAACTTGTGTAGGCGTTTCATGATTATTAATCATCCCCTGAATGTCTGTGATGCCTGTGGAGGTAATATTGAAGTTTGATTACCTTGTATGTTTTGCTTACACACATCTGTTGTCGAAAAACAGCTACAGTATAACATCTGTCTCCAAATGGTGACTAACTACTCAGAACTGATCACTGAAGCAAATTTAGGCATACAAATGTAATGTTCAGAACAAAAGAAATATCTAATTAAAATTGCTCATTCCAGAATTATACCCAGTATATTCCTCTTTCGATTTATGACCTTCAGACCTGGAAAGGTTACATTTTCTAACTTTTGTAATAAGAACATTTGACACATCAAGAACTCATTTGAACTGTTTCAGAGCGATTTGCACAAAATCTCCCCTGTAGGACCACCAATTGAGACATTTCACTGAAAGAGTCGATGGATATTTTTAAATAATTTGCTGGTGAGAAAATGCCCATCAAACTGGAAACCAAATGGAAACTGCCCTCTGTGACTGGTCTGGCCCTTCGATGAGCCAGGCTAACTGATCTGTCATCAGTAGTGCCTTGGAGTACTGCATACCCACCGGCTTAAGAACCCAAACGATAGAGACCACCACAGAGGATCCACTTGATTCTATTCCATCGTGAGGCACGGCACCTTGGAGCTAGCTAAGCCCCAAGTAGAAAACGCAGCTTATCTCCACTCTTGCCTCCTCCCCCCACCATCAAGAGGATTCCTTAAAAACTATTTACACGATACAAAGTCAAGATTTCAATGAATCAGTCTGCGTTAATGAATGAATTCTGCTTCAGATTCCTTGTGTGGATCTGTGTAGTTACTTTAGGGAAAAGCTCGGGTGGAGGTGGGTCTCTTGTAGCCTTCAGATATTGTAATGAGTAACTTACCTTCATTGCCGAGCTGTTTACCAGTACTTTGATTAAATTGGACTCCCCACTGATTGCATTGTGAATGCACTAATTTTACCCGACAAGAGTGCAGATGTACTGCAAATGCGTGGCTTATCTAGGTCATCTCAAAATCCTAACCTAAATCTTTCTGATAGCTGAAATGCTTGCGTTATGACATGTAAAAACTGGAAACCCCCATATTGAATATCCAAGGATTTTTGTGCTTTCAACCTCTCATCCTTGAGACACATCTGTGAATATGAAACCCGCGGCCAGTCACGTCTGGGTGAAGACCAAAAGAGGATCAGTTGACGTGGTTGAGATGAAAGGCTTTCTGCCAAGCCTACAGGCAGCCATTTATGTCCCAAGTTATGCTCAGAGATGCTGATGGGGTTCCCCCCCAGCTGTTGTTCAAATTGCCTGTTGTTACTGTGAGATGATTCACCTGTAAGAAGGCAAAGAGCTAATTTCTTCTGGCTTCTTCATCCTGCTTCTTCTGGTTACCTTCAGGTGGTTTCAGTAGGCTTTGCTTTGTATGTGCTCCGCCACTGTCAAGCTCACTAGGACGCTACCCTGCGAGAGGGGCGCTACATAAATGCAAGTTGTTGTTGTTATGTGGTTCACCCTGGCAGTGATCAGGAAAAGAGGAAACGCATTTCTTTACTTTCCCACCCCCTTCCTGTTTTTCTTTGCTTCTTTTTTTGAACATTAAATGAGAAGCAGCCATACAAGATCCAATCCATTGGACATTTGTGTTCCTGGAGGTGAACTGAAATTTTCAGCGCAAAAGGATGCCATTCAGCCCATTGTGTCTTTCTAAATTGCCCTTTATTATTGATCCCACCTTCCAGCAATTTTCCTATATCTCTTTATGACTTCATTGCTGAGGTGCTTCTGTTGATCCAGCCTCTAAAGACGCTTATAATAAATTCCACTGCCTAATAACTCTGTGCATGAAGAAATTCCTTCTGATCTCATTGCTGTTAATGGACACCCATGTTCATTCTATGTACAAGACTGGACGGTTATGGGTTTGAAAACTGCTGTGTGCAGAGTGTCCTAATCGCAGTCAATGCGCATTCAGAGCTACAGTTGGCTCAGGGTCCTCAGGAGCCAGGAAGGGAAGAATTGGGCAGGGTTTTTGTTTCTGATTGCTATCCTGAGAACTCCGCTATAGAAATGAGTCAGTGAGGACTGGAATCTGCCGTCCCAATGAAGCCATAGCTCAGTATAAGAGGGAAAAAAACATGAGTCAATGCCTTCAGGATCCGAGAAAATTGAAGGAAATATTGACGGGCGGAAAAAAAATGGAATATTGATGTTTCATCCTTAAAGGCACAGGCTTTGAAGGGAGGCCAGATGGAGATTTGTTTTCAAAGGGGTCTTTCGAATTGATGCAAAAGTATTTTATTACTGGAAAAGGATGGAAAAATATGCAGTGGAAAACTTTTAATATCTCCCCCACCTCCCTGTATTACCGAAGTGGTCTAATTCATATGCCATTTCTGCAGCTTATTTCTACAGTCCAGTGATCAATTTGCTCAATAGTCATGAAATGTATGAGAAGTCCAATAGAATTTTATAAACAATTGATTTTTCCACCTTGCGTGCAACTCAGTGTACAAAAGGTTTCTTTGAAATAAAAGTTTCATCAATCCTATAATGAAAAAATGCTGCATGGATCATACCCCATTAGATTAGTCTAAGAAACATCCCACTCTCTCTTTCGCCTTCTCCTTCTCCCCCACCCCCCACCACCACCCAGGAAAAACACATGTTTGGTTGCTATTTCATTTTGCCTGTGGTCAAACAAAGACATTTCTGATTTTCTCAGAAGCGGTATCCGGCCAAAATGCTGCATATTTCATAGTTTTGGAAAATATTTTTCTGTAAATAAAACGTCCAAATGCTAAATTCTGCTGGGAAACATGAAGCCTCTGCCTCTTCTTGTATCGTTAATTGTGAACCTGAAGAACTAGTCTTCAGAGAAGACAGTTACAGCCAATTAAGCAGTTTTATTTTCTACCTCATTAATATTTACTTTGCATAGAAAATATAAGTTATTTTGCTGTTGGCGCCGAGTGCACAGTGGGATTCCATCGCCTGCTGATGGCAAAGGACAGCAGCAATGGAAATCAGTATAGTAAACAAGCCTTTCCAGGGGGAAATTTGGGGGAAAGAGAGCGAAATGAAGGGAGCCAACCTGTAAATAATTGTTTAACACCTAAGGTTTAGTCCAAGAGTCTCCAGGACCCAGGAGAGAGTATAACTAAGTTTGGCGATGCTGAATAATTAATACGTTGTATTTTGCTATGTTATGCTATGCTGCAAATATTGGTGCTGTCTGTGTAGCATTGTAGGCAGGGAGCTAGCGAGCTGCATCTCGTTACCTGCTCAAATCACTCTGATCGAGAAGGCGGAGCTCCAATGATATCCTGTGTCATTCAAATGCCTGCACACAGCAGTGGTGATTGGCCTGCGACTGCTGGTGTGATTTTTTTTAACAAAAAAAATTGAAAAGAGCTGATGACGCAGTTATTAAAATGTGCAGTGATGCAGCACAGATCAGCCCATTTGCAACACAGTATAACAAACAGTAACTTTATTTGGGAGGGGGAGAAAAGATAAGGCCGAGTATGCAAAGACTATTATCTGTAGCTGATGAGCATTCTTATTGGCATGTGACTGCCATTCCCAAAGCCGCTCACTAGTGTACATTTCCTTTTTTTTATTTTACACTGTCTTTGGTGGTGTTGATTCTCATTACAATTCTGCAGCAAGACCGACAGAGAGTTACATGAATACGCTGCACCCACACATGTAGATGAAAACCAGGGCAATAATAACATTTGTGGGATACGGGGAAAAGGGAGAGATTTAGTAATAGTGACGGCACCCTCTGGTCTGGGAATTTCTATGCGTCTCTGGCTGTGCACATTGTAGTTCCCGTGTTGTAACTTGCTAATACGACTCGTCAAATGGCTGTGTCATTAACCTGCCTTTGTTTTCTAAACCAATGTGCTGGAAATCGTACACGCAATTATATCTGTGCACAAAGGCAGTGAAGCGTCTCCTGTGAGCTGAAACATTTCAAAAAATATTCAAAGTGTGAGAGAAGGGAATGTGAAGAGGAAAACTCAAGAGCTGCCGTTTGTCTTGAATTCGCAAAATCATCCCTTTGGGGACAAATTCTAATGTCCAATGATTTGCTATTACAGTATTCCTCATTGTATACTTTTGTTTTACCATATCCTCCACATTGAAAGTCATATGATTAAGCTACACATGAACAGCTCATCCAGTGCTGGGAGTAGAATGGACTTTTCTGCTTCATTTTAGCATTTTTTCCCCCCCCCTAACGACACCGAGAGAGTCATAAAAAGAATTGCATTGCACTCTAGGAAGGGGAAAGTAGAATCGTTCCATTCAGTGTAATCCTTTCTGTGCGCTTAGTAAAACGCTCTGTGGTGTTTGCTAACTTCTACATGTTGAAAGCAAACGGAATTGAATGAAGTTAGCAGAATGAATGCATTGGGGATTCGGTTGGTTTCTAGAATAACTTTTTATTGAGTGTCAAAGGAGGTTCAATGTTGCAGGAATTTGTTGAGCAACACAGAAACAATGCTGCCGATACTGTGTGGATTGAGCACTACTTCCGTGGTTCAGCAATTTGGAGAACCACTTAGTCAATATACTTCCAGCCTCTACTGAGGACTGCAGCTGCTCCAGGAATGGAGCTCAATCATTTTCATTGTTGATTAAGTTGCAAATGTGCACAATGTTGTCAGATATTTTGTGGACTTGATGCTTATTGAACCCATTTGGTTAGATTCACTTCATGTTCATTCTCTGTAGTATAATAATAGTAATACTCCTTGCATTTGATATAGCACCTTATCACTTTGTCGAGTCATCTCAAAACTTCACAGGATCTACTGTAAAATTGTTTTTGACTGTGTCTTTTGTGGACGAAAATGTGAAGGAATTGTAAATAATTTTAGTCACGATGATCCAAGTACTACCATTGTGCTATGTCAACAATAACAACAATTTGGATTTATAAAGCGCCCTCCACGCCGGATGTTGTCTCAGAGTGCTTGTCTTGTTGCAGTTCCTACCATTTTGTAAGGATTTGTAAGGATGTTCTCTTGCCTTGTGTCTTTTATAGATACTTGGAAAAAAATGTTTAAAAATCTTTGTATCTTCTCATAAAATTCTATGGCACTTCAATTTGTTCCAATTTCCAGCAAAAATTCAGGCCAAAACCAGCACTCTGCTTAATAGGCAAATAAGCTGATTGATCAATATAGAAACATGAACAGCTGGGTTTTTGTGCGTTCTGCGTGACTTCTATTCAATAGATTAGAAAGTAGAGCAGAGGACCACCTTGTTGTAATTAATTTGCATGACATTCATTGAGATTAAAAGAGTAACCCTTGTCTGACATGTTCATGGATCAGATTGCTCACTTCAAACACCGTATAATTTATAATACGCTTTCTGACCTCATTTCAGCCAATGCCTTTTGCATCCATAGTCCCAAAAGTGCGGTGTGATGGCCTAGGTGGCGTCCCAACCTCCTCGTAGCTGGCAGAAACTAGGTCACCACACAGTACGGTATTAGCTTGTGGTCTCGGGTTGTGCTCTCCGTAGTGTTGGTTTTGACAACTCTTCTGCAGTTTCCCTGCTAGCCGTGGTGTGATTGATAGGACGCACTTTCTCACTGCGGATGGCAGAAAAGAATCTTGACGAGTGAGCAGTGCGAGATGAAAACGAATCTCTGAATCTCATGTTTCAATTTCATATCCTTCATTTACACCATTTCACGTTTGGTTTGCAATGGTGGTGGTGGTGATGGGTGGGGGGGGGGGGGGCAGAGATTGAAATGATACAGTATTAAGCAAAGGTCCTTTTTCCAGTTCTCATGGTTTAAGTTGGTATTAAATATCCCATAACACTATTATGAAAAAGAGCTATTTCCCATCAAATTTTCCTTCCTCACACAAATGAAGATCAAGTGGTCATTCATCTCATTGATGTTTCTAGGACATCACTGGTTCAGGTTAGCTGTTGCATCTGTCTACATAACTCCTTGGGTGTTGAAGTGAGTGGCAGGCACTTTAGCTTCATAAGGAGCTATATCAAACGGAAACCTTTCTTATTATGTGATCGTTGGGATTATATTCTTTGCTGTCATTGGTACACTTCATGTCGCTTAAAACAAGTCAGCTTTGCAAACAAAATTATGCAGCACTCAAATCATGTAGTGATGTTTGCTTCATAGCAGCACGAGCTGGAAGTTCAGGAGCTGAGCAAAGTGGGGAATTGATGAGGGTATTTTCATTTGAGTTAACGCTGCAGCATGTTGAGCCAAGTGATAGAAATCATGTTGCCTTGTTATAGGGTTTAGTGGAACTAATTCCCTTCTTGCTAAGTTTGCAATTTTATCCCTCCTGCCTTGTACTTTTCTGACTCTCATCTATTGCTTGTCCCCACTCCCTTCGGCCCGCCATTGTGTTTATTTGAAAGTATAAAAAAAGTTACGGTTTGCAATGTTCAATATGATTTGTGTATTTCAATATGTGAAGGGCACTATATAAATGTAAATTTGTATAATCGTGTTTTTTAACTAAATTTGAACAACTTGAAAAATGAAGTGTCTTAAATGTTGTTAACAAAATCTCAATTTTTTTTGTCATTTAAACTTTCCTATATTAGCTAAGGGTATAACCTGCATCTCAGGTGTTTGTAAATCATACTCTTGTCGATTTCTCTTTCTTTGCTTTGTAATGGGCCAATGAAATCTCACAATCCTCTGAGGTTAACCTCAAATGTTATTCTCACTTGATATTTTTAAATGTACCCGTAGATGACAAGAACAGAAGTGATTGTAATAAATGTGGACTGGTATGAAACATTGAGTCTCAATTAACTTGTATTGCGATCCCATGAATTTTGCCTGTTGGCCTTAATCTTTCAGGTTGCAGCCATCAACCCAAATCACCCACTCGCACAGATGCCTTTGCCACCATCAATGAAGAACTGTATTCAACTGGCTGCCTGTGAGGCCACTGAGCTTTTGCCCATGAACCCAGATTTACCGGCTGATCTGTTCACTTCCTGCCTTACTACACCGATCAAAATAGCATTACGATGGTAAGTGTCTACCTGTCACTAACGCCTCCCTTTCCTTTTTTCTTCCACAGAATGTGTTGAATGAAAATTCTCAGCAGCCAAAATATTAGGAATTATTAAAATTGTTCTCGAATGGTATGGAACAAAATATAATATGGATTGCCTTGTTTAAAAAATGAAAATAATGGTAGCCTTTTGATAACCCTTGACAGCAGCCACATACAATATACATTGTGAAATGTGAAGCAGTTCCTTGAAGATGGTCTTTCATCTTCACCTGGTGCAGAACTAAAACCGTTAGAACTGAGGTTAGGAGGCATTTCCTCATGTAGTAGTTTGTGACGATGGGGAATGCTCTACCCTAGAAAGCAATAGAGACCCAATCACCATGGTTGTTTAAAAGAAAGATGGATGGATACTTGAGAAGCAGAGGTGTTCAGGGTTATGGTGAAAGGGTGGAACTCTGCCGAGATCCAATAACCTGGTGGGCCGATTGGCCTCCTCCTTTTCTCCTTAATGTCCTGTTTTTGTTGTCTAAGAAACAGCAGTTGACTGGAAAGTTATGACTTTGCTGTTTTACTGTAGCCTTGACGGACCTGTAAGAGAGGCCCTCGTAGAATGTATTCCTTTATTAAATTGATACGAATACCCATTCCAGATCACTTACCAAAGGAGTGTGTTGGTTCAGAATGCACATTGGCTTTCTTACACTGTCAGCCACGGCACGCAGGATAGGATAAATACTTTGAAGGCAGCTCTAGGGGGACATCCTAACTGGTACGGTCTTTACAATTGTTTGGTGATGATGGATGTTGTAGGATTTAAAACTTGAGGAGGTCCTGGAGTGAAGAAAAAGGTGCTCTCCAAGGTTATTTAGAAAATGAATGTTCAAAAAACTTTCATCGCCAGGAGAATTTTTGCTATGTATCAAGAAGGGGGTCTATGACCTGAGTTGGCAGATGGAATTTATCTATTTTGCAGTTCATATTTATGGGATGGCAGAGGTTATGTTGCAAAAAGATACTGTGTTCATAGAATGCTAGGATCTGAACACCAGGATCTGGAACCAGTGTTTGACACAGAGGGTTCATGTCCATACTCTTGAGTTTTTGATGCAGCAACACTGCAAGAACTCAGGTGCTAACGCAACAGGTGAGTAAAATGTGAGGCATTGTCGTGGGTCAGAACGGCTTTCACAACTGCACCCAAATGTTTTCAGAGTAGTGCTCAAGATAGCCTGAAAGTGGATCACCTCTGGACAGGCGTAGGGATGGGAGAATAATTTGATAGCCGGGGGAAATAGAAAGGGGAAACACGGAGATGTTATCGTAACATTAAAAAAAAACAGAACTTGCAAAATTGACTCTTCAAGCAGATCAATTTTGTGTCGATGCACGGTTCATCTTATTTGGTTTCTTATGTCCCAGCCAAACATTGCTTAATATTGGATTTAGATTATTTCTGAATCGATTTTCCACCCCTCCCAACACAAAATCCAATCGTAAAACCTAAAATTGCTTGTATAATCATTAGAGCGAATGCTTGATCGTTGCATCAGCGCAAAGCTTTTCAGTCTGCATTTTTTTTTAAAAGGAGAATTTGCTGAAGCTTATTGTTGTGTAGCTGTTTGTGCAAGCACAACGCTTCCGAGCCCAATTTGCAGTGAAAACAAGTGCATCAGATGGTGTCAACAGTCATGAATAATCCTGCTGGTAAACTTTACTGCAGGAACACGGCAATTTGTTGGTTCGTGACCTTGGCAGACGTCTGCAGAAATGCAGTGACACCAAAAGCATTCACCAAAATCTACAGTTGGGGCACTAAAAAACATCTAAAGACATGTAGTAAAAATTCACCATGTCAACACGTTAGTAACAGTTAAAACTTGGTAAAACTCAATTTTTTTTGTCACGTTTTTTCAAACTCACAAACCCGCCAATCAAGACGTCTCACTAATGAGGGCAGCAAAGATTTGACCTCTCTTAATGGTGAGTTTCCACAGCAGTAAGACGTTGCTGTTCATGGGTTGTGATGGGATATCTTTGGTGTTTTGGGAACCTGTTCTTCGGAAATGTAAGTTAAGATTTTATGAAAGTAAATGAATGAAATTGGAGGCTTGGAGTGGCTGAGGTCATAGATGGAAGAAAATGTCTTTGGCTTTTAATCAGTGGTATCTGACGTGTTATGGAGCATGGAAGGACAGGAAACCAATACACTGATATGTTGTCATATGTTCTCGTGATCAGTCTTTGGGTTTCAACTCTGTCTGCTCAAATATCAGTTTTGTACTCAACGAGACACTACCCGTGGTCTAATTGTATGCTGTTGCCATGTAGAATATTTTAACGTTAGTCTCTGCAAAAAGGTTTGCTACACATTTTGGTGTGACCTAGAACTTAAAGCACAATTACATGTTGTCTCTGAATTGATTATTGACGAACGGCTAAGCCTAATGAGGTGCAGAAATGCTACAGAATTCTTCAGCTAGTACCTTGTTCAGGTGCAGTGAAATGTCTCTTCAAGTCATCTTCAAAATTTGTCCTCCTTGGGGAGGGCAAGTTTGCAGGGCTATGGGGAGAGCGTGGGGGAAGGGGATTGATTTGAGTAGCTCTTTTCAAAGAGCTGGCACAGACAAAACGGGTCGAATGGCCTCCTTCTGTGCTGTATAATTCTATGATTCTATGAAATACAACTTGAAACCTAAAAGCCTAGGCTACCGTGTGGATTGATCTATTTGGACAGCAGATGATTTCTGTACAGATGATTTTTAAAGCTTAGCTGGTTACATAGCTGTTTTGTCTCTTGTTCCTCTGACTAAAGAATACCTTAATAAAAAAGGGATGTGTTTTTATGCGCAACCTGGCTATCTTACTAACCTCTTGCAGCTCTGATCTTTTCCTGTGATTGCTGCATTGATGACATTTGTGAATTTGGGATTTTTTTGGGTTTGTGTCTTGCGACCTCAAATTCACAAGAGAGGAGAGACTTTTTTCCTGTCTGTCTGGGCTGGATTTGAGCCAGGTCCCAGAGGTACAAATGGCCTGAGTTCAAATACACTGCGGTTTCCTGATCCACAACAATTGAGCATTCCGTTCTTGTACTTTTGTCTGGCGCAGAAATAATACCATAGATCTTAAAGCAGTTAAGTTGTAATGATTTTACCTTTGTTGCCCACCCCCTCCCTAGACCATATAAACTCAGTTATCTACCATTTTTCTTTTGCAGGTTCTGCATGCAAAAGAGTGCCAAGCTGGTGCCCGGAGTTACACTTGACTTGATAGAAAAGTAAGTAGGAACTTAGTAGGGAGTATATTATTTGGATGCACTTTGTTTCATGTTGACAAGAAGCCTTGTTTTTCTGCACACTTTAATTCCAGAGTGACATTTCACCACAAAATACTGTCAACAACAACAACAAGATTGCATTTATAGAGCGCCTTTCACGTCGGGAGGACGTCCCAAGGCGCTGGACAGTTGGGTCACACTACTTTACAGTATATCCTGTGAAGCGCTTTAAGACGTGTCGATGATGTGATATGGTGCTATATCGAATTATTATTAATAAACATTGAAAGTTTCCATGCTAACTAGTTGCTTTCAACCCACCCTTGTATTAGAGGCCTCAATATTTGAATTGCTTGGGAGATTTCAAAATAATAGTGTATTATTTTCCTATCATTGAGCAGCGCAATTTAGATCATGGAAGGTTTCAATGGTGTTTGATACACGTGTTATCATAGCCTAGGTGGGCTGACTGTCTACCACTGACAGAATGGGCACAGTATTGTTAAAAGACACACTTGTATATTTGTTTAAATAAAGTTGGATACATAACAGCAGTACTTCAGAAAGTGAGCAGGGAGCAAAAGTCAGGCGGAGCACATTCCAGTGTTAAAATCTTGAAACCTACTCAGTGTAAGATGGTATGAAAAGTACAGTGCTATTGTATTTTGAGAAGTGATTGAACCACTGAATCCCTGGACATTCACCACTCCAGATTATAATTTTCATTTCCTGGTTCTGAGTAGTTCTAATTAGGGAGTCAGCTATACTCATAACTTTGGCCTCTATTGAAGCTGGAATATTTGCCTTTGATCTTTCAAACGCATGGGACAGCAAGAGCTTTGAAGCCGTGGCCACCGTTTTGGATCAACGTAGTGGGTGGTTGCCGCATTTCCAGGAGCTTTGAAATTACTTTTCAGACTTCATCCACCTTGAGGCCTTGTTACAAACTGACCCAGTGAAAGTCCTAAAGTAGCCTTTTATGTCAACCCAAATCATCCCAGTGATGGCAGGCGTTTGAACTTGGTTCTATTACCAAGGTAGAAAGGTACAGTTAAACAAAGTCAAATGCTGTTGGTTTAGAGTTAGCAAGTGAAGAAGGGACTGAACCAAAGATTGCATACTCTGCTCTCACCCTACAAGCAAGCAAAGCCAACTTGGAAGTATGAAAATCGAGTAAAATACCAAGAGGTTGAATTGGTATCAATAATGAGCATCTCCTTACATATAAGTTGCTGTTGTGAAAAAAATGTGTATTGTTAGTAATTACTGAATGGATTTAACCATTCAGTATAAAACCATTTGAGTATTGATAGCATCTTGGATGGGACTAGTATTGGTGTCTCTTACCAGTGCCTTGTAGTGATATAAATATTAGACAGCAAAGAAGGTATTTTACTATCAGTATAGTGTTGCCAGGGATTTTTTAAGGAATGTCGCACATCATGGACTGAAGCAAACTTGGGAACACTATAACTCAATGAAGGCACAGCAAGAGAAGGAAACTTGCCAGCTCAGTGTCTAAATGATTGTATAACTCTATTGCATTATTTCATGCAATATTTCTCATTGTTCTCCATTTGCATGTTCCTTACTCAGAAATATTGCCAGGCATGTTTGTGGGGAAGACTGAAATCAGTCCAGTAAAAATGGGGATAATTAACCTTTTAATCAAACTTTATACAAATTATTTTTATGTCTACATTGGCACAGCACAGTAAGTGAGCTGAAAATGTTTCATAAATGGCACCATTATCATTAAATACCGTAATATTTTGACACAAATTTTTCACCAAACTAAAGTTAGGATCACAATGCACTCAGCCTCCATCAGACACTGGATAATTGCTGGATTGTCCAAGCAATTGTAACTATTTAATAGTGAATAAAACACTCTAAATGCAGGCTAGCGATTCAGTATTAAAATGGTTCACTGCAGCCAGTATGTGTTGATACAGTAACTAGCTGTGTAAATAAATTAAAGATGATGGGTCAATGAATAATAATTTTCAATTGGGTGAAGCATTGCAGAATTTTTTTCAAATGCGTTTGAGTTAAAACCCAAATCCCTTTGTGTAACCAAGCAACCTCTTTTCATTCTTTGCATCTCTTGCAGTCTCTCCTGTTTGAATTTCAAGGTTCAAAAGTTTTTTTTTCATTGTTTTCAATGGCATTCAACTGGCTTGTTGGTGTCTGGTGGTGAGGCTGTGTGTTTAATGATTGGGTTACATGAACCCATTAATTAATTTGTACATTTTTAAATTCTTTAAGAGTCATTTTGGTCGCCTTTCCTTTACCTTAGGAGATCCTTTCTTGAGTACCAGCTAATTTGGTTTGTAATAGACACTCTGATCTTTAATTTTGATTTTGTTGGTTAGAACAGATAATGTTTTTTGTAACAGTAAAACTGGGGTGTGACCCTGATTTTGGGAGACAGACTTTCAGTTTGGGTAGAGCTGTTCATGAATATTCTTCCTTTGCTCAAACAAGTTGATGCCTGCTGTGCTCGGTGCTTCCCTGGATAGCTGAGGTAATGTTTGGGTCTGACTTGCAGGAGAGAACCAGTGTTCTAAATATTCAATGACTCTCCCCATTAATACTCCTGTGCTCTTCTAATGGAATAACTTTTCGGGGGGGAAAAAAAAGCTTTTAAATAACTGCAATTAAGATTTGTATGTGTCATTATACAAATGATTACACCAAATCTAAATATCCAACGCAGTTTCTCTGAGCCACAAAGGTATTAATACGATATACCTCCAGGTATTTCACAGATTTTCATGCTTTATTAATAATTTTACTTGAAACCGTCTTGCTCACCAGGTGGCATTTTTTTCCACCAGAAAAATATTATTGCCGAAGACTGTCGAAGTGCATTGTCTTTAAGGAACTTGTGGATGACATTGTATACTGTGGAATGGTGTTTGAAACTTGACGAGATCTAATTACCGTAGTGGACACTGCTAGAATTTAATTGGACATTCCTGCTGCAACATGACAAAATCAATAGAAACGCTGAAAAGCTTAATGATTTTTAAGAACTCTATTACAAATCTCTTCAGGCAACGTTAAAGAATCTAATTGCATTAATCAAACACATTCTCTATTGATCAGATCAGCCCCACCTTATGTAGTTTCCTTTAATCAAATCAGTTTGCAGTTTGTAGATACTTAAAAATGTAGAATGTTATAGCAAGGAAGATTTTTCATTTGTTGAATCTCCAGTACAGATGCTGCTGTTTTGGGTGGGGGAGAACTTTACTGAGGGGATTAAACTGGGATAAAACGGACAATTTCTTCAAATTGGGAAAAACAAATTAACATTCTGGAGTTGTATTGGAATTGAGACCCAGTCATGTTCTCACACTGACAAACACAGATTAGTATCGGTGTGCGTTAGGGATTGAACGCTTCATATCCCTGTAGTTTGTATTTTTACAATTTCCGAGTTTGTATCCGCATTGTGCTAATTAATAGTTGGTTATAAAGATGTTAAGATCACTTAAGGCACCTTTTCACTTATAATACGCCAGAAATGGCTTCAGCAGCAATTTGTCAACCGGGAAGTGGGATTGGCAAACCCAGGAATTATTTGGATCTTTTAACCACCTGTTACAATGGGGGACAGCCTGCACTCCATTCCATTTCGATTTCAACCATTACTCCGGAATGTTAATTTGTTTTTCTCAATTTGAAGGCATTGTCTGTTTTTATCCCTGTTTAATCCCCTGCGTGCCATGGTCCTTAATCCGCAGATCCCGTAGGGAAAAAATGGTGCTGTGAAGCTAGCTGTTAGAAAATGCTTGAGCTTCTCGCCAGGGTTTGGCTACAGGTAATTATTGTTTGTGTGAATAATTGGGTGTCCTGTGCGTGACACTCACTGATAGACCAACTGAGATCTGGACATCACTGTGTGCAGCTCTGATATCCTTGGCTGTCTGCCAAAGCAGAGGTTTGAAGTAAATGTCCTATCTTATCAGCAGTAACTTTCTTTCAGGCTGGGAAGTGCTGGATTAGACTCTTAATGTATGTTTATGAATCCAATTCAGTAAATTCTTAATGAAAGATGTTTTTTTCACAATCCAGATATCGACTAGGTTGTATGAAAACTGTATTTGTTAATATTTGCCTGTTATCGATGCCTTTCAGGTCACTCATTATTCAGGTCATTTTAATTCCAAATTTGAACAAATGCAAAACTGTGTGTTGGGTCAGTTGAGAGAGAGAGAGAGAGACAGTGAACTGAAAATAATCATTTATAAATCTGATTGCCTAATGTAATTGTTTAAGAAGCCTGCACATGTAAATGTAATGAGATGTGTTTAATTTATTAAAGAGCATCAGAGATCATCTGTATACGTGCGTGTCTGTGGTGTGTGTGTGTGTTTGTAGCGCCCAATGAACGCCATACCCAGCAATTAATTCTTACCCAGATTGAGAAGAAGAAATCATCTCTAATTCTGAAAGTTTGTGAATATCCTGATAGGTGTTGTGCACGTGTCCCATTCCAATACAGGAACACTATCGCAGAAGTAAATGATGTAGTTCCACAAGTTATTACAGGCTGGTTTCACTCCATATGGAGACGGCACTATTTCTTACTGTATTTATTACTGTAATTTTCTGTTCCCAGTAGAGATTTTCCATAAAGGGATTTGGTGCATCTCCACTGCAATGAACTAAAATAAATCAGTTGCAGTTTTTCTATCACTGAAAATTTAAAAGACTGACAACACCTGAAGGGTATAAACTTTATCACAGTTGTCGATAGCACATAGATTCAACTTACTGTCAAAGTGTCATTTTGGAAAGTAAATCCTAAAGTGTTTTAGTTTCTCCCCACCCCAGTGTTGCTGCACCATTCTCTGAGCGAGACGGCAGTCAGACATGTCCGTATATCTCAACGCTGCTCTTCCAGTTGCAAAATGAGGGTCATAAAAGTGCCTTTGTGTTATTGAGAATCTCTGGCTAGAGAGAAGTTGTTTTAGGGGCTGGGGAGAGGGTGGCAGGTTACATCAGCCTCTGCTGAAATAATGACTCTTGCTGTTCATTCCTCACTTAAACACTTTTTGACTGAAGGCTGCGACGGCTCTTTTGTGTGGGTCTGGGCAATGGGGCCATGTGCCAATGCATCTGATTGGGCCAATCCCCAGTATGGATGGAAAGGACAGTCAGAGGATATCTCTGCATTGCAGAGATCAGCTGGCTTTATTCTTGCATAAAGTAACTTGGAATAGACTGTAAGCAGGGTATCTTGAAGCAGCAGAAATCTCGAAAGAGCCAGTATCTAAAAAGACAGGGAAGTTAGATGGTCTGATCTGTTGAATGTAACAAAGAAAGGGAACTCCACATTCATTGGTATTTCTTATCTCTGTGGAATACTATGATTTAAAATTCCTGGTTAGAGAGCTGCCTGCAATCATATATTGTGCATTGAAACTCTTCTCCGTTCTCTTATTTCTTTCCAGTGCCCTGAAATGAGGGGTGGGTTGCTGCTAATTTTCTGAATGAAAATAAATAATTTAATTTCTGGACGGAATAAATATATTTTCAGCTATACGGTAGTTCACTTTTGACATTGCAGTTTACACCTCTTTAAAGCAATGACTGCCACGTTCAGTTCTGTGATGCACCTACAGTTTTCCTTTGAACAGCACCGAAGAGAAGCCTTGGCTAAAACCTTCACTGTTCAGTGCTTAAGGCAATGAATACAAATGACCTTTCAAAAGATGTTTTCAGGTATTCTTTTCCAAATCAGTGCTTAGAGAGATAAGGGGATAATGTGTAGTTACCTGACATTCAAAGTGTGGTGAGCATTGCTCCCAAGGAGTCTTAGAAATGAAATTCCGCAATATGCAAAACGGTATGAGACTATACAGCGTTATAAAATTATGAATTTACAGTGTACTTGAAATCACAAATGTGCCATCTGTGTTATGGGAATTTCAGAAGAAAAGGGCAGGTTTTGAGAGGATCATTAATTGCTGTGCTGTTGTTTCGAAGATGCTTTCTTCCCCTAAACCCCACCATTCACTCTATCCTCACTGAATGGTTGACTGAAATCTAGATGGGCTGGGAAAAGAATATAAATGTTATCCATGTGTTTATATACAGTGTTTATGCAATGTACCTTTTTGTGGTTGAGAAAAGAGACTTTGTACATGCAACTGAGCATCTCATTCTCATCACATTAGTATTAAGATGAGTGCTGAATCGCAGTCAATTCTTAAATTCAGTCTTCATTTGGAAGCTGATTTTATCCCGAATTAAGACTGAATCGAAGAATTTTCCAGAGACCTTAAATTTTAAGCCAAGTTGGTTTCACAGTGAGGTCTGGTAGGATATTGAGCCTCTGGGAGAGTGATTGAACAATGTGAATTTGACCAGAGGGTCAGGGGGATAGTTTGGTGAGATCATTTTCTCTACTGAATTCTAAATGTATGTGCTGAGTGATCACTCAGTCTTGTTCAGAGATAAGGCAGTAGATTTAATTTTGTTTTTAACCCTCTTCCCATCTCACAGGGGCCAATTGTAGCACCCTCATTAGGAGCCTCTGGTGATGTAGCATATTGCCGCAGTGGATTGTACAGTTATTCACCCATCGTTTTCTCCAAACCTATGACTGTGCACATTTCTGAATTTCCTTGTTTAAATGTCACTTTCTCTTGAAACCTAGGATTCCAGGCAGACTTAATGACAGACGAACTCCTCTAGGGGAACTAAATTGGATTTTTACAGCCATCACTGACACTATCGCTTGGAATGTGTTACCCAGAGGTAAGAAGAGGTATTGTTTAATTTGAGTTGCTTTGCAAAAAACACAGCAGTCTCGAATTTATTTTGCTCTTGTGTTTTCTCTCATGGTCTGTTTTTGTTGGGTAGCATTCAGTGTTGAGCATGGCATTCTCAAATAAAGGGGAAGCTTTCTAAGGCTGCCTTGCTCGGCTCCCTTCACTCATCTCCTTATCTCAGGTCTAGACTGCGCTAAACCCTGGTTGCTCACACCAACTCTGGAACCTTGTGCAGATACTCAGCATCTTCAGCCTTCAACTGTGTTTAAGTCTTTCAACTTCCATCTCTGCAACACCTGCCACTCCGAATACAGTCCAAATTGTCATCCACATCTTTGTTACCTTTCGTTTCATTTAATCAAGCCTTCTTGGACAATTTCCATGCTTTGGGAATTAGACAACTATGTGAAAAAGAAAAAATGTAAAGTGCGAGGAGAGGGCGAGAAATGGGACGCAGTGGACAGCTCTTTCAGAGTCTGTACTAGAACGATCGTTGAACGGCCTACTCCTGTGTTGTAAAATTCTGATTCTGATTTTTTCTTTCTGCAGATCTTTTCCAAAAATTGTTCAGACAAGACTTGCTTGTTGCCAGTTTGTTTCGAAACTTTCTTTTGGCTGAAAGGATCATGCGGTCATACAACTGTACTCCAGTCAGCAGCCCTCGTCTGCCTCCAACGTACATGCATGCCATGTGGTGAGTGACCTGCCAAAGCTGGCTTTGTTTCTTCTACAAGTTGAGGAACTGGCACAAAGTCCAAGAGATTTGAAAGTTAGACCATTTACGGTTGCTTGTGGGATAGATTTGTAATGGGAAGTTGAAGAGGTGAGACAGAAAGAAATTCCTTGGACCTAGCTTCCTTTAAACTTGCTATTGTTATTAGACATCAAAATAACTTTTACTAGATCAACATTAAAATTGTAGGCTCCTGGAGTTCTCTAATGCAGTACAGTAGAATGATTAAAATAAAAGTAAAAATGATACCTTCAAACCATTAATTTTTTAAGTGTCCAATATGAAAGTCCCCATCACTGTAAGGAAATGAATAGCAATCCTCGAGGGCAAGAATACTGAATTTTGTGAGGTGCAGCAAACCATAGTCAGAATAAAATTTTGATTTATTGAATTAATCATGCTTGCTCATTTCCACACTGCAGATATAGAATTATAGAGTCATTTACATAATCGTCATTTTGATGGTTGTACAATGAAATTTGAATAGAATTGTATTTTGCTCTAATCAAATCATTTTTATATTGCCTTTCCATTTAGCAAATATGACTGTTTTAACGCCCTATTTTTCCGATCTACAAAACACGGTCACTAGACTTCACCGTATATCCCGTGAAGTGCTTCGGTTCATCCCCCTGACATGAGCTGCTATATCAAATGCGACGATGATCATGATTATTATAACAACAATTAATTCATTATTATACTTATAATTTGTTGTAATATTATTATTATTATTACAACAAATGAACATTGGAAAATGAAGCATAAAAGCGTTTAAAAACTTGAGCACAATCAAGATGTTACATTTTGTAAATCACGTGCGTAGGTTCATAAAGTAGATTACAAAAAATAAAATCATTCATCTTTACGATCCAATTCCATGTCTCTCGTATGAAAATTAATTTCACATGGACCCCTCCATATGTCCTGTTGAAGCATCATAGACTGGATTAAAATTGGGTTTGAAATTTTTTTATTTTCTAATACCCACCAAATCCATCATTCTGGCCTTAAGAATTAGTATTACATTTTCTTTAGGATCATAAGCAGGACTTGTGCATTGGAACCTAGATTTCTATTCACTTGATTTTCAGCAGTTTTGTAGCAAACGCCAGATGGGAAACCGAGCTTAAATCTGCCCGTAGAAAATCAAAAAAAAAGTGTGTGTTTCATTAGCTCATGGTATCCTCCATAAGAAGACAAAAGTATTGACCTGGCTTGACCAGGTTGAAAATGTACATTTCAATGCATGCAAGTGCATGCAGGAAAATCAACCTATTTTCGCAAACATGGGTTCTTAATGCATTTAAATCTCTAACGCTTTTAAATTACAAGCTTATTTATCCAGAACCATAGTTGCATTCTCCCTCTGTTCAGCACCGAGTGTTTTGTTATCCTATATTGAGAGGATATTGTTTTAATGGTTTTGTCTTAATCATTAATAATAATAATAATAATCCTTTAATTTGATTGGTTCCTTTCACGTCGGGAGGACGTCCCAAAGCGCTTCACAGAACACACTGTAAAGTGAATTGACTGTATATTTGTTATTAATTTGGTTCTGGTTGCTGAGTTTTTGTTTGGGTGGGGTGGGGGGTTTCAATTTCCAACTACAGTGGGACCTCTTATAACGCAGTAGTTTGGGTCCATAAAATTAGACCCTGCATTGTAAAGGGGCACTGGTTAGTGGGGCTGCAGGTAAGCATTAATGTTGTTGGTGCACCTTCTATTCTTGCGTACTATGTGCCAGAACCTGGAAGTGTACTGCACTTTTGGTATACTGTGTGTCCACAGTGCAAACTATATATCTTGCGCTAATACAAGGACCGTTCCAATTATATAACCCACGATTTGGCTGCCTTGAGGGAAATTCCGAGTCTTTATAACTAGTTGTTTCGTTGTCCTATCTCTTTCCCCTCCTTTCCCATCATCTTGTAAATGAAGATAATATTGCAGAAGTAGAACACTTATTGAGGGTGAAACGCTCTCAGGACTGATGGGAAAAGGCAGTGGTAACTGTTGTGTTACTGGTAATGTGAGATAAAATGGAACCAGATATACAAAATGTACAAAATGCTTGTTGTTGCAATACGCTTTATACATGGAACACTTTGCAGGCAAGCATGGGACCTCGCAGTGGACATTTGCCTTTCACAACTTCCAACCATCATAGAAGAGGGAACAGCTTTTAGGGTGAGTCGATAATTTTCAGAACTTGCTTTGTCTGCCAGCGGTGTTTTTAATGAAGCAAAAAACTATTTTGTTGCCAGTGTTAACATTCAAAGGGAAACAAAGCCCTCCAGAATGAGGAATTAACTAACTGAACTATCTTTACACTGGAGTCTTGTCCACTTACCCTTTCAAAGACTAGGTGGGGAACTCTATGTGCTCTGTCGTTTTAGAGAGAGCTCCACGAGGTCCGTGCCATGTGTGCTCATGCCTTTTATCCCTTGTTTTGATATCGAATTCGGTGTCTGGTTCAACTGAGAAATCCAGAGCTTGTATTTCCTGGTGCCACATCAAATTGATTTGTTTATACTGGGGCGATTTCACGAGACAGCAGGTAAAGAAGAGAACAGCTTCTGCTATCTAAAGGATAGAGGGATTAAGGGATATGGGGATAGGGTGGGTAAATGGAATTAAGTTAGAAGATCAGCCATTATCTCATTAAATGGTGGGGCAGGCTCAAGGGGCCAAATGGCCTATTCCTGCATCTTATGGTCTTATCATTAACCCCTCGAGCCTTCCCTTCTTCACTAAGTTTCTACCTTGCTATCAACACTACAGTGCAGAGCGAGTAGAAAAAAATTAGGACAAAAGATAAATAATTGGGATGTGAATTTACTGCATTGTTGGGAGAAGGGTTGTTTTATCATCATAAAGTAAATGAAGCAGATTTACAAAGCGAATGCCTGTGCGGCAATGAAGATTAAAAACATTACCTTTCTCAAGATTAGCAGGGCAAGCACAACCGAACTTAGTATTTAAATTGTATGCATGGAATATCACTGTAAAATAATGGAGGCAGAAACCGAATCATAAAGAAGTTATAGTCCCACACTCAAAAGCAATTTTGATTGCACTTTGTACAAGTTTTAAAGGAGACAAATTGATGAGATATTTGTACTGTGAATAACTGCAGTGACACCATATAATACCTTTTAAATAGGATGTCACAATCCAGCAGTACCGGGGTGCGCTCTGCAGTGTTGGAGTCTCCGTCCTTCGGATGAGATGTTAAATGAGGTCCTTCTGACTGTTCAGGCAGATGTTACAGAACTCATGACATTATTCGAAAAGGAACGAGAGTTTATCCTGTTGTCCTGCCCAGCCATCCTCCAGATAAAACTCTTCTTTTACTTGATGTTTTTTTGTAGGACTTTGCTGCGTGCAAACTGGCTGGCACTTTTGCCTGCAGGCGCACAGTCTCTACACTTGACAACAAATCCATGTGAAGCACTTTGACACTTCTCAATGTTATTGAAGTGCGGAGTTGAAATGCAAGGATTCGTTAACATGATTAATATGCCCAAAGTCGGTTGGTAAAATTGGACTGAAATGGGATTTTTTTATTTCAACACTCTTCACACACTGGGCGATATCCCAAATGTCCAATGCAGCAAATAATGAGGAATATTGTCCCTTTTAAGAGGTCTTGATATTGGGGTATCGACTGTGAGGGTGTTCCCCTCTGTGCACTATGAAAGCTTCCCCTCCTGTATCATTAATTGTTTCTCTTTCTCTGTGCGCTTCCTCTTCTGTGGGAAACAAAATTCTCCCCAATAAACATCCCCAAAGTCAAATTCTGTGGCTGTAAACGCAGCATCAGAGTTCATTATTCTACAACATTGTTCATAATTGACGAATGCTTTTCAACCCTTCAATTGTCCTTCAACTTTACAGCACAGCCCATTCTTTGCTGAGCAGCTGACAGCATTCCAAGTCTGGCTGACGATGGGAGTTGAGAACAGGAATCCACCAGAGCAATTGCCAATTGTCTTGCAGGTAAGAGTTTCATCAGGAATCAGTAGGGATGAGCAAAGACCAACTTCTGAAATGTTGGGGGATTATTCCTCTTTGTAATCCCATTCAGTTGCCCTCCTGGGAACCCCGTGTACATATCTCACATTGATATGTGGGAGCTCAGCTCTGACCTGAGATCGCCATTTCCTGATGAGGCACCATTTCCTTTGCCCTCATCCCACCGAGTTCTCTTGTAACACCCATTCAAAGTGACCAGGGGTCTCTGAAAGTAATTTCTGCCGTCAGTGGATTGCCTACCTTTATATACAAGTCACACAATGAGAGCGAGTCAAACAAGAGGGCGAGACAACCTAAGGTCAGTGATGTACTATTACATGTAATTTGCTTGATAACCTGCCCCATTAATTTAGCTTAGACGTGAGTCAAAGGAATTATTTTCAAATGATGCACGCAGAAAGAGTTGAGTAATTATGTGGTCAAATTGTTGGAGTGGATTAAACGCAAGGCATTAATCTTGATTTAATGTACTTTGTAATTATGATCGATTGCATTACTGTTCATGATTCATAGCAGTTTAATGGCAAAATGCGCATTCTTCATTCAAGGAACAAATTATGAATGTTTCCTTTCTTAAAATATATAAAGTTTTTTTTAATGCAATGGGAATATGGTTTTATGTTTAGTTTGAAGTGGTTTATGAAGTGTGTGACGTTTGTGGAATAGTAACCAGCACTTTGTTTTTATGGTGTTAGGTTCAGACTTGGTAGTCCAATGCTATGCTGGGATATGTGGTGTTGAAGCAAACCCATGATTGGTTGATTACTCAACTTTAGTATTTGTACAGAATAAGTTCTCCTTACTACGAGTGAAACAAACCCTGTGTGTTTTTCTACACTTTCTATTTCTTTGCCAAACCTGAGTGGATGCCTAAATGACCTGTTCAGAAAGTGACTCACACTCGGGTTAAGTGGCGAATGGCTTCTCGGTAAGAAATGGCGTCGATGGTGTCCATTTAAGATGAGATGTACGTCCCTGTACTCCTGAGACTAAGGGGTGGGGGAGGGACGCGCAACAGTAAAGGAAGGAAGTTGCAACATGAAGATCATCTACTTAAAATGTCAACAGAAATTCATTCATAATATTACATTAATTCCTCTGGTGGACACGTCATTCCTATGTATAATGCAGTTTATTGGCTTCGCTGAGGCAGATGAAGCTGGATGTTATGAGCACTTAATACCAGATTAAAACCCTAATGGAGCATACCACAATCTACTGTACAATGTTGTTTATTTCCTGTCCTTTTTCTCTTATTAGGTGCTGCTCAGCCAAGTGCATCGACTGCGAGCTCTGGATTTACTGGGAAGATTTTTAGATTTGGGTCCGTGGGCCGTGAGTCTAGTACGTCATCTGATCTGATTATATTGACATACATGGTTCCATTCATCCCTTAATTCAGAAGTAACATAATGTGTTGGGGATATTGTGTTTTCTTTTCTGTCGCGCCCCTCCCAAATGCTGCAACACTAGTTATTTCATCTGCACGATTTAAATCAGTTGATTTCATTGATAAAGTAACTTTTTTCCTTGACTTTCCTGAGGTCCAACCACTTGTCACATGGGTGTAATAATCCACTATCATCCTTTTTAAGATGTTTAATTTCATTTCATGCATCCTATGTAGAGAGCTGCCGTACACAAGTCTAATTTGCTTTCAGTTTGGAAGTGTGCCAATTGATGGCATTATACTGTTAAGAATGCAAAAGCCCAGATTCTTGCCTTAATCCAAGCGCTCTGAGACACTACCCTGCATGGAGGGCGCTGTATAAGCACAAGTTGTTGTATTCCGAGTTGGTTATTTATCACCTCATTGCAAAGTGTAGGTCACGTAACTGCAGTTGCTAACAGATCTGCTACGTTCTTATTTCTGTGTTTCAGGCTTTATCTGTTGGGATCTTCCCCTATGTTTTGAAACTGCTTCAAAGTTCAGCTCGGGAATTAAGGCCGCTCCTCGTTTTCATCTGGGCCAAAATCTTGGCCGTGGACAGTGTAAGTGATTTAGCTGCTTGTGTTATAAAGGAAGTGCTACGTGCGAAACATTTTACACAGAGCTTAGTCGTGGCTTTATTTTAGGCGGGTTTTTGCACCATTTGGAAAGCGCCTGTATTTTCAGCAATTACTTACAGTTGCATGGAAGCCCTGGGTGCCACGCAGGAGTCGGGAACAGAATCTTTTGCACCTTTTTGAACGCTGTTGAACGTCTAAAAATAGCAACCAAATCAATGTTGTTCCAGGGCTTGTTTTGCTTTTGTGTTCATTGTTAACGTGACACTTAGCAGCAGCTCAAAACAACATTGAAATTGCCTTTCTGGTCGTCTGGTCGTCTGGTCCTCTGGCTCCGGTCTGCTCCACGTCCCCCGCCCCAACCGCCCTACTATCGGTGGTCGGGCCTTCAGCCTCTCAGCCCCGAGGCTCTGGAACTCCATCCCCCAGTGCCTTCGCCTTGCTTCCTCCCTTTCCTCCTTCAAGGCCGGTCTCAAAACCTTTCTCTTTGACCGTGCCTTCAGCTCCCCTCTCGACTCTCTTCCTCCTCCTCGCTCCCTCCCTTCCCTCCCCTCACCCTGACCATTTCCCCCTCCTCTCTCCCTCCCTTCCCTCCCCTCACCCTGACCATTTCCCCCCTGCTCGGGTCATGACCCAACTGTGCAGCGCCTTGGGACGTCCTCCTGACGTGAAAGGCGCTCTATAAATGGAATCTTGTTGTTGTTGTTGTTGTTGTCCCTTTCTCATGGGACACTCTCGAGTCAGAACTGCATTGAGCCACTACCAAGAGAGGGGAGCAGGGAACAAAACATTGAGCATTTAATTGAGCGAAATGTAGACAGTGGCTCTGGGAAACTTGGGGTGGGGGGGGGAGGGAATTTGGGGATAATTTCAGTGACCTGGTTTTCAGCATGTTTAGGATCACCTTGATTGCATTTCGAGTTGCTTTGTGCCATATGTGGGCTTCACCTGTACCTCAAGATCAAACTGGGGTCTTGGTAGAAATGAGAGAGCACCAAAATTCATCAGTGTAATTCTTGTCTGCCGTATCTTTCCTATGAAGTAGAGCTTAGCCCGATGGTTCTTTTGTGGAGCATTCTCCCATTATGTTCTTGTTACAGTGAAACTCTGTCAAGTTAATTGGATGTGTCAGTTGTTCTCCTGATGAATGAAAAGTGTGTTTTGTTTTTAAAAGCAATTGGGGATGTGTTTCACTCGGAAATAAGTGCTCTTCACTGAGTTAGACATAAATAGATACAAGTTCGCTGTTCTTTTTTGGAAACGTCATTTAACATGGAAAATAGCCACACCACACAAAGACTAGAACTGACAGGTCAAGCCTTAATCATACTAATAATCCTTGCATTTGATATAGTGCCTTACTCTAAAGTGGTTTGACTGTGTATTCTGTGGGTGAAAGCTTTACTGTAACAGGGCAATAACTTTAATTTCAGTTAATTTATCCAGTTAGTTAACTAATTATCTAGTTTGTATGAATTCTTACTTGGCTGTCGGTTATCTCATAATGATCAGAGTTTACAATGAACCAGAATTCAAGCACTCTTGCTTTGTGAATTTGCCCCATGCGAAAATTGTAGCGGTCATTTTCAAATGCAAGAATTATTTTGGTTCTTCCTGAAAAGCAAACCGAGTATAATTGGCCAATAAATCTAATTTGACGCTGTTACATTCAGCGCACATGAGTGACTAGATAAGAAAATGCATTTGTGTCACACCATGTACTGGAACCATTTGAACAAAAAGCTGAATAATGTACGCACACAAGCATCACTCTGAAACTTCACACGTTTTGGATAGGCATTATTTTTCTAGTTGATTTCTGAAGCACACTGTGTACCTGTTTGCTTCTGATCCGGACTGAGGCTTGACATTCTCAGGTTCTCAGATGTTCTTCCTAAGGTGTGAAAAATTCTCTGTTTCGTTGTGGCTTTTTTTTTGTTGGTGCTTTTTTGATGAACGAGAGAGAACTGGAGGACAAATGAGCAACTTGCTACTTTCTGGGCAAGGACTGTTTCCTGGCCACCTTTGTTCAGTTCTTGTTTATGGGCACTAGCCATCAATGCTGAGCTATTAGTGTTTGATGACAACAAGATTAGTTTGTTATCTGTGTTGGGATTTGCTCCATATTTTAATGGATTCAGGCCTGTGTTTTGGGCGCACCTTTTGGTGGGGGAGGGAGGGAATGTTGCCAGCAACAAGTAAATAAAGCTGTCCAGGCAATTTACACCATTGTCTGTGCCCAGAGTTGAGTTTACTTTGTTCAGATTCTCATCCATAATGGTATTTTAATTGAGACCTCTTGGCTGATACAAACCTCCTTAATGGATGAGGCTGAGCACATTCTGTCTCTTGTACCAGTGAGTGGATCTTCACTGTGTACATTGCAGAGGTTCCAATAGTGCCAGAAATATGGAGGGGAGTAGGGGAGAGAGGGAGAATGTAACTGGCGTTTGTTTTAAACCCACATTAGATGTCGATAATGCAAGTCCTCAGATCTTTTTGTTTGGGTTTACAAACTATTTCACCTTGCTTGACCGTGACCTTACATGGGCAGCACTTAGTAAAAGCTTACCTGGATTAATGATTGGGGTTTTAAAAAAACAAGCCAAAACGGGGAAAATAAGGCAAAAATAAGTAGATACAATTTGATTAGTTGTGGACCGAAACTCAAGATTATCCTAAATCTGTTGAGCAGGTTTTTGAAGCGCTTTTAATGGGTCACGACAGGTGGTAAGGACAGAAATTTGGATGAGATTCATTTTCATTCNTTTTTCCTTCCTGGTGTGTGCAGGGATTTAAGCTTCTCACGTCCCATCGTGGCTGTGTCCATGTGTCTGCCGTTTGTGTCCAAATCCCTTAGTCTCTTGGGTGTGTTGCATTACTCAACAACGACTTGCATTTATATAGCGCCCCTCACGCAGGGTTGCGTCCCAGAGCGCTTGACAGTGGCGGAACACTGTCACTCGGTAACATTGAGCTTGTTAAAACAACAACAACTTGGATTTATATAGCGCCCTCCACTATTATACTGATTAGTTGTGTTAATGTTGTCTGAGACAAAGATTGAGTATGCAAGTGTGGAATAATTGTAGTTAAACGAAAGGACTTTTAATCTTAATTTGCTTGTTTTGCTCTTCAACAAACCAGCTTTCTGTGTCCTTAATACACAGGACCTGCTTTTTACACAGAAGTTTGTCTCCTTAAAGTTCATAGCTACAGCACGGCAGATCCAAATAGAGTTTATAATTCACATTTAGAGAGAATTATTGTGATGGATTGCAGTCTCCTTGAGATTGTTTATCACCAGTGTATTAGAATATTAGTCAAAAATCCCTGGTTTCATGAAGTAATCTGTTTAGCTTATAATTGATACACTCAAGTATTGAGTATTGAGTTATCTAAGTATTCATTCGAACACTTGAAAATCTATCAGTGTTCGTGGGCACAGTTGTAATTAATTCATAAAAGATAATGGGATTATCCATTTAAAAGGAAAGAACAATATTTAGGTTGTGAAAAGTTGCTCTATATTCTTATGTATGTCCCTTGCTTTTGTGAGCTGTTTAATGTAGCACCTTTTTATAGGTAACAAATCGATATTCCATTTCCGAGTCTCAGCTACGTACTGTAAACATTCTGTTACTTTTCCTTAAATTAGTAATGAAGTTCAATAATGTGAAAAATGAGCTCCAGTGATACCATCCCACAGGGAGTTCAAAGCAATGCCTCCCGATTCAGCAAATTTTATCTTGTTACGCCGTACCTTAAACTAGCTGAACTATGGCGATTGCGAAGGGCTTCAACCCATTTGGCGCTCGCTTGCTCGATAACTTTTTCGCTGATATAATTCAGAGATTATGAGGAAGGCAACTGATTCGTTTTAATTCTGAATCACCGTCAAGGCGGATGCAATAGACTATTGAATATAAGTAATCATCAGGACTCGGAAACAGAATTGTTTTTTCACGCTGTTACAAACTAAGTAGTTTATTTTTTTGAAATCAGGAATCTTTTGATTAATATTATGACTTGATTACATTTGTGACAATTGCATAGTGTCCTTATTTAAACTCGAGGGTCGTTTGATTGTGTAGTTTTCACATACACATAGACACTCACAATTATGTGTATATATAATTACCTGCACATTCATGCATACCCGCATTTTATTACATTTATGCGTATATATATTTTATATTTCACGCAATGAATTACATGCACTGTCATACACACACATGCCAGATTGGGTTCCAGTCATCCTTTCACTCGCATGTTTCCTGTGTCTGATGAAGCCTTTGAAAGTGACAGATTTTCTGAGTTATAACTTGGTGCCACTCAGTTTACACTCTGACTTTCCACAGTCCCAAAATCGACAGTGTACCTGTCTCGAGGGAGCCACTTGCTACAGCACCGTTATAAATGTTAATGCCGCTCGTTAAACTGTGGGTGAATCGGACCAGAATTTGTTTGAAGTGTGACATGTTAAGTTACTATTTTACAGTCTTGTCAGGCGGATTTGGTGAAAGACAACGGACACAAGTACTTCCTGTCAGTCCTGGCCGACCCTTACATGCCGGTGAGCTCTTCTGCACATGGCTCTGCAGTCACCAAAAATGTAAATGTTCAGAAGCCTTCTCCCCCTAGTTTGTAAAATACACTGTACCCCGCTTTGGAAATTGGATAACGTTTTACAGTCATTTCCCAGTCTGTACAGTAGTTGTGTTTCCCTTATTTGCACCAATTTATATATTGTAAAAATATGCAACAACATTATTAGAACTCATTTTAAGCAAATGGAAAATGGGGAATATTTTTAAACATGTGCAATTTTAAACTCCCATAGACCTCAAATTCCTCCTAGCCTTAGCCTGTCATGCCATAAAGTCTTATAATACAGGGTGACCAAAAAGTCGTGATAACTACCCTATTATCTAAAAAAAAATCATTTCTTTAAGACTTGTAATGGTATCAGAACTTTTTTGTCACCCTGGGTAAGATGGCGTAGAATTGTGGAAAATTCTTAAATCTGGTTCCAATTTGTAAGCCTGCTTTCAGCACTTCTTAAAAAGTGACTGCTTCCACGTTGAAACTGATTTGAAGAATTTTCCACAATTCGCCACCTTACATTTTACACCAAGATGGCCTCAAAGCCTGAGCCCAGGTAGAATTTGGGGCTTCATGTGGACTGCAATTCCAGTCAATGTTAAGCATAGCACCTTTGGTGTTATTGGCCACTAATGGGATTTTCCCTGTTATCTCTGAGTGTATGGAGTCCTTAGCAGTGTATAGGCTAAATGACATATTTTATCCCCCACTCTTAAGCAGCTCTGGTGATTTTGTGTGTTTGTTTCTGCAGGCTGAACACCGAACAATGGCTGCTTTTATTTTAGCCGTGATCGTTAACAGCTATAACACAGGACAGGTCAGTGCCGTTTCAATGTACACACTAAAATTAGCGCCCAAATGATCATAAGGTCACTACATTCATTACCAGTGTTGATAGATAGTAATCAGCACACTATAACATTGCAGAATTCGCCCTAACCTTTCAACTAATGGATATGATGTTTGAGCCTAATATTCGTAATGTGAATATGCATTTCTCTAATGAATGTTACATAATTGAACTTTGGATGAGCAACAGCGGAGGAAAAGGTCCACTATATTGCAAGCTCCGACAGAGGTGGTTCTGGGCTGTAAAACAATACATTGTTTTACTCAGCATTGCTATGAGCCAAAGACGAAGACCATCCCAATTGCTTTGTGTTGTAACTGTGATGGAGCAGCATATTGTGATCAGAGTTCAGACTTGTCAGTTAACCTAGAAAAACCTGAATACACACACTTACATCTTGCTAACTTTTAACTTTTCTGTTTTGCTTCCAGGAAGCCTGTCTGCAGGGTAATCTCATTGCTATTTGCTTGGAGCAGCTGAATGACCCACATCCTTTATTGCGGCAGTGGGTGGCTATTTGTTTGGGGCGCATCTGGCAGAATTTTGACGCTGCTCGCTGGTGCGGTGTAAGAGACATTGCGCATGAGAAGTTATACAGCCTTCTCTCTGATCCAATACCCGAGGTAACCTGCCTCAGAACCTGTTGCTTCCTGTCTTCAGAGTAACTGAAGCACTTTTGTACAAAGAATATTTTACTTGCTTAAGACAATTGGTAAACCTTGCCTGCAATTAGCTACTCTACATGTCTGCACTAAGTAAAATTATTTGCCATAAGAGCACTGCTTGTTTTTCCTGCTGGATGGAAGTTCCTGCAATAGGCTAAGCCATGAGACCAGTTGTACACCCACCATTGTTGCAAGTTGGGCTCAAAGCATTTCTATGCATTGTATGCATAAACGTTACAGGTGAGAATCCTAATTCACAGCTGGAACCAATGATCTGACAATGTGGGGCCGCAGCATGCCTTTTATAGTTAGCGTTTAAAAAAAGTCGAGTGTTATTTGAACAGCTTCGTTCCGTGCCTTTTTTTTTTACCCTAAATTATGTATGTAACATAAAGAATTGCTGCAGATTTCGCCTTCACCCAAATATCCTTGCTAGCTTATATCAGTGGCTTTGTTTAGCCCTGTGTAACTTGGACCCAAGATGCAAGTCAGTACAATTCCTTGGTTTATTACATTTACTATTTGCAAACAAGACAGCTGTTGCTGATTTACAGCATAATCCCACAGGAAATCCTTCAAAAATATACTTACTGAAGGAACACTCGCAGTATTTTGATCAACCTTAATGCGTGTTTTTTTTCTTTAATATTTTAACGCATTTTTTGCATTTCTCGTCCCAGTACAAATTGGTGACCCAGCCACAGTGGCGTGACATCAACAAATGTTTTACGCTACGTTTGCACATCTGCGAGAGAGTACAGACTGACTCCCTGTGTTTAACGTGCGAATTGTATTCAGATCAAGTGCAATTTGAAGCATTTATTATTGGATGAAGTTACAGGAATAACCAAACATTCATTCCAACCGAGTTTATATTAAGTTTCCCATAAATGGTGTTTCACCATTCATCTGTTCAAACTGAAGAGAGCTACGTTTGAAAAGTCGGTAATCTTCCTCAAACAGTTCTTTTTAAGCTATTTTAATTCCGCTGTATTTGCTTACTGCATTTTAATTCATTTTTTTATCCTGTCTTAACAGGATTTTCAAATAAATCAGCCGATTTGCCTTTGGTTTATTGTACATTTGACAGAAATCTTCCTTGTGTTTATGATTAAATTCCTTGAAGCCTGTTTGCAAGCTATTTGGCGCAGGCCAATGTTAACCTTTTAGAATTGGATCACATTACGTAGAATGCTACAGCATGGAAGCAGGCCATTTGGCCCAACTTGTCCCTGTCATTGTTTAAACTCTCCCTCCTCCCTCCTCATCTATCCTAAATTCTAACACGGATATTATTGTGTTTTGTCTAAACCGAATTGTGGTTTGTGAAATATGGAATTGAAATATTCATGCTGTGCGTTACATATTATTAATGCTGCAAGTGTATAAATATTTTAGTGAGCTTCAGTTTTGCTATTCTCTTTTTGCAGGTGCGTTGCTCTGCTGTCTTTGCCTTGGGCACCTTTGTAGGTAACTCGGCTGAGCGGACTGACCATTCAACAACTATTGACCACAATGTGGCCATGATGCTCGCCCAGCTAATAAATGATGGAAGTCCTGTGGTCAGAAAGGTAGATGCATTTTAACTTTCTGGTATTCCGAGCCCAATCAAGCATTCCCACGTCAAATATAGCATAGCTAACAAAGACAGGATGAATCTCCAACCCAGTTGACCGTAGAATAAGTCTCTTATACACCAGCGTACCCATTCATTCTAGAACAAAAAAATTGCTTAACGGATTACTGCCATGAGCACTACAATAACATGCTTGTGCTCACACTTTCAGCTCACGTAGGAAGAACAGACGCTTAACACAGTGCAGGGATGGGGTGGATGGGCTGGTGGGGGTGGAATAAGAGAAAAAGTTGAAAAATTACCAAAAGGAAACTTAATTCCATCTGATTTTTATTTTGCCCCACGTTTCAGGACTAGAATTGGTTGTAAAAAAAGTTTTTTTTATTATTGATTTCTACAAGATAAAAGCCCTCCCATGGTACTTTTTTTGTCGATGTGCAAGGAAACATCAGTTGTTGAGGGAAGGAGCAAAAATGTATAAACTTGAGTTCTGAGCCGAGTGAGATGTGCATCAGTCAAGCCATTCCTTTTGGAGTACATTCACCGGCTTCAGTTCTGGCAAGAAAGGAAAAAGCTTTCTTGAAATCAAGTGAAATTATTGATATGTTTAAGAACAGAAGCTAGTCATTTATCCCACTGAGCCTGTTTTTTTAGATCATGTCACATCATTTAATCCCATTTGCATGCCTTTTCTTTAGGTTCTTATTGCCCTTGCTTCCCAAGTACCTATTTGCCTTTTAAATATTCCCATAGATCCTGTCTGGGTGGCTTTCTGGGAATGCACATTCCACATTTTTATAACCTTCTGAGTGAAGAAATGTTTTCTGATTCACTTCTTATTGGTTTTCACTCTAATTTTAAAGATTATATCCTCTTGATTTGGAGCACATTACTTGAGGGAATATCCGTCCACTATCTAACTTGTCAGTTCCCTTGGCTATTTTAAACACCTCAATTGGATCACCCCGAACCACCTCAGCTCCAAGGAATATAACCCAAGCACAAGCAAGTTATAATCATGTTGAAAGGTTCAGTTGTCCTGTGAGCATAAGCTTCAGATTCAATTGCAGCCTTGAGCTCCGAGTGTGCAGTTTTATACAATACATGTGATTTAGTTTGTTTCTAAGCTTTTTAATTCCATTTTGTGAGTTGCAGTTACACTGGGGATGACATATCTACTTGCACTACCATTATGCCCTTGGTGCATCATAATGAGAAAAGAGCACAAACACGTTTAATCTATGCATTACAGTTTTTCCCATAGTTGGTACCAATTCTTATTTGGATTTATGTCCTTCAGTGACTTTTCTATGCAGTTCTGACCATCGCTCATTTTTGACTGATAACATAAATCGAGATTGGATTATTGAAATTATACCAAGGTTAATCTTCTCTCACTGACAGGTTTATTTTTTTAATTGGCAGGAATTGGTTGTGGCACTTAGTCATCTTGTCATTCAGTATGAAAGCAATTTCTGCACAGTGGCTCTGCAGTTCATGGAGGAAGAAAAGAATTATCCTCTTCCCTCACCTGCCAGTGTGACAGGTATATACACCACTGACTTCTGATAAAATCCAATTTAGCGCTTGCTCACATCTTGTTCTTTCAATACATGGCAAATTAAGACCTTTTTCCCAATCACACAGTGTAATTGTCCTACCGTATCTAGCTTCTAAGCAACATTTTCCTAAAGCTTACCAACAGAGTACGTCTCCTAAACCTGTTGTGAAATATCTTTGTATGAATTAGGAATATAATAATAATCCTTGCATTCATTGTGGTGCCTTATCGCATCATTGACACGTCTCAAAGCGCTTCAGAGAACATATTGTGAAGTGGATCGACCTTTGTTTCCATTCGATTTCATCTTTTTCAGTCTTCAGCAGCAACATTGATACTAATTTCTTAACAAGAAAATGTAATAATTCCTCCCCCACTGACAGCATATTGTTAAATGTTAGATTTCAGTTTATTATTTTTATTTATCATTTCAGTTTTCTGAAAACGAGGCTTTGAGACGGTGGTTAATAATAGGAGAGAACAGAGAAAGATCAAATGTATTGAACTCTATGTGTGAATCCAGATTGCTCAAACGGAAATGTGTTTGGCATCTCCAGTGCCTCTTGAAATGGTCTTATATAAAGCACTTAAAGATGCTATGTTGGAATGGGGCAAGGTTGAAGACATTTAAGGTGGTGGTTATGAATGGGCTAAATTGAAACATTCTGACTTGCAAATCACCACATATGTGAGTTTCAAATTTAAATTCTGTCATCTTTGACGTGAGTTTCATTTAAAATAACTGTTGGCTAGGGTGGCATTATGTTGCTGTCACACCCCACGTTGCTGAGATGCCTCAGTAAACCACACTGCCTGGAAATTGGAAGCAATGCAATGTTTCAACAGCGAAGTCGGATGTTCCCGAGGAAAAGCTCCTCAACTTTAGAACACCTTGACTTGCACACAGGTGCTGTGTTTTTACTCCGTTCCAAGAGCTGTTGTGTGAGCTCAGGATATATTGATTCCATCTGTCCAGATTTTTTTTTAAGCAGTGAGGAGGTCCGTGTTACCTGTTATTTCACAGAATAGGAATCGCCTGTAGCTCCACTCACTCTACCACTCTCTGGAACTCTCTCTCTTTCCCCCTTCTCTTGCCTTACTCTCCTCCTGTGTTCTGTGCTTCCAACCATGAGACGTTAAGTCTATGCGTAATGTGTTATATAACAATGCAAGTTGTTTCATTAGAGTATCCCTTTAGCAAATGTTAATGAAACATTAAATTTGAGAACTCCTCTATCTCCCTCCACCCGCTCCCAAGTTATTTCTTTCCCAACATATTGCATAATAATAATAATAATTTGGCCACTCAATGTTTGTGGGACACCACTGTGCGCAATTGGCTGCCATACCTCACCCACAAAATATAAGGTCAATTCACTTCACAGTATATTCTGTGAATCGCTTCGAGACATCTCAAAGTCGTGATAAGGCGCTATATCAAATGCAAGGATTATTGTTATTATTATAATACTATATCTGCATCATTGATTTTTCAGAGGCTGGAAACTTTACCCCTGTGCGTGATGGACCTACGACCCCACGACTGCGTTCAGTGAGTTCCTACGGGAATATCCGTGCAGCCACATCAGTACGGAACTTAAATAAGTCTCTTCAGAACCTTAACTTAAATGAAGAAAGTAAGTAGTTTTCCTACATAAGTTAATAGCGAACTGAGCAATATTAGTTGGGTTTAGTTGGTACAGAGTAAATGGCTATATCTTAATCGTTATGGTTCATTGTAAAATTGCAATTTGCCACTTCAGTGTATTTTTTGTTCACTAAAATCTCACCAAATGGGATTTTGAAGTACTCATTCCCCAGCACCATATTGGTTTATCAATAACATGTGTGAAAGGAAGTAGGAGAGGGGAATCAGCGCTGCAAAATGTAGTAATTTTCACAGCTCATTACCTAGTTGTAGCTAGTGGCGTTCCCCCAAACGATCTCATCAAAGTGAACTGGCGAGCGTGTACCTAATTGGCATCTCGCTCAGATTTCAGTAAGTGGCAGCATGGCGATGTATTTGGTTTGTAGCTATTTTAGCTCCAAAGCGTGACACACTGAATCACTTCTTGGGCCGCTGGGCTGCCCATTGCGTGAAGGGATGCAGTCTTGTAATGTTGGAGCAGGATCAAATGAAGCTGGCAGATGAATTATTTGACGCAGAGCGCTGCTGTGTGCCAGAGAAAACTGGTGGATTCTGTCTAGAAAAAGAACATGATGTGCAGTGCAATTTGTTTGTGAAATAAAATTACATTTGGGATTTCAGACAGGATTTTCAGAATAAATTACAATCAAGCTCCTTGCTTTTTTTTTTGCCCCCTGTGCTGAAATATAAAATCCAGTCACTGTTCTAATGGAGATTTTTACGATCTCACTTGCCTTAATCACCAATATTTAGTAGAGAAACGTGCTGGTCCATCAATTTGCTAGTGTTTGGACAATTAATTAGATAACAGGATTTTATTATCATGCATCCAAACCTGTAGTTAGTGAATTGGTTCAAACAACCGACTTTATCTCCAATGTGCATTGAAAACGCATGGAGTCTTGTAGCTCAGTGGTTAGAGCGCTCGCCTCGCAAGTGGGAGACCTGGGTTCAATTCCCGGCAGGGTGAAACCTTGGGCAGGTTTCCGTACTCCACACACCTGATAATAATCCCTCAAGAAAAAAAAACAATAATAAATTGGTCACTTCAATCCACGACTGTTTGTGGGATGCTGCCGTGTGCAATTGGCTGCCCCGTTTCTCCCACAAATACACAGACAATTCACTTTACGGTATGTTCTGTGAAGCGCTTTGAGACATCTAGGAGACGTGATAAGGTGCTATATATCAAGTGCCAGGATTATTATTATTACATGAGCAGTCGTCTTGCTCTGCTAGTGATATCTAGAGGTAGAATCTGTATTGTGTCTTTTTTCTTATTTTAACACCAAAATGTGTAAACGTTAATGATTTTAAAAAAATCACTGAAACAAATTAGATATTATCATCCTCCCAGAGCTAGGAATTATGTTAGGTTTATCTTTGAACCTGACCTAAAATTGTTTCAAAGTGAGATCCTTTGGAGTTCTGATTAGTTTCTATTCGCCTGGGTTTTTTTAAAAAAAAAATTAACTTGTCAGTAAAATAATGATGGAAGTGAAATCGAACTCCAAAACAAAATACTAAAAGCAGCTTGTGGTCACATAAACGTTGATTGCAAAAATCCTTTGGTAATGAAGGAAAAACATAATGAGTAAATATGCTAAATGAAAACTCCTGGTGTGGCCAGATGGATGGAAACAGCTCCTGTGGTTACTCCATGCTTGCTTCCTCGTTGGTGGTGATGTTTGATGCCGTTAATGTCAGTGAATTGAGGGGACTCCTGAGCAGTAGCATTGATGGATTGCTGCTGAGCACGGTGTGCTTTGCTGCATATATCTTGGTGTTCAGAGTGCTGCTCTGAAACCTGAGATGACATTACTACCTTGCAATCTTCCTCGGCCCTCCACGGCCCTGCTCCTCCCTCCCTCTGTGACCTACTAACTCCATATCTCCCTGTCCACTCCCTCTGCTCAGCAGGCTCCAGCCAGCTCCACTATCGGCAGTGGGGTCTTTAATCTCTCCAGCCCCACCCTTTAGAGCTCTATCCCATAGTCCCTTCTCCTGGCTCCCTCCCTTGCCTCCTTCAAGGCATGTCTCAAGATCCTCCTCTTCGGCTCCCCTCCACCCCTCCTGATCCCAATCCCATGCTTGGATCCAAATCCCTGACTGTCCAGCGCCTTGGGACGTCCTCCTGACGTGAAAGGCGCTGTAAAATGTAATTTGTTGTTGCAATCTTGTCTACTTGTATTATGTTTTATATAGTATTTAATGTGAAATTTATAGGTGCATTAGTTTGCTTCTGAGCTTTTATTTAAGCCAGTTATAGGCGATGTAGTAGTAGGTTGCACTTTGCAGTTTATACTGGCTATCTGGACTGAAGGACAGAAATTCGATGGAATCTGCAGGTTCTGTTGATTTTTAGTGACTGGGAAACGATGCCACTGATAAATTAAATGCATAAGAAAGGAAATCACAACCCATCAATATGATCTGTAGCTTGCTCAGAAGAAATCAAAGATGTCTTATTCCTCTCTTCCAGCATCTATAGGAAAGAGAAAATTGGCTTGTTCTGTTTCTTTGTCTGAGAGCAGTGTTTCACTGACAGAATACTAGCAAGGTTTTATTTTTTATTTTTAAAATGTGCTTGTCAAATGTTTATAAGCAAGAATGTTGCCTGTCAATATGTCACCTATAAGAATTGATGTTTAACAGTGGTGTGAGTTTTGTGAGTGACATTTAGTGTGTTTTACAGGTGACATATTGTTATACCACTGAATAAGTAGTATTTTTGTGAAGCTGTAAATTCAATATGTTGGGTTTTATGAATAGCTCATAGTTGATGCAAGAAAAGGTGTTTGACATGGAAGAAAGTTGAGCTTCTTCAAGGCAGCTTTTGCAAGAGAAAAGTTGTGGGAGTGAAATTTGAGATCAGAGGAGATAGTGAGATCAAGAATGTCAATTGATGAAGGAAGATGAAGAGGTAAGAGATGGTAGCTCTTAGTTGTCCTCCATAACCCTGACAAAACTGTAGTTGAAAAAGCAAGAGAAACTGAGTTTCAGTGTCCCATCAAAGGATATCAGAGGTTCAGCTCTGTCCTGTGAGAGGGCCGAAGGTTGGAGCTTGTTGTTGGGGTGTGATCTGTAAGAAGTTGGTGAATGTAGAGCAGAAAGAACTATAGTTTAAGGGATATATGCATGCGACCGCCAGGAAGGTGTAAGGCGAACTAGATGGATCTTGGTCTTTTTTTGTCTAGCATTTCTGATGTTCTTCTATGTTCTTATGTAAGAACTAACGACCTTGCAAATCGAGTAATTTGAGAGGAAGCACGATACCAAAAAAACTTAATGTTGGACAAATTAACATTTGTCTGAACTTGGAAGCGGTTATTTTTACGAATGACACAAACTGGATTCCAAATGAGGGCTGAAGTTTGGGTTTATTCCCGAATGGGAATCAGTTTTAAATTGATTTTAAATCTTAGACCAATTGGTCTTACTGGTCAGACTTGGTGGGATTTCAGGTGTCTGGTGTCACCAGTGTTTCTACTATTTACAGCTCTGTAGAGCAAGTCTCCGATTCATTAAATAAATACAAGGCCATCTATTTCTTAATCTACAATCGCATGCTTATTTCAATGAGTTTAAGTGCATTTTTATATATATATAATATATATATACACACACACAAAACTTGTGGTAGTGTGGTATTTGTTGTTATTGCCAGATCACGGAGTGGACGGTAATTCTGATCAGTTAAACTATGAAATGATGTATTTAAATATCACGTGTTATGAAAGGTGCCTGGTTCTTTTACCCTCTTTCGTTTGCTCATTCTCTCTCAGCTGGTGGTTCAAACCCCTTCTCCCCTGGATATCTGAGCACGAGCAGTAGTGCCAGCAGCACCCTGGGAAGCCCTGACAATGATGAATACATCCTTTCCTTTGAAACCATAGATAAAATGAGACGAGTTAGTTCCTACAGCTCCTTGAACTCCTTAATAGGTAAGACTCCAGGTTTTAGACCGTTCTCCCAGGAAATGCTCTTTGGTGTTGTTTATTCTGTAAGAGGACAACTGTATTCTTGGTTGATATCAATTTTTACTGAGGTTGCTTCCTGCAAAATTAAATTGACAGGGTGATGGTATAAGGCGAAAGAAAGATTCTTTCACCGTTCCTTTCTTGCCAAACCTAACACAGTAACTAACGTACAGGATACTCAAGGGCAAGTCTGATGAGAGCACTTTTTATGGATTTCTCCTCTTTCCCCTCCCTCCCCTCCACTTTCAATTTTATCTGTGTGGCACTTGAATCCTTTAAAAGCAAGCTATCACGCTTTTAAGCACACTTATTTTGCTGCATGCTGTGTTTCTCTTTTTGCTACATTGCTCCTTCCCCACCCTCCCTCCTAGTGATCTCACACCCTTCCATCCTGCATCCTTCCTCATTATTTAACAGGTAATACTTGCTTAATATCAGCTTCAGCACATGTTGTTCTAAGCTACTCATGAAACGATAAGATTCTTGTCTTCAATAAGTTGCAGCGATTGCTAAGGTTGTGTTAATGTGCGTGTCTGCTGTGCTAATGGTTTGCTGCGATTTAAATAGAGCTGTTTTACATGTTACTGTATCGGAAACAGTGAAATCATGGAGTACTATTGTAAAGAGGGTTATTTCCTGATCAGAGCAAATCTGTACAGCCCCCTTTTTTAAAAAAAACTCAACTTGCTGATAAGTACAGTATATAGCAAATTTATACGTTTCAGCTGCATCCGGCTGATAAATGTCGGTGACAAATTAAAAGATACTTCCACTGAATTTCATTGATCTGTTTTTTTTTCACTTTTAATTGCATTTTCCAACAGGACTTAAGCGTACGTTTTTAATCTGAGCATTACAGGGTTTAAAAACCTGCGTCTAGTTTTGTTTCCGATCGTTGTCCAAAGTCTCCAGTGACTTCAGAAATTATATGGGATAATGCTCTGTTTTGGTGTCCTGGGTTTCTAACTGCTGCCCCAGTGCTGCCTATGTTGTAGTTGTTCATAGTACCTCTGGGGGGCACTGCTGCCTCCAGGAGTCGGAGGCAACACCTCTCCAGGTGGTTCTGACACTTTATAATAATAATAATAATAATAATCCTTGCATTTGATATAGCGCTTTTCACGTCGGGAGGACGTCCTTGATGATTTGCCGAGGCTGCCGTTGGTGGCAATGCTGCAAATGCAATGCAAGTGAAACGTCTTCTTGCCCACGTATTATTTTCTGAAAGGTCGTTGCTGCGTTATAGTCTAGCATGGTGCACGAGAATAGTTCTTCTCAAAGAGGAGAAGTCAGCACTGGGAATCATTCCAGTAATGTTCCTCTTATGAAAGGAGTATGTCAAACGCAAGGATTATTAGGATTAGGATTGTTATTTTAGAGTGTGTATTTTTTTCAGGGCCTTTGCAACGCGGCCATTGGCTCTGGTTGCCAGTGGACTCGAGTGAGTTGGTGTGGGCAGCCCAATAAAGCAGGTTATTGCTTCTTGCCTTGTGCATCTTTCCTGCGGACCTTGACTGCTGGAGATATGCACACAACTTGACTTTAAAGGCAGCCATCCCCGCCAGTCTCTTCTCTGGAGTGCTTCTGAAAAGTCTTTTATGCTTCCTTTTCAAATGCATCCAAATATGGCTTTGCAGTTTTTTTTTCCTTCCCCACCACCTATTTTTTTCGCAAGTACTTGACGTCAATACTCCAGTTTCAGAGCATCTTTTTCCCCTGTTCTGTTCTTTGATCATCTTGATGCCAGTCAGTGCCAGCAGCTGAGCTAAGAAGTTATGTCTTGCCACTAGGCTTTTCAGCAACAAGACACCCATCCACAGTAATTGTGCTGCTTTCCTCATGCAGCAAACTTTCCAATCTTTTGAAGAGAGCACATTTGACATTTGAAAGACTGGGGAAAACAATTCTCTGCCAGCCCCACAAATTCCCCAGCTCGTGGCGTAAATCTCCAATTGCCACCTAGCCTTGACATAGAATTATCACTGGTACGTTAAAGCAAACTTTCAACAACGAATCTCCAAATATTGCTTTAACAGGTGATATTCTAATTTGGGACATTGACTGGCAACAAGGCATTGACCAAATGCCATGATGGATCTGCCGTGTCCTTCCACGGAAAACCATCACCCTGCCTAAGGGTGTCCAAACCAAGCTGAGATTTCCATGCATCCCACCTATACCTGGAAATTCCAATCCACGACTGTCCGTGGGACAGTGCTGTGTGCAATTGGCTGTTGCGTTTTGCCCACAAAATATACAGTCATTACACTTTACAATATCTTTTGTGCTTTGCGACGTCTCAATGACATCAAATGCAAGTATTATTATTGTTATAACTATTGCTCCTTGGTTTCTCTGGTGAGAAAATGCAATCCTAGAATTAAAATCTGATCATCCATTATTATATTGTCAAAGATGCTTTAGTTCTTGATTCCTGTGTTAAGAATGGCTGCTGTTGTATTGGTTTCACTGATGAAGGTTGCTTGCGATATGACTTTGTGTTGGAGATGTAACTGAGGGAAACAGACGTATCTTGATATAATGATGTGTTTACTGGAGTTTTAACATTGGAAACATAAGTGTAGGTAAGCACCACATTATTGGAAAAAGAAGATTTCAATGTTCACACTGTGTAAATATTCAGTTAAAACTAAAACAGAATGCTTATAAAAACTACAGAGTTTTATCGGTTTATCAAACCCTCTCACTGTTAAACCAGGTAGTTTTCATATAAACCAGACAGTTTTCATATAAAAGGATTTTTTGTTTGAAAGAAACTTGCAGAACAACAGTCAGTATTGGAGCTTGAATCTAGTCACTTTTCCCTCCAACAAAAGGCAATTGATAGCCTTGTAACAATGACTGACAGTCGAGCCTTGGCATTTCAGATATTCTGCAATGAGCTGCATTAATCTGGTCTAATTACTTCCAATGACATCCCAGTGGTAGCAGTTGTGTAACTACTATCGATTTTTTTCTTGCGTAAGGCCAACAAAAGAGCTTTCCGCAGCTTTGAGCATTTCCGAAGTTGCAGAGGCCAAACTTGGCACTGATTGACACCACAGAAAGCAGAGGTCAAAGAACTCGTCTGTAGGACTGGAACTCACTGCACAGGAACACTCAGACAATGACTGAACGACTTGGCATTGAATGGAATAGTTTATAAAAGTAACTGAATGAGGCGGTACGGTACATGATGTGCCACAGACTGCTTGTGGGTTTAACTCCTGCAAATTCAGATTTGATAGATTTGTCAGAAGTGTTTCTCCACTGGTGTAGTCACCCCAGTACATGGCACCTGCCCATCCCCATTGTCAGAAAAACTTTGTGGAGCGGGCCAGTTGCTAAATAAACCCTTTTGAGCAAATGTTTGAAGCTACAGAGGCTGTTCCTTGCAGGATATCTGAAAGGCCAAGGCTTGACTGTCAGTCATCGTGACAAGGCTATCAATTGCCAGCCTCTGAGTAACATGTTTATTCAGAGCATCCAGCAGAAGAAATAAATATGTTACTCTGGCTGGGCTTTAGTTATAGTGGACACTTGTGTATTTCATGCCGAGTTTATGCTGCGGTTTGTTGCAGCCTTTTCATCAAGAAAGTAAATATTTCTTGGTACTCTGCTCCAGGCTCCCTAATAAGTGTCGAAAAAGCCATTGAAGATCTTTGTGACCGTACGATTTATTAATTGCTGCACTGAGAATCTATGTGAGAAGCTTCTCTCAGATTGTGTCATAAGACGACTAAACTCCTCACAGGACTGCTCATCTGTATGTTTCACGCCTGGTTTATGCTGCGTTTGTTGCAGTGCTTTCATCAAGAAAATAAATACTTCCTGATGTCTGTCCGAAAATCGCCCTTCTGAATCCAGTACTTTTGCCTTCTTGTGCCTCTGCCATCACGTATCTGAGGGTAGCGTTTTGGGCTTATTTTTGCTGTTCTCATCAGCATCTTTTGTACCACAAGTGCAGTTTTGAGTCTCTTCACAATGTCATCGTTTAGTATAATTTATTCCTTTAAAACCTGGGATGAGTTTCCTAGCTTCAGGGTATGTGCATAGAGCTGCCTTGCCCTGTTATTTGGCAATAGACTTCTTGATTGTTTATGTAAATCGGTTTCTATACATCTCCATCCTGGCTTGATATAATAGCACCACAATATAAAGCTGTACTATTTTCATGTAAACTTTCCCAACCTGTAACATTCACACTTCTATTTGTATGGAAATATCAGTAGCTCAATGAAAATGGAATTTTTTTCTTTGCACTTTGAAAGCTGCATACATTTAGATTTTTCTACCTTATCTAATCATGTTCTATTGAGGTTCACAAATAGAGTTGCTCTTATCGGAAGTGAGAACCTTTTTCAAATTATGTACGATTGTTCATTGACATATATATTTAGTGCGGCTGGCAGAATATTTTTTACTATATTTTTTATTCCTTCACTATAGCATTTTAATTGCTTTGCCACACATTGCATTATTACAGACTCATTACCAGTTGTTTGCTTTCTGCATTTTTCATACATACCCCAAGGCATCAAAGTAATTATGTGCTGATAACTCTATGAGTGATGCATTGGGTCAAAATCTGTTGGGTTGTAACTAGAGCAAAAGAGACTCTGCTCCGAGCTCTCGACTAATGAGTTCCCTAAAAGTGTGGTAAAAGCCATTGAAGATCTTTGTGACCGTACAATTTATTAATTGCTTCACTGAGCATTTAGGTACAAAGCTCCTCTCAGATTGCGTAGAAACTCGCTTATGTAAGACTATCCACTAGTTACTCCACCAGACTATTCACCTGTGATGCTCAAATTGTGCATAAATTTGCTTATGTCTGTCATACAGCATTTTACAGGCACCTGTGAAGATTTTGATCAGCCTAGTTATTTATTTCAGGCTGCAAAATCTGACTCCCAAAACATTACAGACAGAATTTCTAATGAAAGAAAGGTTCTGGATTTATTCGCCTCGGTTTTTTGCACGAAACATTGATTAATGAATAATAAAGAAAAATGTCACCTGAGTTAAAGAGGATTTTTATTTTCTTTTAAAGGTGTTTCATTCAACAGTGTCTACACTCAGATCTGGCGAGTCCTGCTTCACCTGGCTGCGGATCCCTTCCCCGAAGTCTTCGACCTGGCTATGAAGGTGCTCAACAACACAGCCTACAAGGTACGGTGCAGAGCAGTGATGTCTATTTCCCCCACAAAATACACAGTATATGCTATAAAGCGCTTTGAGACGTCTCTGGTCCTAGACATTCCTACTTGAGCGAGGACAAAACCAGTTTGCAAAACAGTTTGACTCAAATAGTGATTGCAATCTGCCCTCCTCAAAGTGACATGCTCACTGAACCAGCCTTGGTGTGTATTTGTTTATGGTAGTTTACAGCTGACAGCAGTCTTTTCTTCACCAGCAATACATATTTTACCGGCCTTTGGCTGTGCATGAGTGGGGCGCATGGGCGTACATTATAGTGAGCAGTAGCGCTGTGTGTGTACAGTCTATTGTGGCGCCTGAGCATCTTGGCTGCTGCTTTGAAAGTAGAAAGCCTGTCTCTTGAGATACCAATGCAGAAGATCAGAGTGATTTACAATTCAGAGCTGTGGGAAGTTGCAAGCAGTTTGACTCATCTGTCTTCCCTTGCTCGCATGGGTAGAGTTGGAATTCTAAAGCCAATGAATCAGTAACAAGTTATTGTGGGGAACAAACGTTTGAATTTGAGCAGCATTTGTTTAAGTAGATTATTCATTTGAACTTTGACATCGAATACACAGTAGCTGTTGCAGAATTTATTGAATTTCAAATTGTCCATGTGAATGATCAGTAGCTTAGGCAGTGTTTTGCTGCTGCTCGTTCGTTACGCTTTGAAATCCGACTGTTTTCTCCCCGGCTTGTGCATCATCTGCAGCCTGGCATGTGCTCACCCACTCATGCTATGACTGAGTAGCTGTGGTGGTTCAACAGCAATCACCTAGCCTTGGTGCTGAACTGGACAGGCTGGGACCATCTCAGCAACCTTTGATCTCTGTTACGTAAGCTGATTCTTACTTTACGATTGGCCTTAGCATCCCCTCAGCACACCAAATTAAGTACATGGGAGGCAGCTGGGCATTGATTCTAAGCTGCAGCTTTACTTAAAAATCGATTCAACGACCACAACAACAACTTGCATTTTTATATAGGGCTCTTCACGCCGGGTAGCGGCCAGGAGCGCTTCAGCAACTTCTGATCAAGTGGCTCTTTGCTTTTGATACGGTACTAAAATCTGCATTGGTCATTGGTCCCCCTATTAGTGATGGGAATGATGTGGAATTTGCCTTTACCCACCAGGCGCCAGGGCAAGCTTTGCTTGGACGTCTTATCTTAAGGCTTTCGGAAAACTGTTGTGACTCTATTAGTGAAATCTGCAGAGTAAAAGCTAATTTAGTTGCCTCGAGGATAATCATTCCATCTTCTGTTCTCTGAAAATCTCTCGGAGAAAGAAGATAATCATTTCAGTCTGCCCGGGCTCAGTGAATTTCAACGGATGATCAAACTGAACGGCAAACCTCAAGCTCAGGTGCCTAGAAATTACGCTGCGACTCGTGATATTTTAACCGCTTGAAGGTTGGCGACTGTCTGCGGGGAGACATTCGATATTCAGCTGGATTAAAATGTGAAGATGCAAAGCAAATGGCCGGAAGAAAAAGCCACAGGTGTGGAGACGATTTGGGAATAAGTGTGTGTTTATGTGATAAAACACAGCGTAGAGCTGTCCGTTCAGCACCACTTCAGCAAAAAAGTTCTGAATTGATTTACAAGGATTGTAAATGCTTGAATATCAGTATTAGGCGTTTAGTCCTTAAACTTGTCATGTATTGGAAAGAAATACCAACTACTTCTGGATTTTCATCAAATTCTAGCCTTTATGTACAACCAATCTACTTTACCTTTTACTGAGGGTGGGTGCAGGGGTAGGGAAACGCTTAATAAACAGCTTAAGACATCAGCTCATAAGCTAGTTCTTGAATGTATCCAAGGTTGGAGGTTTATTAGTTGGTGTCTGGAGGCTGACCGACATGTGGAACTAATCTTGGCAGATGACGACTGACCAGCTGCCAACATTTTTTACCTCGGGCATCCAGTGAGGAGAAAAAGATTAATGAAACTACTCCGACAGCTGGAAAAGCTCTGTGAAACATCGCAATGCTTTAGTGGTCCGGATGTATGAGCATGTTAGTTCAAGTTGTGGGTGATGCTCTGTTGGGCATAGTTGAAACACACAGAAAGTCTCTTACATGTGACATATTTCCAAAGCATTGCACACCACAAGGGGTCTGCCAGATTGCAACTCCCACCGCAGTCTTTGAAATTGTTATCAATACCCCATGAAAGTACTGAACACCGTCCTGATAGTCACATACACCTGACATGCCTCACCCCCCAACCCCCTTCACTCCCGTGTTTTGCCTACAAAATATAGTCAATTAATTTTACAGTATATTCCGTGAAGCGCTTTGAGGCGTCTCAAAGACGTGATAAGGCGCTATATCAAATGCAAGGATTATTATGTCCCAAACTATATTGTATCCCGAGATATTAATAGGAACATAAGTGGCTTTATGGCTACTGTATATTGAAACAAATGCCCACTCTGTCCTGTACCAACTTTCTTCAGATTGTTTTTAGAGCTACTGTATGTACCACGGTTTATTGAATCTCTGGATTTTATGTCTATTGAAGGGCAGGCATGTCATGTAGCAGGCACTCGCTTCTAGGAATTTTAGTCATAAATTCTCCCGGGACTATATTAAACATTAAAATATAGCGCAACCAATCAATATACAGCGACACCAATGAATTAATATACCACAAGCAATACATCAATATAAATGAATACAACCAATAAATCTATATGTGGCGGTATACAAAGAAATATCTAGTAATTTTAGGTTAACATGTTTCAGATCACTCGCTTGGCCATCTGTTGCACCTGAAACCGCTGGAACTTCACTTGAAATTCCACTTCTTGAATAGTTTAGTTTAATGTGCAGATAAACTGGTTGGTCGGTGAGAGTAACGGTGTCCAAAGTTGCCTAGATTGACTTTGCAGAAAGCTCTTTGAAAATATACTCCTCTGAGACCCTTGGTTGAAATGAAAGATCGTGGGATCCAGAATTGAGTTATAAATTAGAATCGAGTTCTGCACTCGAAGCAGAAGGAACTTATTGATGATAATGTGTCCAATAGAAATCAGTGGAGTTCCCCATGGACTTTGTGATGACATTTGAAGTAGAGCACGTAAGATTAAAGAGAATGGTCGGAGGACAGACACTCGCCTCATTTGATGAGGTTGGATTTGGAGATGAGATCTTTACTTTGAGAAGGGATTGTGATTTACCATTGAGGAAACCACAAACTAAAAGCAAGAACAATTTGACACTGAAAAGTCATTACCTAATAGAACAGATTGCTGTGTAGCTTGGTGAGCGCAGGCTCATTTAATAAGCAATATGTACGGATTCCTAGCAATGCAGCGATAAAGGGAATTTACCAAGTTTGAAGCAGCTGAAATTGTACTGAGTGGGACTTGTGTACAAGCTACAAACAGTGGGAAATTGTTTGGCAGAAAATGAAACAAAAATTAGATTGATCGCTCAATAAAAAGCAAAATGGCACAATTTTTGTACAAAACGTAAAATTTCTAATTATTTTTTATTTAAAAAAAAGCCTTTTTAAAATTCTAACAAGGTATTGTGATGAGTTCTTAGGCTATATTCTGTCAAAATTGCTTAGCGAAGAATGCGTGCAGTACAGAATTGGAACACGTTGAAGGCAATTTAGTGAAGAGCTTCAGACGTGCTTGCTCACCTCATCTTTCCTGAAACAGAAATTGTGTTTTTTCTGGCACTGAATGATTTATAAATGCATCATACATTTAGTTTGAGAAAGTTCTCTCTATTATTTTTTGCCTCCCTAAGAAAACCAGTGCTGATTGTCATTGATGATCGAGGTTTGGGGAAGGTTGGGTGAAGGAGGGTCCTTCTTTTTTCCCGCAGTTGATGAAAGTGGAATTGCTAAATGCAAACACTTATTTTCATACGGAGGAGACGTTAATGTTTCACATGGCAGCGGTACATCGGGCAGTGAATATAATTTTTTTTGACAACTTTCTGTTTCCCTGTAGGCTACCATGAATGCAAGACCTCAGCGAATCTTGGATTCTGCCTCCCTTACTCAGTCGGCTCCAGCCAGCCCCACCAGCAAGGGAACTCACATTCATCAAGTTGGGTAAGTCATCAACAAGAAGGAAACTACGCTAGGGCATTGGCAATCCTTCACCTAATCGGGAGCCTTCACCATTAAACCAGCGAGCTCACTGTTCAGATTCCATGCTTCACAAAATGGCCTTCCTAAGCCACTTTGTACCAACATACATCTCCAGGAACGAACAAGACACATTCCTCCCTTGTCTCTGTCACTGCCACCTGTCTAAAATCGCCACTTTAAAAAAAAATAATCTCACTTTCTATTCTTTCCCTGTGTCTATTCCTTAATGCTTAATGTTTTTACTGCTCAGGTGCTTATCCAGTTCCTTTTCAAATGGATACAACAACAACTTGAATTTATATAGGGCTCTTCATGCAGGGTAACGTCCCAGAGCACTTTCAACCACAAAACATAGTCAATTGACTTTACCGTATATTCCGTGAAGTGCTTTGAAGACGTGGTGAGGCGTTTTATCAAATGCAAAGATTATTATTATTGAGTGCTTAACCCAAACAGTGTCAATGTAAGGTCATTATGTTGACCATTTTCCAGCAGATACATCCTAATTCTGGTCTTGAATCTAAAAGTGTGATAGAGATAAAACTATCTTGGGTGTATATTTCTTGAGTGGCGAGTCTCTGTATTGTACAGGATACTGTCTGAATTATCCAAGTTTGGATTTCCCATGGTTGATAAAATCTGATTGATTTGGGTTTTTATTTCTGCTCTGAAATTGGAGACTGATTTAGGACAAGTAAGAGTTTACTCGTCCCTGACCTGAAGACGCTGAACTCAGCTGGCACATAGAATTCATTAACATCAGATGCCCTCTACTGCTTCCCCCCCAGTGGCTGTTTCTGATGCAATGTTGATAGACTGTTGAGCCAGGGGAGGGGGAATACTCACAGCTGAGCCTGATCCTGTCTTTATCCGATGCCTCCGCATGGACACGTTCCAACAGAATTAACCGGATTGTGATCGGAGGACAGGAACCCTAGCTCAGCTTTCCCCTCTGGTGCAGCACCCAGGCACGAGGCCAGATGGAAGTCACTCTGCGTCCTTTGTGCTGCTCTTAGCTGAAATCAACCACCTTGGCACAGGCAGCAAATGAAACCTGTGACCTTCCCGGTCCAAAAGGCACCAGCTTTCCTAACAGGGCATCGAACTTTGTAAAATGTTATTTCAAGCGGATTGCTCAGCGCTGACAAATTTTTAGAGATTTTACCTGGAAAACATTGTGTGTTTGTCCAGTCGATTTTCAACAATTTGATTTACCTAAACACTCAAGTTATACTTTTGATAAGAGCTTTGTACAAACATTTCCAGTGTAGCTGCAGGCTATATGGTATTATTTTAGTTGAGCTGAACAGTTGTGTTAATCTTGACATCTTGAGCTCGCCATATGTGGACAGCATGACTTATAGTAAAGTAAATGATTGCTTATTAATTTAGCTTAATTGCAACCCTTGGGTACATTTCATTTGAATAGCAAGGAACATATCGTGTTCCACTAGTCTCGAGGTGTCACTGTTCATCAGCATTTTCCAAAACACGTCTTTAATTAACTGCTTTAGGTTTGGTTAAATATGCACTATTTGCAGTTGTGATGTTTAGAACAACAACAAATTGCATTTCTATAGCTCCTTTCACATCAGGAGGATGTCCCACGAACACATTTTGTTGCGAAATACAATATTCTTCCATTGGACAAAATGAATGGAGTGTTGTTTGGAACAAAAGTGAATCTGTATATTGGTGCGAGGGAGTTAGGGGTTCAGGTGATGGTTTCACTTGGGTTAAGCTGAACGGCCACTTGCGGACCCACATCTGTTTATTTCTAAGGTCATCGTGTCAGAAAAGTGCCATTCCTTTTGGGTTGAATTAGGTGGAAAAAGCAGAAACCCTGCCTTTTCATTTATGCTGCTGGGAGAATGACAGTGTGGAGCATGTGGGTGGAAAGAGAGTGAGTCAGATTTATACTTGCCAATCCACATTGATTCCCAGTGGGACTATTTAACATTTGGTTTTGGAGTTCAGTGAATGTGCAGCTCAGCTGAGCTTTGAAATTGGAGATTAATTTTGCAATGTCGTTAAAATGGCGGCCACACTATTTATTCTTCCTGAGCTTTGCAGCATCGTAGGAGATCCTGGTCATCAGGTGAGATGTTAAACCGAGCTTCTGGTGGACGTTAAAGATTCTTATGCTGGTCGAGAAGAGAGGGGAGTTTTCTCCTTGTGTCGTGGCCAACAATTGTCCAGATTAATTGGCCATTCACTTCTTGGCTGTCCGCGGAACTTAGTTTCGTGCAAATTGGCTGCTGCGTTGTTCTAATACAGGCAGTCACTACACCTTACAGCAATTTATTATCAAGCACTTTGAAACACTTGATGCTTTAGATGTCTTTGTCAGTAGATATCACACTCATTGGTTTTACTGACTCAAATAGCTAAGAACACTTAGCATTAGACAATTTTTTAAAAAAAAACGTGTGTTGCATACTGACAGCTTTTCGTTCGTTATTGATTGAAAAATAATTTTTCCGTTACCCTGGGTCTGAAAGGTTTAAAAATCCACACCTCCTACATCTCCATATGATTTCACCCGTGTGATGAATCAATTTGGCCACATGGCCTGTAAACTATCTCTCCGCAATGGTGGAGAGTTTATTTCAATTCATGTAGAAAGTGTGTAAACCTCAGCTTTCTGGTGTAGGTGAAATTACAAAATGTGAGATGGGACTCGGAATTGGATGGTACAGGCAAGATTACATATTGTACCCTTAATGGGAGGATTGGAACCTTGGAGTTTCCCTTTAAGATTGCAGTGGTGTTTTCTAAACCCTAAAAATAAAATAAAAAGTTTGGAATATTCAGTGTTATCCGAGCGTATTGTTGACTGAGACATGTTGCCAGGATTTTGCACTTACTCATGATGTTCCATAATATTCTGCCTTGTGTCTTGGCAGAATGCCTTTTGTAAAAAGAGTGGTGTTTGAAAACCGTAGAAATGAAAAAAATCCCTTTGTCCTTGAGCGATTGAACCTCATGGTCACCCTTGGCCTGCTCATGTGAAACAGTTAATCAAGTAGCTGAGAAGTGGCTTTCGCTTTCAAAGCCCTCCTCGGCCTTGGTCCTGCCCACCACTGTGACTCGCCAGCTCCTTACTGACCTGTCCGCTTCCTCCGCTCAGCGGACTTTGTCCTGCTCCATGTCCACTGCCCTGCCCGCTCCACCATCGGTGGTCGGACCTTCAGCCTTTCTGCCCCCAACCTTTGGAATTCCATTCCACAGTCCCTTCACCTCGCCGCCTCTCTCACCCCTCCAGCTCTGTGTGTTGGTGTGCCGAACTTCAAGGTACATTCTCCATTAAACTTAACACTGGGTTCAATCCGCTGAGCTTTGCATTTCTCTTCTCTCTAATTATGCTCTCCAGAACAGTCCATTTAACCGGACTTAGCATTGATTTATTTGAGGCGTCTCTACGTGGACCTGAATCGTTTGTAAATGAAAAAGCATTAATACAGTATTTGTTTGTGTGTTCCAGAGGTTCACCTCCCATACCCAGTACGAGTAGTTCCAGTCTAACCAACGATGTGAGTAAACAGCCTGGCCCCAGGGAGTTATCAGCCGCAGCCTCGCGACAGGGAATTGCCACTACAGTAGTAGGGGTGCAGTACACTCCACATTCCCATCAGTTTTCCAGAACACGCAAGATGTTCGATAAGGGACCCGATCAGGTAAGAAGCTTTTGTTGGGTTTGCTGTTGCGTGGAAGGTAACAAACTTGAAACAATGGAATAAATGAGCACTTTTTTGAAAGTTCAAAGAATAACCCTCAAGTGAATCACAAAGGTCTATTTTAGAATTGGTGTCTTGCCGTTGATATGAAGTTGACGTCTCAACAGTGAGTGTGTAGAGTGCTGTTCTCTGTGGACAGTCACACATCACGTGCATTTATATGTAAAGAATACCACAGAGTAAAGGTCTTATTTTAAGTTATATCAAAGGGGCTGAAATATATAACTGGAAGGATATTGAAAATGATCCGAAGAAGCAGGCGTCGTGAATGATTGCAAATGCGACCTATGGGAAATGCAAGGACTTGAGAAGATTATTTTTTTTAAAAAAAAAGATTATGACTTGGGAGAGGCAAAAGATCAGCAGGGCAGAAATACCTTTTTTTATTTAAAACTAATTCCAACTGGAGAGAGTGATTTGTTTTTTAACCTTGTGCGCTGGTGTAAGTCGCAGTGTGAACGAGCTGTTCAGTATAAAAGAGGTTGCATTTCAGAGTGCGGCTGGTTCATGCAGAGACTGATCACGGTGAAATTCTCCAAAAGTGTTGACTGAATATCCAAAATACTCAAGTGCTGCCCTCACAAAACCAGGGCCTGCGTTGATGTTATGCCTGTTTAAAAGAAGGTGTCCTTTTGCTTTCAAAACCTATTCCTTTCTACACTGTGCTGCAAAACAGAGTATAGCCTTGGCCTATATGTGTGATCTCACTGCCAAGGCTTTGGCTGATTCTCTAACCCTTTACGATGATCGAAGAGAGGAATTCTCAGCAGCCCGGTGAGCCATCTAGCCAACACTTAATTTCCAATTCATTCCCCAGATGATGCTTGCCATTTGGTGAGATTGTGAGCTCTCTTGTCTCGGTGTCGGTTGAAGTGCCATACACTTTCAGTTTTACAATCTATGGGAAAGGAAAAGGGACAGAGAGGGATAAAATTGCACTACTCACTCAACTATTGTTCATTATAACCTGAATTTTCTGCTTAGTTGATCAGCTCATTTCTCCAGCACATTTGAAACGTGGCAAACATTTATTTTCGATATAAGGAATATCTACGGTGAAAATAAAAGCCTTTCCTACCATTATAATAACTTGTGGGACACTGCTGTGCGCAATTGGCTGCTGCTTTTCACCCACAAATATATAGTCAATTTACTTTCCAGTATTTTCTGTGAAGCACTTTGAGAATGTTTCAGTGACATTGCAAGGATTGTATATTATATATTTTTTATTATTATTATTGAGACATGTGTTCCATAATGTGCCTCAACATCATTTAATGTTTGTGGGCCTGGATCTCACAGCCGTTTAGAACCGAAAAACAATGAAACTCTTGATTTGGGATGTTTGCAGTGGTCTGACAGAGGGATTTCAATCTGGGCTGTGATCCAACCTCGGAGCAAGAGGTGAAGGGACATTAATAACTCAGCACAATTCCTTTTGCTTCAAGTACTGCTCGTATTTGGCAGATCAAGACAGAATTGATCAGTTCTCCACCTGGAGACAGGGAAAGAAATTAACATTTTGAAATTCATTTGAATAATATTTTTGCCCTCTGTTTATTAGCAGCTTCTGGCTCCAGTGTTTACTTAAAAAAAAATTGCTTGGTGACTGAGATTGGAGCAATATTTGGAAATGGATCAACAATAAGATCTGATTAAAACTCGTCGAGTCGTTCTTGGACTACTTAGAAAAAGAATTGTAGAATTGCAGTGCACTTGGGCTGTCCTTCACCATGTCTTAATATCACAGAGTGAGTTGCTTATTACCTTTGCCAGGAACAGTCGTACATATGTTCCAAATGAGCCCACACGTGGCTCAGAGAAATGACACATGGTCTCAGTGCTCCACATTTGGCAGCTTAATATTTTGTGATGGTTTTAGATTTGAGGCAGTCTGTGTTAGACCAAGGGTTGAGTCTCGGGCTGTGTTATTTTGATTTTGTTTATGGTCGTACTGTTCCAAGACTATTGCAGTCGAGCAGTCCCAAGTCTTTACAGTGCCTCAATGGCACACGAACGGACAGTGTCGGTGACCGCATCCCATACCGAAACTGAGATAACTGCTGCATGTCAGAGAAGCAAGCCAGTCACAACACCACTTTCATGCTGTTACTATGACACACACACAGCCAAACTAGCGGGGCTTCTGTCAAGCAGCCACTCTGTAATCCTATGCCTGGAGCTTCATTGTTAATGTGTCCAGTAAATACTAAATCTTATAGAGACAACGCTTCTTAATGTAAAACTATTTAACTGAAAGCAACAGCGACAAATGACATTTGTACAGTGCCTTTCACGTCGGGAGGATGTCCCAAGGCGCTGGAAAACCTATGGCAACATCCCCAACCTTTGCATCTTGGGCCGTTTTCTTTGAAAATGCCTGACATACTGTAGTTAATGATCATGTCTAGTTTTCCCAATCAAAGCATCAGTTTCGTCCATTGTAAATCAGTGTTGCTATTTCTTGATTTAATGAACAGAAATGTCAGTCAGCAGGTCACCAGGGTATAATAGTATTAAAATTTTAAATGGGACAGTGCTTTTATTTTTTTTAATATTAAAGAAAATCTCAGCACGAGGGAAGGACTGTAGCAAGTTCAGAGCTGAGCAGAAATCTCTCAACCTTTGAATGAAAAAGTTGGCACTTAAGGCACCAAGATTCCTAATTAATTTAATCACTGTGTGTGTGTGTGTGCGTGCGTGTGTCTTGTCTGTGTGTGTTTATAGCGTGTGTTTACAGTGTGTACATGTGTGGTTAAGGGACTAATATCCAGTCTTGCTGAGTGTCTGGTACTGGTTGCTAGGACAACTTGGCACTAATGATGTTACCGATACAGCACTCTGACCCACTACGGCTACTAATGAGCCTTTTTCTTTTACACTAATAAGAAGTATAATTGTCTAGCAGACCCAAATTGATAAGTTTACAATTTTAAAGTATAAAAAAAAAGAAGTTGAGTGTTTTGTAGTCCTTTCGCATGTTGAATAGCTAACAGCAGCTTGCATTCCATCACCTGAAGTCGTCATTGATGATTTGGTGGCAGTGATCTGATGCTACGTTTGGCTAACTGCAGAGACCATGTTTGAACAAAAAGTAGCTTGGAGAGAGGTGCATGTCAGGGCTAAATGGGATTATGAAACTCACCAATGCTCTATCACCAAGAAATCTACGTCAACCTGCCTCAGTTGTTAGAACCCTCACCTCTGGGTCAAAATGAGGTATGTTCAAGCTCCACGTTGGGGCTGTTGGCTCACCGTCGAGGCTGATGCAGAACTGGGGAAGCTTCGCATTGTCACGCACGCAGTTGTTTGGTGAGATGTTATCTAAAGTTCCGTCTTGTCTGTTCAGGTGGACATTAAAAGATCCCACAAACAATACTATTTGAAAAGAGAAGAGAGGGTGTCCCAGTTTCCTGGACAACAATTCCCCCCCTGGTTAATAACTAGTTGTTCACTTCACAGCTGGTTGGGGGACATTACTGGGCCTAAATCAGCTGCCCTATTTGCCACAAATGCGCAGTCACTGACTGCACTTGACAGAAAATCTCTGTCATTCGCTTTGAGATGTTTCAACGTTACAAGGCACTATATCAAATCCAAGGATTATTATAACAATCTTCCAAATAAATTAGTGATTCATTTCATGGTTGGTTGTTGGACCTGCAGCATACAAATTTGACTGCTGTGTTTCCATCAGCAGAAGACAAGGTGTCGAAATGACCATTTTTCTTAACGAGGGTGATGGTTTTAGAGCGTAATTAACAATAAGGCCCATGTAACTGTAGACATGTGCTTTGGCTGCTGGTGGATTCTGTGCTGCCTTTCATCATTCAATGAAAAAAGGCTGCAGTGCAGTGCTAGCTGTGGACATGTATACACTGAGGAATGTGTTGTTTATTGAGTGTCTGTGAATCAAATAATGAACTAACGGCATCTAGGAGTTTTCAGAGAAATAAACACTAAATTCCTGGGCTTTTACTTTATTTATAACCCGTAACTAGTTCACAGTCTTTCCTTTTCCAGTTTTTCGAACCGTTTCTGTGGGTTGTGAGAGGAGAATAAATTGTTGCTGCGTGTTGCTAAGTTTGGTACGAGTTTATGTTCAGTTAAGATTGTCTTGCTGAAAGATGAAACTCTTATATAATAATAATACTTGCATTTGGTATTGTGCCTTATGTTGTTGAGAGGCCTCAAAGCACTTTGCAGGATTTATTGTAGAGTGGTTATGACTGCGCAACATGCAGCAGTCCACATACAGCAGTGTCCACAAACAGCCCTGAGTGAGTGACCTATTTTATTTGTGGGATTGTTGGCCAGGACACCGGGAGAGAGAAACTCCCTTCTCTTTTCGAATAGTTCTCTATGAGCAGGCAGATGGGACCTCGTCTCATCTGAAAAACGGCACCTCCAACAATGCAGCACAGCCATAGAGTGGCATTGGAGTGTCAGTTTAGACAATGTGATTCCAGATCCCGAAGTGGGGGCTTGAACCCACAAACTTCTGACTCCGAGGCGAGAGCACTGCCACTGAGCCAGGCTGATGCACGATGTGCAGGTCTTGTTTAACCCGGTGTTCAACGAAAAGAGGCCTTTAATTGTAGAAGCTCGGTACAACTTGTGGGGTGTAATTCCAGCTGGTTTTATGTTTCCAGACTGTCGAAGATTCAGAGGATGGAGTTGGACATAAAAGCTTCATAACGACCACTATGCAGACGGGCTACTGTGATTGGAGTGCAAAGTATTTTGCGCAGCCAGTAATGAAGGTAATCAAATGCTTTTAAAGATCGCAGATTAACATTGATTTCTTGTTTAGGGCTGGAGGTACACAAATTTACTATCATGACATTAGTTGTTCGATTTGCACCGGGCTAAATGTGGCCCTGGCGAAGGAGAGCCACAGTATTAAGAACATGAACTCTTTCTGGGAACTGCTCAGATCTGCTGCCCAGAAACTAGGTGGAAAAATTCTTTGACATCGTCCCACATTGGGATACACTCTATTAATAGAGCACAGTCCTGGTGGAAGTGGGTGAGAAAGGAACTGCTGGAAATCCGTATCTGAAAAGCAGGCTGGTGCTTCAGGTGAGGTGGTGGCTGTATAGGAAAAGACAAGACAGACCCGGCCAAGTATTTGGAAAGAATTTAAAAAGCGACTCCACACGCAACAAGGCAGTTGATGATTCCATTATCAGAACACGGCAAGCAGACAGAGGGATCATGTGGGGAAAAATGCAGGCGTGAGAGGCTGAACACCTTTCACATCAGGAGGAATGGGGGCAAGAAACAAACTGGATGGGGGTGGGAAAAAGAAGTAATAAGTTGAGGGTTTGGGATGTAAAAGGCCTGAACCCTGAGATGCTGTTTCCTCACGTTTGTGTTGGAGTTGGCTGGTGACCAAGGTTGAAGAGGTCAGCGTAGGAGGCACAGGGAGGTCTGGCGTTAATAATTAATATAATTAATAAAAAGAATGTGGTCGGGATTGAACTTTTCAGAGGTGAAACATTACTCATGAGGGGGACGGGGGCTGCTTCCAACATAATGTCAAGGGTAAGATAACCGTTTAAACCTCTATTGAAGGGAGCCCAAAAGAGAAACTGAAATGGAACAATAAATGTATTAAAAAAAATCCCTACACCATCCAGTCACTGCAAGGTTTAGTTTAAATGGATCCAGAATAGCTAAAGCTCCACCGATTTTAATTCATTTCATGTTCTCCAAGTAGCACAGGAATGGGACCTGATTAACGATTTGAGAAATCCCTGAATCTCACCCGTTCACGGGAATGGCTCCCCGCAGATTCTTTGCTGAGGAATACTGAAATAAATGGTGGTGGCGAACTCAAAGCCCAACTGGATTTTATCTGATCGTAACTCTCTCCTTGCCCACTGAAAGTACGGGTCTAACATCACTTTATGTCTGTGTAATGATATTTTAGTCACAGGCCCTAAATGTCAGTCACATTTCATATGATGTACTGTACAGCGCACTGACTGGCAGGAGAACTAAAGTAGTTGGGAGCAACAGGGATTGTAACAGTAAACTTTATGCTGCAGAAACCCCTGAGTTCTACGTGTTAAAATGCTGAGCTGGTATTCAGAGGGTTGTACCGTTGAATCGCAAACTTCCCTGACACGTGGCATCTTCAAATTATTCCATTAAGGTTTTGTGATTAGAGTACGTGGCTGCTCTTTCATAAGTCTGCGCTGTCCTTACACACAGTGGATTCAACGGTGAATTTATTTCAATATCACCAGCAGTTTTAGGTTCTACCTTGACAATTGGGGTCCAACTTGCAGCCTGATTTGAGAAATTTATTTAGTGTGGATCTCCGCCCCCCCCCCCAAATGGTTCTCACAGCTGATATCTGTGAACATTAACTTATGTTGTGGATCATGCTGCTATTCAGGATAGCAGGATCCCAGGATTCCCCCGTGTTTGAGGGCAGGGGGGAGGCACGTCGGGAGCATTCACATCAATGCTAAAGCACTTTCTAAGTTTATGTTTAACAATCAAGAAAAAAAAAGCTCAGTGAAGCCTCTTCATATGTTATTGTGGGGGCGGTTGAGGGTGGGGGGGGGATAACGGCTCTCTGAGCATTAAGGCAGATGAATGAAGCTTCATTTCACTAAAACGTCTTGGCATTCCATCTCGTGAATTGGCTTTATTTGTTATATCTATCTCACTCTGAAGCAGTCGAATACTAGCGTACTCCATGCTGCTTGGTTCAGTTTTCGTACAGTTGTGCCAGCTGTGGCTGAAGCACTCAGGGGTGTGGGGAGGTTTAAATAAAACCAGTTTATTGGTTTTCTCCCAACATACTGAAGCAGCGCAACGCAGATCTAATAATTGGTTCTCACTGAGTGGGAGATAGAAGATGTAAAAATCTATGGTGTGTCATGATCCTAATCATGTAACACTGTTTCAACGCCCACGTTGCCTTAGGAGTTCACAGGCAGCTTGCTAATGGAAGAAGAGCTGTGCGTTATTGCACAGAGTTTTTTGAAGTGGGGGGGTGGGGGGGGGGGAAGAAAAAAGATAGGACTGACTGTCTATATTATCCTGACGATAAGTTACTACATAATGAAATGGTGCCGTTATAATGAGCCAATTCAGTCCAGCTCAGTTCCCCCCCGTGAAATGAAAGGTGGTGTTTTAGGAAGTGGCGATGCGTGGCCTTGGTACGTGCAGCGTGAGATGAAAGCAGCCAGGCTTGGATGGCTGGTAGCACGTGCGTTTGAGTCTGGAGGTTGTGGGTTCAGGCATTGCTTTGGGCTTTGATCTCATGACCTGGACCAAAAATTGTATGCAATACTGGGGGAGCGTTTCAGTTGTCGGGGGAGTCATTAAACCAAGTTCCTGTTTGGCTGTTACCTGGTGAATGTTAAAATAATAATAATAATAATCCGTACATTTGATATAGCACTTTTCACGTCTTCTAGACGTCTCAAAGCGCTTCACAGAATATGCTGTAAAGTGAATTGACTGTATATGTGTGGGCGAAACGCAGCAGCCAATTGCGCACAGCAGCGTCTGTCCCACAAACAGTGGTGGATTGAAAATGACCAATTTATCATTGTTTTATTTTGAAGGGATTATTATTAGGCGAATGAGGTAAGGAAACTTGCCCAAGGTTTCGCCCTGCCTGGAATTGAACCCAGGTGTCTCGCTTGCAGGGCGAGTGCTCTAACCGCTGAGCTACAGGACTCCAAGTCCCGTAACTATTCAAAATGATAGGGAGGGGAGGGTGGGAGTATGGAGTGGGGGTGGATTCCCACAGAATAAGAGGACGCCTTTGATTTCTCTTCTAAGTCAGCTAAAGAATAAAGTGTCAATTAAAGTGATGATCCCTCAGTGCTTGTTTAGACTGTACATATGATTGTATATGCATAGGTATATGTGTGTGTATATACTCCAATAAAAGACTAGATTGTTCTTGTCTTAATATATTGTATTTATTCTCTTCTCTCCCCCCCCCCCCCTTACCCCTCCATCCCTAAAAAAAACAAAAACAAGGTAATGTACATTTGGAGTGTTTCAGTATTTGAATCACGCTTACCAACAGAAGGTTGTATTTGTTGAACTAGAGTTGTCATTATTTCGGGTGATTTTAGGCTGGGAGAAAATAGTTGCTTCACTCAACTTGCTCGTATTACGTGAGCAAACGTCATCAAGTTGCTGATGCCTCAGAAACATCTTATCCTAAAGATTATTTTTTTAACAGCTTGTCAATAAATAAGCGAGGAAATTAATTGTGGGGATGTTGAACAGCCTTGCCTGCCTCCGGACTGTAGTGATACAGCCCTTGGTCATAGATGCTGAAGTTAGCACTCTTCTGTGTACCTTGCTATGGCTGAATCCATCCCTGCACTGATGCCACAAAGTTGTGAATAAAGCAGACAAACCCCAAGAAAAAAAAGTGTTGTTTAAGAAACTGCTTCAGCTATTTTGTCTCCTGTAATCGTGCAGCTTTGATTTATAACTCAATCATCCAGTCAGTATGTTAAATTTTTGCACTCGGCTGATAGGCTTTTATCACTGCTTTTAATTTGAGCAAGTAATTGGCATTTAATGTTACCATTAGCAGCTGAGATCAGCCCAAGTATTTGATTCCTGCCTTAATGGGATTTGAGGAGGTGGCCATATTCTGTAGATTTCACTTTTGTGGTGTTTTCACATTGATTTCCACCTTTTCTGTGTTTAAGTGCATCTAGTATGAAAATACTTGCGATCCCAAATTTGTCTGTTGAAAGATGTTGTTTTGGTCAATAGCAGTAAAGCAGCCTTTTCCACTTACACAGTCTGTACACGTCACAGTAAAAATCCTGTGAAGTGCTCTGAGACGTCTCAATGATGCGATATCAAACGCTAGGATTATTATTCATTATAGAGTATTTGTGTCATCGAAGATGAAGAATCCAAAGTATTGTCTAAAGGAAACCTGTTCTGCTTTGAAGAGTGAATTTAAGAACCCAATTTGATTTCCAAAATTCTGCCCTTTCTTACATTTGAAGTCAAAGAGGCGGAGGAATTATAAATCGCAAGAGTAGCGCAGTAACACAAGGTGCTGCAATGACTTACTGAAAGCTAAACTGTAACCTAGCCTCTGCTTTTCGCCCGTTTCATTTTCATTTTGTGCCTCAGTAACTCTGTTGACAAACTTTTTAGATGATTTTTGGATCACAGCCATTAATCTGCGTACGCTTTAGGTAACCGGAAGCGTTTCAAGAGCAAAACTAGTTTCTGAAGGGCTTTGGAAAATTCCCCTCATTAGAATCATCTTTGAATAAGATAGAATGATAAGAGATGTTGATGGAGACCTGTGAGAATTGGTTCGGAGAAGCAGCAGATTTGAAAACGTATAAAACGTTTCAAATTCTGAAAAGGGAAACCAATGTGAATAGCAGCGTGCAGAGGGTTGATCCTAGGCGGAACGAAAAAAAAAATGCTGTTTTCTTTTCCCCACGATTTGTAAATGATTGTGGCCGGTGCTTGAGTAACCACATCTTTTGAGCATGCAGGAAAAGGGGAATGTGAGCACTGCGGTGCTTTCCGAAGTGAAACTGCAAATTTATGTAACCATTATAAAATATTTATGAAGAGAGGGATGCTGGAGTGCAGAACCCAGCCAGCTCTGGGCACTGCAGAAGCAAAGTTAAATGTAGCTCCCAATCGTTTCAGACCATCCAGTCTGCAGTAACTGCAGCTGTGTTTTTGAACAGCATATTCCCGATATTATTAACGGTATTGCTCTTCCGATTTGTAATTTCACCGGCTTCCTGCACATTGCTGGTTTACGTTTGGGACCCGCACAGTTAAGTCTTTGAATACTAGCTTATCCAGTAAATAGTAATCATCAAAATGCTTCGATTCTGACTCTTGTCGGTCGGAATATGAAGATGACGCGCAGAAAATTGTGTGTGCGCACGTGTGGTGCAGCACACGTTTGAAGAAAGTAGATTTACCACACTTGCTAAGAGCGAATTCTTTACAGCCATACAAACCTGATTCTTAAATGTTTCTCGCAAACTGCACTATTTTGCTTTATTTTTGTGCTTCTCCTGGCAGCTGGTGGGAGTGGGTAGTCAAGGCATTGGTCCAACTTTGAAGGGTTCACCAAAGACATAACTGGCAAGACAGACTGAAATAGTCCCTCTCATTTTGAACCCTAGGGGTGAATTACTGCTTCTAATGTACTATTGTTCATTTGAAGTATCTGACTTCTCTGTACAAGCACTTTCCCCTTGTTCCCTTCCTACCAAAGTGCATGAAATTAGTTCTTTTGAATGGTGAATCACAAAGCAATGTATCCGGCACATTATTGTGCTTCTGTAGGCTAGTTATTACAATGCATCAATGCAAAATTGCATTTGTATAGCGGCTTTCACGTCAGGAGAACAATAAATTGGGAATGCATTCATTATGCAAAAGCAAACGTCACAATGTTTGAACTTTTCCTTCCACATAAACACATGGTGATAGGGACAATCAATTCATTCTGTTATAAAAGTGTAGCGAGCAATTGAATCCTGCCTTTGTGTTGGTGATGTTTAGGCCTCTTCTCATGCTTGATTTTTCTTCCCACTGGAGCTGAAGAAACAATAGTGAGGACGTGGACCTCATTGCCAGAAGCCGTGGTTCAAGCAAATAACATCAATGTGTTTACCAGGACCCTGTAAAACAAACAGATTTACTAACGCTGGTTCAATCATTCTTACTCCAATGACACGCTTGTGGAAAAGTCCCAGATTTGGGCTTAATTTGTAAGCCGGTTTTCCGAGGACCCTAAAAAGAGAGAGCGGCTTCCAAACCGTGACCGGCTTCAAGAATCTTCCATAATTCTGCACGACCTCGAATCTCCAGGCAAAAGGGGCTCACAAAATAGGCTAAGGCGAGGTGGAATATTAGGCCGTTGGAATCTTTGTGTTTTTTGACTCCGTTCCAAAGTCTGACTCCTCTCTCAGCACTCTCTGTATACAGGTTATAATTTGAAAATCTTCACTTTCCGATTTAGAGCTTTTTGGCAAGCTATCAGTGGGCCGTCATAATTATAATGGCTCCAAGCCGTAGTCTATTTGTATTCAACAGCTTTCTCTCAGACAAACAAGCCTCTTAATAATAGACTATCTGATTAATTATCAACTTCATTTAAAAGGAGCTCTTCCAAATCAGAGATGTGTGAATTTCAATTTCTAGAAAAAAAATTAACATTTTTTTATATGAAAAAAAGGTTCATTATCCCTTCCCAAAAGATTTTGAAAGATGAAACATTTAATTTTAAATTGCTGCAAATTCAAACTCAATGCAATTGACGCCTCGTCTCATTTATTTAAAATGTAATGAATGACACTGTGCTAATCATCAGAGGATTGAAATTTCTCCCAGCCTTAATCTCAAGGTCAGTGCATTAATAATAATAATTCTTGCCATTAATAAAGCACCTTATCACGTCTTTGAGACGTCTCAAGGTGCTTCACAGAAAATACTGTAAAGTGAATTGACACTATATATTGTGGGCGAGATGTGGCAACCAATTACACCCAGCAGTGTCCCACAAATAATCATGCATTGAGTGACAAAATTATTATTTTTAAAATCTTTATTGCATTGTTTGTGGTGATGTCTTGGGATGAGACGTTGACCAAGGACTTGCTCAGGCAGATGTTAAACATCCCGCGGCACTATTCAGAAAGACAAGTTCTCTTGTGATGTCTTGGCTTTCCCCATGTCCCTATCCCAAATTTAAAAACAATTGTTTATTCACTTCATGCCTTCTTGTGAGGCCTTACTGTGTGCAAATTGGCTGCCGTGTGTGCCTACAAATATACACTTTATACAGAGGATTCTGTGAAGTGCTTTGTGGTGTTTTGACGTGATCAGGTGCAATATCGAATGCAAGGATTATTTTGTGATGGAGCCTTGTTGATGTGTGGTGGTTGAATGATGACACCATCAGAACACTAATGAGAGACTATTATCGAATCGGATAAATCCATTCTGCATTGTGTAGCCTTGTTAGTAAGTACAGAACAATCTGTGTACGAGTTATTGTGAAGCCAGAACCTAATTTGCCCTGTAATTAGTGGATGAGCACTTTAATAGTTCTCGGGGATTACTTTTGAAGCAGACAATAGAAGATGATCCCTCTTCACTCTCGCACAAATACATTTAATCGGTATCTTCGCTTGAACTTAACCTTGACATTTCAAGGGGACAAAAAGACTAATTTCAGCACCCTTTTGTGCTAATTATTTACTTTGTCGAAATCTCATTTGAAACGTGTGTAAAACTTTGGGTTCCACGAATTTGTGGTAATCAGGAGATCTTAAATACATTTTTTAAAAGGTTTTGGTCCAACATTTGTGAAAATCAATGCGGTTACTTTACCGATGGTTTTACGGAACAGTACTAGCTTCTGCCCAGATACTAATTATGCCCAGAGAGCCAACATACTTTGGTGTGATGGTGCAAGTGGTGAGTTGTGTTACCCTTTGATGGCTTATTAATTATTTACATAAAAATCTTTGGGAACTAATTAGTGTGTAACTTTTGCTGTCCATGACTGGCATCATTGGAAATGCAGTTTGATGCCAAAGTACTTTGACATCATGTTTAATGCTGACTTTGTGTAACTTACGTCATCTACAGATTCCCGAGGAGCATGATGTCGAGAGCCAGGTCCGGAAGGAACGGGAATGGAGATTCTTGCGTAACGGGCGGGTCAGAAAGCGAGCTCGAAGGATTATACAGAAAGGTGAGCTGGTCATTAGTTGGTAATGGGATGGTCAGTCACTGTCTGACAGCTTTAACCTTTGAAGATTTATTGCAGTTAATGATATGCCTACTTACCAGTGCAGGAGTTCCTGCTTTTAATTCAGCATGGAAAGCATTTGTCCCAAAGGATGGGGCGAAGAGAGAGAATTTGATTCAATCTACACTGCTGTTAGCATTTCCCACTCGATGATCTGAAAGGCCACATGAGCGCGTGTGTGTGTCTCTCAGTCACCAAGTGACACAACAATGTGTGACCTTATCAGGGAAATGAGGAGCTAATGAACTCGCGAGCATAAAAGGGAAGGGAGGACAAAACCACTTGGATTACTGTCTGGTTTTTAATCCCCAAAAGGACCCTTGGCTCTGCCATCAATAGTTGGAGCGGAATCAGAGGAGCGGATCACGTGGAGAGGAGGAGAGGGAAAGGGGAGATTCTTAATTAAATTGAGTCAGGAAAAAGATCTTCAATATGGTTTACAAAGCCGATTCATTAAATCTCAACCAATTCCCGAGGATTCGACGTTTACGAATTCTCAGTTTGTTCCCTACCTCTTATTGTTCCAATTTAAATTGGCCTCAAGTCTGGTTGGCAGCAAATTGTCTGACTTGTGCTTCTCGTGTTACAGGACTCCTGGGCATGTTATCGTGATACAACCTGTATCACTTGATGTCTGAGCGGGCTTTCCTGCACGTTAGTAGCTGTGAAGTCTGATCGTTGACCAAAAGAGGCTTTACGTGACCTTAGCCACTGGCAGGCTGGGCTCTATCAAGGCATCACTTAGCCTCGTTTTTAAAAACTGCATCGTGCTATCGTTCAAAAGATTTTTTTTTAAATGTTATCCGTCCGGATATCTACGAGATTTTCGGAGTACAGTGGGGGCAGAAGGGAAGTGAGTTGATTGTGACCAGACTCCCATCTAATAGGAATGCCAGCGAGTGGTGTTGAATAAGTCATAAGCAAATCTTTTACCGACTGTCCAGTTGGTGACATATGGGCCTGGTGGGCTTGACTGTATTGTATTTATAAGCTGTGCATAGTGATATATGTACTTAATTACGCTGCTGAAAGAGTTGTGCTTTTAAAACTCCATGGGGGAACAGCTGACACAAGTGAAAACTACAGGTCTGTGAAAGCCAGCTCTTTTCAGATTTTCATCTCAGATGATGATCTTATATAATGTTCTTAATACGTTTGGAAAGAAAGGGCTCGATTCTCACAATGCACAGGAACATGAAACGGTGCATCTATATTTCATTTATGGTCTGTTACGAATGCCGTAGGCCGAAAATATACCCGATTGAATTAAGATGGATAGTATTCACTCAGAGTTTTGCAAGTCCTTTACTTTTCCTGTAGCATTTATGCCCTGAACCTGGCAAATCTCAATTATCGCTGGCATTATTGCAAAATTCACTCCTATTTCTGGCCATCAGTTACACGGGGCTAATGCCACGTCTTTTTCCTACGCTTGCTCTACGCCGTTTCCATTGGGTGCCTCTTTTTAAAAGCTTTACGACTCACTTTGAGCTTGGCTGCTTTGCTACTAGGTGACAAGTGATCCCCTTCCTGTTGATGTGGTCCATGTCCCCCCCAGATTGTACTCGTCTTTCACTGGATGTTACTACCCGTAGACTTCCAGCTATTGGCGTTAATTGCACATAGCATTCGGGCACAGAAGGCGTCCTGGTCACTGCACCTGCTGTAAATGCCCACGAGAGCACTCGCCACTGACCAACTTGCTTCTTGCATGCAAGCATGACCTGAGCCATCTATGTTTGAAAAAAAATAAGCACATGGCTGTTTGTGCGACATTGCTGTGCGCAAACCGGCTGCCGCATTCCTCCACAATCAATCCACTTTACAGTATATCATGTGAAGCGCTTTGAGACATCTCAACGACCTAATAAGGCACTATATCAAGTGCAAGGATTATCGATGTTATCATTATGACCAGGGTGGGGACACTCTATGATACCGTTTTGGTTTTATGGTCTCCAACCACTGCATTATAATGTACTGTATTTAATGTTACACATTACATTTTTAATCCCCTTTTTCTCAGGTTACACATTAAACAGAATTTTATATCGATGCCATTCTAAAGCTGAAATGAAATGAGGTAATACTGAGCCTGATTACAAATGGTTCCAAGAAGAGTGTGACTTTTTCTGCACGGTTTGCAATGCTACCACAGTACCATGACAGTAATCTGTAGTATCCGTTTTCTATCGTTAAACTAGTTTATCTTTTCTTCCCAGGCATCATGAGATTGGACGACCAAATCTTTATCAACAGAAACCCAGGCGTGCCGTCTGTAGTTAAGTTTCATCCTTTCACCCCTTGCATCGCTGTGGCTGACAAGGATAGCATATGGTAAGAGCTCAGTCCACCAGCCTAGTGTTTCGATGCAAATGTTACAGTAACAGTCTTCACAGAGTCCTGTAGCTCAGTGGGCAGAGCACTCGCCTCACAAGCGAGAGACCAAGGTTTGATTCCCAGCAGGGCGAAGCGTTGAGGAAGTTTCCTTACTCCACACGCCTCTGTTTACATAGCAGTAAGTAGGAACCCAAAACATGATATGTAGGAGCAAGAGTAGGCCATTCGGCCCTTCGAGCCTGCTCCGCCATTCAATCATGGCTGATCTTCTAATCTAACTCCAGCTAATAACCTAATCCTGCCTTATCCCCATATCCCTTAATCCCTTTTGCAATAAGAAATCTATCTATCTCAGTCTTGAATATGTCCAAGGACTGAGCGTCGACAGCCCTTTGGAGTAGTGAGTTCCATACATTCACCACCCTTTGAGTGAAGAAGTTCTTCCTTCACTCAGTTGTTAGTTGATTGGCGGATCGCTTTTCCGGGTTAATAATTGCTCCAAAAAAAAATTGGTCACTCAATCCACAACTGTTTGTGGGGTACTGCCGTGCGCGATTGGTTTTGCCCACAAAATATATAGTCAATTCACTTTACACTATATTCTGTGAAGTGCTTTGAGATGTCTCGAAGATGTGAAAAGGCGCTGTGTCAAATGCAAGGATTATTGTTATTATTTTAATCTTGTACTCTCTTCAAAGCTTTTGGAATTGGGAGAAAGGAGAAAAGCTTGATTATTTCCACAACGGAAATCCCCGGTATACGAGGATCACGGCTTTGGAATACCTCAACGGACAGGATTCCTCACTCCTGCTGTCAGCCACAGGTAAAGTGGTATTAATAATGGAAGAACCTGTTAAGATATTAACCTCACAGCGGGCAACCCTTCTTTCCCATTACAAGTGTGTCATTCCGTAGTTTGAAACGCTGACTCCTCGGGTGGCTTTGGAATGAAATATTCATGTGTGACTGGAGTTTTAGTCTCCCGCTGCAAGACCTTATTCCAACGTGATGAACTTAGAAGCAATCGGTGAAACCCGCATTTGGGACCTGCTCGCAAGTTGCACTTGACAATAGTTACAGCTTGTGAACATCTTCTTGGTAACCAAGAAGCTTTTCTCCTTTTTCCCAATTCCAAAACCGGTGGGCAGTCTGGTTTCCGCCCTGCCCACAGGACAGAGACTGCGCTTGTGAAAGTCACAAACGACATCCTCTCTATCTGTGACCAGGGCTCCCTCTGCCTCCTTGTCCTCCTGGACCTCTCCGCCGTGTTCGACACAGTCGATCACGCCATCCTCCTCCACCGCCTTTCCTCCATCATCCACCTCAGTTGGACCGCACTCGCCTGGTTCGAGTCCTACCTCACAAACTGCCAGCAGTACATCTGCACAAACGGCTTCTCCTCCCGCTCTCACCTGGTTACCTGCGGGTACCCCAAGGATCCATCCTTGGCCCCCTCCTCTTTCTGATCTACATGCTCCCTCTTGAGGATGTCATCCGCAGACATGGGGTACATTTCCACATGTAGGCAGACGACACCCAACTCTATTTTTCTACCTCTCTTTGCGACCCGCTTTGTTATATTAAACCGTCACAAAGTTGGGGGTTAAAAAATTCTGGCAGCTTCACAATCTGTTCAATCTTTCGCACAAAGAACTTGATGAAAAAGAGTTCATTGAACCTCAGCGGAGATGACATAAGTCAGCAATTACATCTTCAGACGGTCTCATTTTAATTGAAGTGTTTTGGAGTAATCCTGCTAAGATATGGCTACTGAGGTGCCATTCTAGGAAGCACCATAAATATAAGGGCTCGATTTGGACTTTGCTCTTCAGAGATAATGAGTAGGATTTGGATTTACTTTTACAGGAACGAATAATGCTTTTAGTCACCGGTGCTGCTCTCCGGAGTGTCTCCAAAGCATTTTCTTTATTATTGGATTACTGTGGCCACATTTGATGATATGCACTTAACATTTGTCCAAAATTGAAGCCACCTCTTCTTATTTATTTATATATATATATATAATTATACACATATATAATATATGTTTTGATTGTGCTGAAGATACTTCCAATCTCAGTGCCAGATAAACTACAAGGACAGAACATCACATATTTCTCTTTAATCCTTTGTGCACTGTTGATCAGTCGAGCTGTACAGGTTTGTTTCTGACAAGCATTTCATAGGATCTAGTCATAGACACTTCCTTGCTTTGTTAAGAGCTCTCAGACGCTAACTCTGCGAGAGAGGCGCTATATAAATGCAAATTGTTGTTGACGCTTGAAATACCTCAGACACCAGTCAGCACTCGTTTGCTGAAAAATTAGATTTTGGAACCAGACTGTCACTTTCACCCACGAAATGCACGGCCACTAACTACACTTTACAGTAAAGTCCTCTCGACGTGAATGCCAAAGGGAGGAAAAGAGAAATTGTAAAAGACAGAATTGAGTAGGGAGAGAGAGAGAGAGAGAGAGAGGAGGAGTTGAGGGAAAGCACAATCGAAGAATTCAAAATGTATTGCTAATGGAGAAAAAAATCTATAGTTTTAGCTTTTATATAACAGGAATAAAGCTTCTCCTGATGCTTTGCCTAATTCTGTCGGTTCCAAAATCAAATGTGCTTGAGGTTTAAAAACGTACAAAAAGAGGAAGGCTTAGGGAGGCTTTCATTTTGATTCAGAGATTAAAACAAGATGCATTAAGATGCTTGTTCTGTCTCCAAAATGTATTGGAAAATTCAATCGAGGGAGGAAAATGTTTTCCAACAATACACTGAGACGTTGTGTTGGAGCTTTCATTTGAGTAGAACAATCGTTACTGACAAAAGGTACAGGATGGCGGCCGCCATTATGTTGTACAGCGAGTCATGTGGCTTTTCGGTTTGCCTCCCACCCAGACGTTTTCAAAGTTTTGGTTCCCACAATAAAACAGATTTCTCAGGAACAACTTCTGATGACGGGTGGTATCGCGTTGATAAAAACTTTCAGAGTGTCTGCCAGGATTGAAAAAGATTAGCAATCAAGTCATTTTAAAAAAAAAAACTCCCCTTGCGTGAGCGCTGATTGCGTCAGGGAGCTGGCCATAAGGAGCCATTGAAGTCACTCTGCGTAGACCTGTCGAGTACCACTCAATTTGGAAGAGAACGACTCAGTTCGGATCAGGACTCCGATCTATTTAGAGCTACGCTGTTCTCAAAAATTGACACCACTCCATATGTTTGAATGGGTTTTGCAATCTGTGTCACTCACTCCCGCTACACATAAGTATCACTTGTAATATTTTCTCAGTCATTGACACCTCTGCACTTGAGGGGGCTGAATTGACGCTTGCAATTGAAATGATTTCATCCGGAGTTAATGGCCCCCTCATCCAGAGGAGACGTCAGCCCCCTCGTTCGATTGGGCTCCAATTCCTCATCGCCCGTTCCTCCAATTCTGTCCGCTTTCATTGTCAAAGCAATTTATTAAAAAAAAAGTTTTTTTATACAATTGATTTGAAAAAGGTTCGTCAATCGCCTTGTCTTCAATAACAAAGGTTCTTGAATCTGTATTTCTGAGATGTGTTCAACCTGCGAGGTGCCCAGTGAAGAGTATTGAGCGCTGAGGTCTGTGACTGCAGGGAACTGTCCAAAGCTGCATCACTTGAATGCGAAAAATCTTTTCAGAGGCCGATAGGAATTGAACCATTTCAGAGCTTGAATGTTGTCGGGAGTCTGTGTATCGTGCCCACCGCAGACAGAGCTGTCAAATTCTAAAGCTCTCCCGGAAGGTTTATGAAAATGGTTTACCTGATGGACAGAGCTTTCTTCCGCATTGTTCTTCATAAGCAAAGTTCAGTTTGTTAGGCCACAGTATTGTCCACTTTACAGTGTATTCTGTGCAGCGTTTTGAGACTTCTAAACGAAGTGATAAGGCACTCGATCAAATGCAAGGAATATTATCATTATCCTGCCCCTTTTTAAAAAATATATATATTACGTTAAAGAAAAATTAAGCTGAGGTTTTATTCTATGACTGTGTTTTCCCAGACGATGGAGCAATCCGAGTCTGGAAGAACTTTGCAGATTTGGAGAAGAATCCAGAGATGGTGACTGCGTGGCAAGGATTGTCTGACATGCTCCCAACTACCAGAGGTGAGTGGTGCAGGAAGGAGGGTTTCTTTACTGTTCGGTGTGTTTTTTTTGGCTGCTTTCTCCCTCCGGCATGGCTCTGCATGCTGCACTGCTTTTCCTCCCGAGTAACCAGATTTACTGAGGACACCGGCTCCGTCACCAGCAAAAGAAGAGCCTAAATGCCAAGTGATTTAATCATGTGACCACCTGGAGAGGAAAAATGGCAAGTGTTGTGTAAGCTTGGCTGGAGAGTTGATTCTCTTGGCTGGCCATTGCAGAGCGAAGTTGGTAAGTAACTAAAGAACACTTTATAAATGCCGCTGTATAGGTTCATCAGCAATCCAAAGGAAAGGATCGACCACCAGTGTTTATATACTCCACGCAAACCTTTCTCCTCCTGTTCCCCTCGCCTATATCTCTCCATTCCTTCAGGTTTCCTCTTAAATGCAGTGCATGGATGTTTGCTTCAGTTTTATTATTTGCAATTCAGCGAAGATTGGAAAGAGTCCTAGTTTTTCATCAATTGCCTAAGAAGAGTAAACACGGTCTGTATCAGAGGTTTGCAGTAAATCTTTGTAACCAATTATTGCATTAGTCAGTCGTGGAATACTTAAGGGCGGGAGAGCATAAAATGTGGCCTGTATCAGCAAATATCTTTTGAATATGTACGTGTTCACACTCATTTGTTCCCAAGTATCCTCCGTATTTTCGAATGTACCATTATAAAAGTGAGAAGCGGGATGGGTGGAGGGGAAACTCTCATTGGTATTGTAGTACAACAGTGAAATCCTAGTATGGCACTGAAGTTTGAAATCCTGAAGGAACACAGCAGCTCGCCCCACACATCAGCTGTTCCAACACTACCTCATTGCCACTGGAGCCGCAGGAATCCACTAGTTACACGCAGAGCAAAACCATAGGCAAGTTTCCTTATTCCACGTGCCTGCGATTGCCCAGCAGTGAGTAGGAACCCTGGTTGTTGGTCGATTGGCAGATCGCTTTAAAAAAAACATTTAAATTTGGTCACTCAGTCCAGTGAGATGTCTCATCAACACAATAAGGCGCTATATCAAGTGCAAGAATTATTAGTATTTAAGACTTCTTAAAAAAAATCAATTTTTAAAAAAATCATTTAAGGGCACCTATTTTGCAGGGTCAGGAATAGATGAAAAAGGGGAAAGTAGCTTTACTATGTGCTAATAGCTGTTAGAAACTACATTTAAACCTAAAGGCCAGCAAGCTTAATATCTTCTACATCACTTGAGCAAGCAGCAAGAGATTGCTCACTGTTTTGTCAAAATCTCTCACCGTCTATTTTCAGCAGCCAGTAATAGTGCAAACACCCCCTCCCCCCACTTGAAACATGCATTCAGGTTGCAGGTGAATAATAGCAATGGATTTGTCCTATATTTATTGCTATTATTCACCAGGGGAATCTGCTGCACACTGCATATTTCTCAGAGACTGAGCATCCCCCAATTATCACAGAGATCAGGCTGTGCAGCAAATTCCTTTTGTAAGCGGTGGTCTTTGAGTTGCTAAAATAAATAAACCAGCAAGAGACCTGCAATTTTAATCCTCAGCTCAGGCCATCAAAACTATATTTAACCTACATTGAGGCACCTAATTTTATCCTGCCGTGTCTTGAACAGGCAGGTCGATAATGTTGGCCGAGATTTTTTTTCACTTTAAGGTTCCTGGAGGAAATTATGTCCTTGAGGAAATTATTGAAGGCCATCATTGCCAATCACCTCCAATTCTCTCCCTGCCCCTCGTGTGACAGGTTGCCTGCCCGCTGTTGTCAATCGCAGTAGGGGTTGAGAAAGGGGAAGAGAGTTTTTCTGACTTGCAAAAGTGACAAATTGATTGAAGTTTACAACTTAAGTGCACCAGGAGATTCATTTTAAATGCAGATTTATTTTACGATGTGATACAGCTCTCTCTGCCTCAAACGCTGCCTCCTTGTATGTAATCAATCGGGGGTTGCGTAGAGTTTTATCTAAAATCACATTTGCAGTGGCACAGAAGGGTCCAATGTGACCTGACCTCTTTCCGACAGTGAGTCACCCAATAGAGGAAATGCTGAACCACAGGCCCATCATAATTCAGAGCACTCCCCCGCATATCAGCCCAAACCTGCTCAGTCTAGTACCAGGGGCAATTTAGTGGGAAGATTTGAACTTTTCCCCCGTCGTTTCTTGCTATTTGGTGCCTGCGTTTTCCAACAGTGATCAAAGGCATTGTGTGCATGTGTGCGTGCGTGTGTGTGTGAGTGCGCAAATTGTACAACCGTGTGGGGGCAGCCTAGCAATCTTAACCTGGTAGCTACCCCCAGCTCACCCTCCCACCAACCACCAAATCTGTTTCCCTTTGCTGAATACAGTTTCAATTCTGACAATCTTGGTCCCACAATGACTTTTATGAGCAAACGTATCCCTTCTAATATAGGTGACTTTCTACACTTACGGATATTAGGCCAACTGACCTGCTTCATGTTATCGAGGTAATGTCCATCAGTCTTCAATGCTCGGTTAAGGGCTCCTGTGTTTAAGGAATCGCAAAGGATAGTAAGATGAATTCACTGCTGTTATTCACTGTCCAGATTTGCTGTTTAAATCACAGCATTGATGCAGGTGAGAGGAATGACAGAGAGTATAAGATGGGGGGGAAAACGGAGGGGAAACTAATTTCATGTCTCTTCCATTGATTACACAGTTAACTAGACAGATAGGCACGCAATCTGTTTTTCTGTTATTTCCTTGTGGGTTCTGTCTAACAGGCCACCTTTTTCTTCCTGCATGTTTGCCTGAAACTTTCTATTTGTTCGGCCCTTTGCTGCCTTTTCCAGCTGTGCTGAAATGCTCCGTTTACCCGTTTACGTTGCCTTCTGTTTTTCTTTGCTTCACATTTGCTTGGCTGTCGATCTTACCTTACACATCACCCCCTCGTACACTGTCTCCACACAGGTATTACCAGAAGGCTTTCAATATATCTTGACAGAAGTAAGCAGGGAGGTGAGTGTTTCTTTCGCCTGGTGAAGAGATCCGCATGGCATCTATGCTTATAGCGTAGGCAAGAACAACCCGCTCACACCTCCCTCCAAAGCTCACCCTCTGTCTCTTTGTGCTTCTCAGCACTTGCATCCTCCAGCTTTTTTTTTACTTTGTTTTGTATCGAAACATAGGAATTGCTAGACAAAGAAGGTCTGCCTTCTTAGCAAGCTGTTTGTCGCATGCTACAATAATGGAGACGTTGATAGCAATATTCGGTGACATTTGAACACTTGTGGTAAAGTATATCAGTCATCTATTGTAAACAAAATGGTAGACATTTCCATCCCATCATGTTATTGCATGGCAGGCAGGCAGGCAGGGTGGATTTGCAGCTGAATACGATTATAAAGACAACTGTATTGTTTGTTCCTCCATCTGGCTTTCCAAATCCGTCACCGTCCCCGCACAACAGTTGTTCCATGGAAACAAAAAACAATTTTGAGAGATGATAGCACAGGTTCAATCAAAGCAGCAATGCTGTGCATTGCAACCAACATTCTCAAAACATAAATTACTGCAGATGGTGGAAATCTGAAACAAAAACAGAGAGAGCTAGGAAAACTCAGCAGGTCAGGCAGCATCTATGGAGAAAGGAAAGTGAGTCAACGTTTCGAGTCCACGACCCTTCGTCAGAACAGACCTTCCAAAGCATTCTCGTGCTTTCAGTTGATCTGCCCATCTCTCTGATGTAATAATCGATTCAGAGGCAATTGAGCAGCGATCTTCCAGGTTCTCATTTCTCCCGACAATGCTTGCATTGAGCAGGAGGACAAGACATTCCTGGAGATGTCAGATTTCACCACTGGGAGATGCCATCACAATGCAATGTGTCGGCCTCAGCAGAAGACAATCTTGTATAATGTCTCCACCCATCCCCTCTTGGGGTATTCCTTCGCGAGGATATCCTCTACCTTTCAGAATGAACATGATTTCCCTCCTAACTCGCCTAACATTGACGTGTTCGTCCGCATAACATGAAGTCACTGCACTTCACAATAAAATCCTGTGAAGCGCTTCGGGATGTCTCACCAGAGTTATAAGGCGCTACATCCAATGCAAGGATTATTATTTATTAATATTACATCAGCCTTCTAGACTTTTGCTTTGAAATCCTGTGACCTCCAGCTCATTGCTCCACTGCTTTATCGCTCCTTGTTTGATCTATCTACAACAACAACAACAAGATTCCATATATAGAGCGCCTTTCACGTTGGGAGGACATCCCAAGGCCCTGTACAGTTGGGTCAGGACCCGAGCATTGGGGGGAAATGGTCAGGGTGAGGGGAGGGAAGGGAGGGAGCGAGGAGGGGGTAGAGAGTCGCGAGGGGAGCTGAAGGCACGGTTAAAGAGAAAGGTCTTGAGACCGGCCTTGATGGAGGAAATCTACCATTCTTTCGACCGTTTTTGCCCACAAATATACAGTAAATCCACTTTACAGTATATTCTGTGAAGCGCTTTGAGACGTCTCGAAGACATGATAAGGCTCTATATCAAATGCAAGGTTTTTTTAATATATATACATAAGGATTATATTCTTTCCCTCGTACCTAAGCTGTAAATGAATATTTCCTCGAGATAAAAGATTCATGCACTTTCATGATTTGCTTTTTGATGATGACGTTTTTTATTTTATAAAAAAAAGTGTACACTCTGTCAAGTACTCACTGTGCCAAGACCAGCAATTGATGCTCAGTTATTCATCATTTGACTTTTTACATTAAATGTGTTTCCACCGCACATGATTTATTTAACGAGAAATTGTAATGAGAAAATAGTTTGAGAATTAGTTCTGCTTGGTGTACTTTTTAACCTCCCGTTGAAAGCTCGTTTCAGGAAGGCATTTTCGCAGCGCCACTAATCTGCGATTCAGAAAGCAGCACCCAACTCGCAATGTACAAAATAATATCATACAAGACACATTCATCTGAGCAGTCTTATTTAATGGTGAGACGTAGGTTTGATGGCCGACTGATTTTTTTTCTCTCTCTCTCCCCCTTTCTTCCCTCTCCCTCCCTCCCTTGGGACGGCTGAGTTCCTGAGCTCAGTCACTTTGGGAAGAATTAGGTGGTGGTGGTGGTGGGGGGTGGGGAGAGACAGATGCATCCCTTTAGTGCAGAGAGGATATCAGAGCCAAGGGAAGCACAGAGCAAGTGTTATTCCAAAGGCCAGTTCAAAGTGTAAGTTGCAACTGTGGTGTGGTGAATGGATAATGATGTGGGGAGGTGGAGAAATTACTCTCTTTTTTTAATGTTGCTGAATTAAAAAATAATGTGGGTGTATACTCCAATGCAAAGCCTCAATTACTGTCCAACTTGAAGTACTATGATTCGCTTCACAGAATTCAATTCAGGTCTTTTCATTAAACACATGCTGATTAGTACATCACCAATGCAATACGAACTTCAGTATTTGTTGCATCTCTGAACTCCTGCGTCAGAGCAGCATATCAGGGACATGGAGCCTGTGCTTTAGAGATGATTAATTAAAGACTTCAGGGCATCTTTTATTCCTTGATGATGCCATGGGCTAAATTCCTTGACTGTTCACTGCGTGCATTCTTTTTTTCGGGGGCGGAAAAAAGCCACTAAATGATTGAAGACCCGCAGTTGAAATATAGCAGACATCAAGAGGATTTCCTAACCAGTGATTTATCAGCAGGACTCTCGTAGCAGCTTTTTATCTACTAAATCCTGTGTGCGAGATGAGGTCTGAACCTTGTGTGATATCTCACAGCCTGCATTTACACTTGGAAGCTGATTTTGAGTAACGACTGCCTCCGCCAAAATAAAATAAAAAAAAGCGCCCTAAATAATTAAGATGTTAAGTGCTTCTGATGATCAGCACAATTTCTAACACTCCTGGTGGAGAGTCGAGCACTGCCCACTGCATGCAGTTGGTTGTGATGTAAATAATTCAGGACGTTCTAATTGGATTTGATCCAAACTTTTGTTAAGTGACATTTGTCACTCTGAGAGTGTTCGCATCGACGCAATACATTTGACTGCAATTACCTGTGAAGCACTTTTGAGAAGTTTTGGCTTCTTAGCAGCAGCTTCGGACGCTGCAGAAACGGTTGCAGCAAATAATTGCAGTAGCTTTCGCAGCTCCAGGTCGCGCTGCATTGCTGCTTAAATCTTTTGTGTTTTCGCTGCTGCCAAAAAAAAAGTTTAGTAAAGTCGGTCCTCGAAGAGGAAAGTACATATGAGCCTGTCTGCTTGTGTGAGTGGAAGCTGAGCATCTATTATTGATTCAGTGCGTTAGAAAGGGAGTTCCTTCTACTCTCGCCAGCATCCTGTTAGAAACTGGAAATAATGAAACCTGCCTGAAGATTTAATGAGCAACTGATGCCAAGGGATCTGATGGAAGACAGTGGAGAGTGAGGGCTTACTGTATATAAAAAAAAAGCAGCTTCAGCTCCTAAAAGATGCTAAGCTGGTATTACGTGCAGAATTTTAGGCTCTTTTATTGACCGGATAGCTAAAGCGTATATTAGAAAAAATGCCCTTTTATCACTGTGTTCCTGTGGGTGTTAAAGTGCATCGGAGAACGTTCAATTACTGTGCAGCCGGAGTAAGGAATTGCAATTTGGTTGTGACCTATTGTGACTCAAACCTACCCACTTAATCCGTTGATGAGCCAATGATGTCTCACCTTTTTTTTTGAAGTACAGTCGACGCGACAATTGGGTGGTGACAAATTGTCGCGTTGTCGGCGAGGAAGTGTTTGGCAGCACGGGCAATGTGACATGCTGGGGGGAGGGGAGAGAGAGAGAGAGAGAGAGAGAGAGAGAAACGTGGTTCTCGTGAAAGACGATTCTGATCTTAAATGCCGATAATGTGCAGCATTCAAAGACGTGGGTTGGATCAACTCAAGAGCTGTGCCATCAGTGAGATTTTAGAGCATTGACTGTGCTCCTGGGTTGTGAACCATATAATGCGGCAGCCAATTGCACATAGTGGCGTCCCCACAAACAGTCGTGGATTGAAGTGACCAACGTATTATTGTTTTTTTCTTGAGGGATTATTATCAGGCGTGTGGAGTAAGGAAACTTGCCCAAGGTTTTGCCCTACCAGGAATCGAACCCAGGTCTCTTGCTTGCGAGGCGAGTGCTCTAACCACTGAGCTACAAAACTCCTTGAGTCAGATAGGAAGGAAAGGAGAAACTTGACTGGGGGTGGAGGAAGGCTGGTGGCAAATTGTCTGTTTAAATGCCCCACTGGCAGAATGATGAATCTCAGCTGCCTGCAGCTACTTGGGCATTGCCTGATCAGTTTCGAAGGCTTTCAACAGTGTTGTTCTTTCTTCCATCACTTTAATAATTCCCAACCTTTGATTTATTGTCTCATTGTGCTGCTTTAATTATGTACATTTATAGAGGTTTATATTCCTAATCAGGAGGCCTGCGGATTTATACAGAATCCCCGCAGATTTAATAGATTAACAAAAAAAAATTCATCATGTTTCTGTTGCCCCTGGATATTCCTTGGCACCCGTTTCTTTTAGATATTAAACAAAAATGCTGCTTCAGCGTCTGCGTGCTCCAGAAACTGCATCTGAACTTCCAACTATTCAACATGTCAGTGCTAGAAAATCATAGAGAGTCACCGTGCAAACGACCTCTGAGTATTCAGTAATTGAAGGGAAGCCTTTCTTTGGGAGGAGGGATAGAAACTTAACAGCGTAGCGTCTCTCTCTCTCCTCTCTCTGCACATATTTATTTAAGAAATGATGTTTCCCACAAAGGAAAGGTACCATCGTTCACTCCCGCACATCCTGCTGGAGCTGGAAGAGCCAGAATCTTCAAAACAATTAAGAGAAATCAACAGTCAACATTGGGACCAACTCCTCCCTCTGATGAAGGAATTCACAATGATGCCAATGAGTGCATCCATCAAAGGGAAGGGAAATCAGGAAACATTTCTCAACACAGAGGGTATGACAATGTTTAACACACTGACCCCAAAACGTTCCTACATACAGAATCGATCGGGATGTTTCAGTGGGGCAGCTGGATACATACTGAGGAAATAAATTTGAAAAATGGGATTCATCCAATAAAATGTCAAATGGAACGGGCTCGTTCCCATGGTTTTTTCTTCCAATTTAGAGATGATGGCATCGGGAAGTGAAGGTGATGGATTCAGGAAGGTTAGCTGGTCCACGAGAGGGATCTTAGGGAATCTTTGCATTGAGATGGAGTCATTTAAGAAACAGTCATGTCTATACATTTTACTCTAAACGTTGAAATATATCATCTGAACCCATCATTGGGATGCGCTCTGGGACATTCTATTACATGAATTCAAGTTGTTGTTGTATAGTAAAGTTGGTTTGAAGACACATTGACAATGTTTTCCAAATGAAACAGTTTTTGGCGGTGTGTTGCAAAATCAGCAGCACAAAACTGCCCCAGATACAACTTGGTGATCTAGTCCCTATATTCACCCGTCACTAAGTACAGAACAAGCACAAGGCTGGAGCCAGTCCAGCGGAGGCAGCAGGCAGTGGGTTGGGAGTAAGAAGGTCGGAGAGATAGGGAGGTGCCGGGGTGTGAAGGCATTTAAAAACGAGTGTAAGGATCGTGAAATCGATCGGTTTGGTGTCAGGATTACCTAAAGTGGTCTGCAGCATGTTCGAGATGATGAGAAACATTTGTTCAATACCATTCTTTACAGAGCGGTCTGATTCGAAACAATTAAGATATTGAATGGCTTTTTCCAGTTTACGAATGTATCACTGTTTAATACCTCTGCAACCCCGCAAGTTTCATGATGTTCCTCAATGCTGCTTCTCAGTTCACCTATAGAAGTGGCGAACTTGCTTGTTGAATCAGGCATGCTTCGTCACACGTAGCTTTAATGGCAGTGCGTTGAGTTGAGAGTAATATCATATGAAACGACTGACTGGCTGGATAGATGAATCTACAGAGGCAGCGTGTCATGAATAGGATAGGGCCATGCTGCAGCATTCAAAACACTTTATCTTGTGTGGGCGGTTGGTAGTGCTGGAGGAATTAATCAATTATAGCAGAGCTCATGCGCTTCACTGGAGCTATAGGGATTCCCTATGCATGTGAAGCCTGCGGTCTGTATGCATCATAGGTAGGAAGCCCATAGGCAGGATTTTTCCCCTGTCTGCCTCAGTTCTTTCCTCAGTGTGCATTTTGTTTTATGTGCAGATAACTTAAGGTGCAATATTATATACACTTTAATCATGGGATTCAGGAGGCGTTTTCTCAACATTTTAATCCCAAACTGTGTCAGGAGGTACTCGGTTGACGAAAGTCCTTTCCTGCCCAGAAAGCACATTAACCACTGACTCATTCATACTTCTTCCAGCAGCCAGTTCAAGAACCACTTAGGTGGAAGCCTGGGAACGGCTTAGCTATGTATCAGGGCGCGGGTTGGAGGGGTTAATAAGGCAAGAGAAAATTGATGGAAACTCACAAGGTCAAATGAATAATTTTTGTTTTGCACAAACACATACTGTGCATTATTTTAAGCGACCATTATGAGTTGACTGTCTGCTTACGGTGTGTGTTGAGTTCGGCTAAAGAAATACATCTCCCTTTTCTCCACACCTCCCTCCCCCCTGCATTACTGTGTACAGTACTGTGTTGTGTGGGAGTGTTTTGTTTCACATTGCTGATCATAAAAAGAGCAACTTTATTTATCATTCAATAACATTGAACCCACAGCTAAATTACTATAATGTGCTTCGGTATTTTGAAGACTTTTAAGACTCGCTGTGGAATGTCAGCCACTGCGATCATTGTGAAAAATTGATGGCTAATAAATCTTTCATACGCTGCTGTGTTATATAGATTCAGAAAGTTTCGAACAGAAGTTTCTTTTTTTTATAATGTTGGCGACAAAAGAGAATTGTGTGGAAAGTGCTTGACATTGAGTGTTGCAGCCTGTAATGATGGAATTGGTTTGTGTTCAGGTGCTGGCATGGTTGTGGACTGGGAGCAGGAGACCGGACTGTTAATGACATCAGGAGATGTCCGCATTATCCGAATCTGGGACGCAGATCGAGAGATGAAAGTACAGGTAAGAATCGCGAGTGTCCTGAGGACCACAGCCAATATTTAGCCGGTGGATACTAGGGCTACGAGTGTCAGTTTGATACGTTTGCCCCCTTATTTATGCTACAGCAATCCTTCTCTACGAGTCTGTGTTGAAATAGAACCAGCGAGATTCAAAGGGCAATTCCATCCGTCACTGGAGATTGAAGTTTCATCCAACTGGAAAGGAAACTGGTGTCTTGCAACAGCATCATCAGCAAGTACACTCAGTGGCTGACCTTGATTGTTAGTCAGGCGGTCATTTTACAGACCCCATGAGGGGTGGTGAGGGAAGGAGGGCACTTTTGTTGATGATTGGTCTGTCATGACACACCTGCTACAAATCTACGGTTGTCAGCAAACTGCGACGCCGAGAAGCTTTCCCATGGCTCATAACAACACAGCCAATAATGCACTTCCAGTCAATGAAATCTTGGCCTCTGGGGTCATCCCTTCAAACAAGTGTTCTGTAACAGTGGCGGATATTGTTCCTGAAAGCTATGGGCTTGTATGAGCTGACTAAGTGCTCCATTGTGACAGCGTGGAGACGTTCTTTAAGGTAATTAGCAGTAATTCCTTAACTGATTCCTTAAAGAACCCAGTTAGAATTCCCTTTTAACCGCGGGAACTCCTCTCAGGAGGTAAATGACGGAAGTCGGAATGAACTTCCCAACCCTTCCTTCCACAAACTGCAGATTATTGCCACCCTTACCCAACTTGCTTTGCGCCCCTCCTGATCCTGATTCCAACCCCTTTGCTGTCCAACACCTTGGGACGTCCTCCCCACGTGAAAGGGCACTGTATAAATGCAATTTGTTGTTGTTGTTGAACTCCTGCATGTTGCAGTTACGGTTCCAATTTATCCGACTCAGTATTAAGAAATTCCGTAACTTAGACCCTCCACGTGATAATTATAACTGCGGTTATCCCTTTTGTCGGCTCGCCTCATCTTTCTGTCGTGTGAGTTGGAGTTTCACGTGTAGGGTCTGATTCCCTGTTGTTTCTTGGATTCGTTCCAATTCCAGTCCAGCGTGTTGACATTTAACCTGTGGGGAGCTCAAAAATGCTGAATTTTTCTAGTGCGTGCGACAAGGTTCAATATTTCATGCTTTTTGTGATCGTCAGACTCCAGCTCAATTCTACAGTTAGTTCTGGACAACCTGATTTGACTGTGATGGACAGCTGCTTACCTCAGAAGCTCTCCAACCAGAGGAAATGTGACGCACGCCAGGGTCTGGGCTTAGAATCATCTTTAAGGAGACTGAGGAAAAAGTTACCGGGGCTGTTCAGGTTTAGAGTATTTTGTTTTGGCCACGTGCCAAAAACGAGATGATTCTGAAATATGAATTCCAGTCTCTGCAGAGTTCAGAATCAACCAGTCTGTATTGCCCTTTTTGCAGTTCCTCTTTCACTCGAACAGTTGAGGATTGAAGCGTTTTAAGCACATCACACCTTGTGCCCCTGTGCTGTGCGAATCACGTGTAGTGGATTAGAGACTGAGCCAGCTCTCCTTGATGCGGGTTAGTTTAGTGCCTCTGACAGGCCAGTTTCATGGATACCCACATGCCACAATTTCTCTGCATCTAAAAGTGGGGCGCAATTGGTTTATCGTCGATTTAATGGTGTATTAAACTTCACTTTTGTTTACTCCCTAGGATATCCCTACAGGAGCAGACAGCTGTGTGACGAGCCTTTCTTGTGATTCTAGTCGCTCGCTCATCGCTGGGGGTCTGGGCGATGGCTCTGTCCGTATCTACGATAGGAGAATGGCTCCAAATGAATGGTGAGAAGGCTCCTCATCCCATCTGATCTCCTTCCTGAATCCCCCACTCTATTGTCTTCCCATTCCAGCATCAGTTGTTCCAGTATCCTGTCCTCTAACCACTCTTAACTAACTCTGGAAACTCTTGGCCCAAGATTTGGGGAACAGGAGCCATTTACTTTGCTCGTGCACTGACATTTGATGAACATCTGAAAGAAAGTAGACCTTGAATGTTTTGCTATTGATGTAGTTTATAAGCAGCTTTGGCTTTGGGTTCCAAAGATTCTCTCGACACATTGGAAATGACTTTGTTCACGTTCATCTTTCTTATAGTTGCGGGCATAGGATATTGCTGCAATCCGGTGAGAAGAACTGGGCTGCTCTATATTTTAGATACGTTGTTGTTTAAAATGCACCCATTCCGAAGCTAGAAAAGATTTTCATATATCTATTATTTTGCTTCATAAGTGACCCAACCGCATCCATCACTTGTTATGTGGCATGTACATTATTTAACCTTACGTTCAGTTTGATAAATCGCATTAATACAGTTTCGGAAATATTCGCTTGCTTCAATCAGATTTTTTTATGTATAAGCAAAAAATAATAAGAAGCATAACTCAACGTTTCCTCGATTAGCAGTTAACCAAAAGTGGCTAATCCTTGCTTCAGGCAAATTATATCCCTGTGAAGCATTTTGAGATGTCCTCCTGACGTGAAAGGTGCTATAGCAAATGCAACTATTAATATTGGAAACTAAGAGGGCGAGAGAGAGAGAGGGAGGGGGCAGAGAGGGAGAGGGAGTCTTTGGAAACGAGGAACAAGAAGAGGCCATTCAGCCCATCGAGCCTATTTTGCCACAACCTACGTGCTACAACTTCTCGGATACTGCCTTCCTCCCCCATCCCCCCCACTGCCCACCCGACATTATCACTTAATATTATGCCCCAAGTATCTATCCATCTCTCTTTTAAATCCTTCTGCATTTTTTGATTGTTTTACAGCCGTGTGATGACATACAGAGAACATGCTGCATGGGTGGTGAAAGCCTATCTACAGAAGAGTCCCGATGGCAATATCATCAGTGTCAGGTGAGGCTAAGTTGACCGTCCTGTAATTATTCATTCATAATTGAGCTGATTCTTTGAACTCCAGGATCCATCATGCATTTATAATAGCACGTATAATGGTTTAGAGTGTGTAATTCGCTGTGAATTATTTAGTATCGAGGGCCGAGGGCACTGATTCACAAACTGCCCGGTGAATTATTTTATCGGAAGTTAGGTGCAGTGACGGGGTTTTTTTTCCCATTGAAGGTCCGTGCATAATATTACAAGATCTGCAAATCATTTGTTGTATTGATAAAGTATTGACCAGCTTCTCGTCATTAATACTCTGCTGACGCCAATGTGCCTGGCCCTCCTGTATGTGCTCAGATTGCCTTGTCCGTCCTAGCCAGATGTACTGACCCTTTTCAATTATTCAGTGTAAATGGAGATGTACGGTTCTATGACCCACGGATGCCGGAGTCCATGAATGTAATTCAGACTGTAAAAGGATTGACAGCGCTGGACATTCACCCGCAGGCTAATCTGTTTGCTTGGTAAGTGAATTCAAAACGGTGAGAGGTAGCAAACGTTTCATTATTTGTCCTGAGGTTTTGGGTTGCATTACAATACAATATGTACATATTACATTACATAGTACACATAACTCCGCCACCATTGAGAATATGTACTTGAAGGACAAGTCAGAACAGCAGCCCTGGACTGAACCTGGTCGTAACCCAACTGCACGGTCGAAAACCCCGAACCTAATGAATTTGGCACTTCCTTTTGCCAATAGTCCTACACATACAATACATACTGTACCGTGTATATAAGTGCTGCAGCGTTTGCCTGCAAAAAGTCACTACACTTGACGGACAGTCATTACCATAGAGGGCTTTGAGATGTCTTGAAGAATAATGTGCAGTAATAGTGCAGGGTATTCTTCACTGATTAGTGAAGTGTTCCCTGGAGTGTAGATTGTGGTCCGTTTACCTTAGACCCTGGGTTCCAGTTCAGAACGTAGAGATGAAACACTTCTCTCTGAGTCCAACTGTGAAACGCTAGCGTTCATTTTATTTTGGTCAGACACATCCCAATAAACACACAACTAGCCACAGACGAACTATTCAAACCTTGAGGATCACATTCTCTGAAAAGACCGAGATATCCCTAAACCTTTTTTTTTGTTGTTGCGTATCTGGTACAAAGAAGTAAATATAACTTCCAGAACAATTCTATTGTTTTAAATCATTATTCCTTTGAAGAAACGCTTTCTTGCTACTTTCCTGCAGTAATTCCCTCACTAACCTTCAAATTATCGTCTCAAAACACTGGAAGCCGTAATCCCTAAACAGCTAACGCACTTAGTCATGAAAGCCTCCCACACGTCTGTGCACGCTACCTGAAGCGTGGTTAACCCGAAGTAACAAGGTACCCAATGGGAATTGACATGAAAAGTATTGAGTTTGCATCAAAATCCTCGTTCTGTGGAAAAGGGTCGGAGTTATGTAAATGTGTGGGTGGTTGGGTGGCTCAAGGTGAGCGCGGTCTTCCTGTGGTTCAGGAAAACGTGTTTTTTTCTTCTTAAACTTTGAGACACAAGTCCTTCTCCTGAACAAAAAAATCCCTCAAAATAAAATTGGTCACTAAAATAAAATAAAATAAAAATCCGTGGTTGTTTGTGGGACTGGCTGCCACGTTTTGCCCACAAAGATACACAAGTCACTCCACCTTACAGTATATCCTGCGAAGGGCTTTGAGACTCTCAACACAGTGTATCAAACGCAAGGATTATTATCATAATTATTATAGGTAAAGTCGGTAACTGGGTGGCAATGGGAAGCCTCGTGGTTCTGGCTGAAAGAATCCCTCTCCGGAGACGTGTTTCTTTTTGCTGATTTCCAGTATTTTGGCAGACTTGCCCCAATGTGGGCGGTGGCTCTATTGGTAGAGTGAGGAACGCAGCACATACATATGACTAATCTTTCTTCCTTCCTCCGCGCCTTATTTCAATTACAGCAAAGGTTAATGAATTAATAAGTTTGTCATGTGTGACGGTAAATACTCCTAAACCTGCAGTGTTTTTTCCTTTGCGCAACCATTTTTAACGTTAAGGCATCTGGGTTTACGAGAAACAACTGGTGACTGAGCTGAGCTGCCATCCAGCCCACACACTCAGCCTGCTCTAGCACTTGTCATACTGAAAGGTTATTTCACATCTTGGTAGTATAATGTGGCTGAGACGATTTTTGAAGTAAGGTTCGGGGGACACTATTGCAACTGGGAAAGGTCAACATCTGAAGCAGCTCGCAGATCTCCCAGCTCTTCTTTGGTCATTGAGGTTTACTGGCTCGGAGATGTCTTCGTATGCCTTCCTCTCTGATGATTGTGAGTTCAAGCTCAATGTTGGAACTGTGAGATCACAGCGTAGGGCTGACTCTCCAGTGCAGTACTGGAGGAATCCAGTGTTGTCTGAAGTGATGGAATTGCTTGTCTAGGCATCCAAGTTACATTGAGGAGCCAAACAAGGCGAGCCTTTGGATTGCTGCTGACACGAGAACCATTGAGAGGCTAGGGAGCCTTTTAATTCCCCTGTTACACTCAGGGGAATAAAGCAGATTATTTTAAGCATGTACTACTTCACTGCCCACGAGGGGTGAAGCTCTGAATAGATCCACTGAAATTCCAAGCCAATACCAACTGGACTTACAACCCATTGTGCAACCAGCAGAGCTACTCCAACTCTCAGGGAATGTGAAGCAATATTGTATCCAAACTAACTTGTCAAATAGGCGATAATAAACCAGTTTGTGNTTTTTTACCTTTCAGCGGCTCGATGAATCAGTTCATAGCTGTATATAATGCAAACGGGGATGTGATAAGCAATATTAAATACTACGACGGATTTATGGGTCAGAGGATCGGGGCCATCAGCTGCCTGGCTTTCCATCCGTTCTGGGTAAGTGACATTTGGGGAAAAACTGGCTCCCAAATTGAGACGCGATTCTGTTGAGATCCTACATTTTTAAGATGAAACGCTCTGGCAGGCTAAGACAGTTAATGTGGCATTTCAGGCGGCAGAGGTGCCTGTATGTGAAGGATGGAGTTTCTCCTGGTTTCCCGGCTAACAATCACCCATATAAAACGGTTCGTTCACTTCAAGCCTGTTTTGTGGGACCTCACTCTGCGCAAGTCAGCCACCGTGCTCACCTAGAAAATGCACAGTCAATGCAATTTGCAGTCAGCTCTTTCTCTCGATATGAAAGGCGCTCTATCCAATGTGAGGGTTATTATTTTAATGGGAGGCTTTGCGCAGGGGCTTATCTCCAGCCTGTCGTCACATCTGCTGACCTTGCTGTGTACACGTGTGTATGTGTGTGGGTGGGGTGTGTGTGTGTGTGCGCCACCAAGATCGGAAAATAGCCCTGTGTATTTCACGGACAGCAAAAATTGCTGTACATCCAGGCGATCTGGATGTACAGATGACAGCACAATGACATTGACCAACTACTTGAGCTTTTTACTCCATTTCATGTCGTAGAGTTTTACAACTCCATCTTGGCAGAGGGAGATTATTTGCCAGCCTTGGTGGGATGACAAACGACAGCGAATGAAATCTCTAGTCCTTAGGACCTCGTCTGTCTCCTGTCCAGTCCTCACAGTTAGTAGTAGCTATTTTTGGCCACTGTTAACAGTAAATCCTGTGAGGTATTTTTAGATGTTGCGACGCGATAAGGTGCTTTATCAAATGTACATATTATTATTATTCCTGCTAATTATTTTGTGCCCGACCTTGCCCTTGCCCCTTTTCAGCGCCTTGGAATGTCCTCCCGACGCGAAAGGCACTTTACAAATGTGATTTTGTTGCTGTTTTTTTTTGGCCAGCCTGCACCTGAGTGTTCTTCTTTCTGTTCTCTCCACAGCCTCACTTAGCTGTTGGAAGCAATGACTACTATATGTCTATCTATTCAGCAGAGAAGCGAATCAGATAACAATGAACCCGCCAAGCCCTGCTTTAATCTACTTCACACCATTGACGTGATTGACGTATAGTCGGAGGCTGTATATTACTTCTAATGTACATATCGAAATTATTTACTTGAATGTCGATGGTGACAAGCTGCTCCAAGTGGTGACTTGAACTTCTCCAGTATATATATCTATACATATATATATTTTCTGCTACTGTAGAACAATTCAGTGCATCGACCATGAGGCTGCACAATGTTCACGAGACCTGTTTGTGTTTTTTTTTCTTTCCTTCCCGTTTGTTATTGTTTTTATTTTTTCCTTCCGTGAACTAGATTTTAGCGTTCAAATTAATATAATAACTTAACCTGACAGTGGCTTCCCTTTGCGGACGTGATCGCCGGGGCGATCAGAGAGCCCCTTCATTCTGAGCAGAGGAGTCTCGCAGAGACTAGCAGAAATACCAGCGACCGTTCTGAAGAGTATTAAAACGCTCGCACCTTCAAAAAGCGGTGTGATTTTTGTGAGCATTATTTTACCCTGTTACTGAAGCATTTAGGCCGATAGAATCATGATCTCCTGGGGTAGGGGGTTGGGGAAAAACTGTACAGTATTCCTTCCGATTTTGTGGTGGGGGGGGGTTCTTTCTCTTCCCCCCCCCCCCACCCACTCCCCCAATCCCCTTTTTGTTTTTCCTGTGATTTATTTTTTTAAACCGACCAAGAAAGGAGGAGGAAGAAGAAGAAAAAAAATGATCGCAAGTTTGTAATTCAGGAAATTCAGATCCAACCCGACGATAAATGAACGAGGGGAGAGGGGGGAGGGTGGGGGAGGGGGGAGACTGACCCAGGAGCACAGGGCCTTTGTCACTGCTGTTCAATGCAAAAAAAAACACACAACAGCAAACATTAAAGGAAGTGGATAATCGCCTGTCATTGTGTGTCTGGTGCTGTTTCAAGTGAATCATTTGGCCCAGAGGATGTATCTGGCCTTCAGACTCATGAATTCAGCAGATTGAGACTCGGTAAGGCTGATCTTGTAGGTTATTTATCTAATTTTTTTAATATATAAAAAATATATACACACCTGATTCAACACGTGCAAGTCTAACCTGGAGCCGTTGGAGATTTCTGGTGGATAAAAGGAACCTGACTTGGGTTCTTACAGAATATATTACCGACCTCGCCGTTCACCTGACCTGAAATTTCACAGAAGTTGCTCAGATTTTGGATTTTTAAAAAACAAAGCTAAGATTCAGTTCATTTGAGGACATCAGTGTATAACGAACGTTCTGTATTGAAGGCTTCAAGTGAGAAGCTTGATTGTGGGAAACCTGCAAAGGAAAGGAAACTTTGAATATCTGGGTGAAGAAAAATAAATTGATTCAGTAAAGTGTCCTGTCCCTTCGGTCTTGCTTGTCACTAAACAGATGCTCATGATCTCTTGCTTCGTGTCATTAGAAGTCTGTGATAGTGCATCATTACTATATTGCATTGCATCCAAAATATGACCCACAAATTTAGTGAGTTACATCTTACGTTCGGATATTGTATGGAAGGTCAAGCTTTCTGCCCCAACACAGAGTAAAGGAAATATATTTGGGACAGTTATCCTTCCTATCTTAAACGAATGCTCTAACCCGATGCAACAACAACAACAACAAGTTTACATTTGTATAGTGCCTTTCATGTCGGGAGGACGATGCAAATGGGGAGAGAAAATGCATTCAATACGTGATTGGTTTTACTTGTCTTTGTGCAAGTTAACCTACAGCGCATTAAAAGTGGCCAATCGATGAGACACAGACATCGCCAAACTACTGTGATTTGCTGTGAAGACAAGCCTGTGAATGCTTGTTCATTGGCTCAAATCCATTTCTTATTCATATTTATAGAAATGAAATGTAGTGGGGGAGGGAGAGAGGAGGGGAGGTGCGCGTGGGGGGAGGTTAAGGTGATAGAAATCATAATCCGTCTTGGTCAGAGATTGTTTGCGTAAAAAAAAGGACATAACCACATAATTTAAGGATGTACTGCTGCTTATTGCAGGCGAAAGCAAAAGCTGCAGAGTCACAGTTACGCTGTGTCTTAAGTGTACCTTTCCTCTGGATGTGGGTGGAGTAATGTGGAGTAATTGGATCCCAGATTAGTGAGTATTGTCACAACAGAGAGCAGTGGTTAATATTACACAACATGTATCCAATGTTTTCTTGTTCAGCCAAAGTTGTGTGTGTGTGTGTGTGTGAGAGAGAGTGTATGAGAGTGAGTGCGTGACTGTGTTGAGTTTGACTGTCCCCCAACATATCACTGATCAGTGCTGAGTGCCGCCTTTACAAAGGACGCAGCAGTGTAATTGATGCTGTGTTGGGTCCCACCGTTTTCGGGGTATTCTGCACAGAGCGCTGGTAGCCAACAGTGACCAGCTCAATGATGGCTAAACTGGATTTGCCACATGGCTGGCCTGCTGTGAATGAGTGACCTTCCGACAGATGGCTTTGATGCAGGGCAGCACTTGCCAAAGAGCCCATTTGGAGTTGGTAAAATAATGCCATTGAAACAAATCACTATTTTATATTTCACCCAGCCTGTGCCTAGATGTTTCACATTTCACTTGAACAACAATTGGGACTTGCAGGTGAATTTATATTCCCATTTGCCAGCTTCTATCTTTGAAATAAAATAAAATGAACTGTTGGACCTATTGTTTTCGCTGTCCTTAACTGGTGTGGTTTATTATCTGGTTTACTTCTCTTTGGTTCTTGGATGTAGGTTGTTTGACACTAGATAAGGTATCAGAAGTTTCCCCCCCTGCAATGCCCAGAAATGAGTGACTGGAAGCTTTGGTGCAGGTTTACAGTTGATCAAGGTTTGTGAAGGAAGTAGCTGAGAACGTGGCCTGTTTAAACCTCCCTGTGATTATATTTCCCTATAACTTTCCCTTGGCCTCGCAGGATATACTCTTGATTCTGCTGTCGACTTACTTCATACACACTAAACTATTCCAAAAGCGACGTCTTCAAGCGATTTCTGGCTCTGTAAATGAGCATGACTTCCCACTTCAACCAATTTTTGCGCCTCTGCTGTGGTTACTCGGGTTAATACTTAGGTGTTATCTTTAGGGAGCAGAATTGTGCTGCTATCTTAAAATCACTGCCAAAAGTATTACAGCATTGCAGGTGGACTGTGTTCCCTGCGGAATGCAGTCAAATACTGCCACTTGCTGGTGACACATTGGCAAGTGAAGCTGAGCACCGATTCAGTGCTAAATGGCCATTAATGGTCTATTTCACCCTTATTAGCGAGTTGGGAATTTGGTCACTATTTCCAGTCGGGTGTGGGGGGAAGAAACTAACCAAATAGTGAGATTCCCTAATAACTAACATACCCACTATTCCACCTAACCCTAACCTGTTTTTTTTCAATTTAAGATCAAGAAGATTTACGGGATATTCTTAATTTCAGTCTATATTTGGAAGCCTTTTTTTTTTTGCAGTTCATGAAAATTGAGCCGAAATCGAATTTCTGAACGCTGGGATGTGTTGGAGAATCCGTTCAGTTTGGGAGAAATTCAGTAATGGGTTCTTCAGTGCATTTACTGAGAGCCTGATTTTGATAGTCACCCGCATCTCAAAAGGTGAGTTCAATACTGCTCTGGTGGGCACTTTCACCTAAGAGACGTTACTGGTGCAGAAATAGATTGGAATTTTAAAGGAAAATTGTCATTTTTCTGATCCCGCATGTCGGTTGAACTTAGGCTAGGTCAGCAGTTGTTGTTCCTTCTTCTCAACAATGATTTGTCACCTGGACAGAGGGCACCTGGGTTATTGGAGATGTCTGTTGCAACTACATCAATACCACTTTTAATTGGGTTCAGAAATGCTCCTGTGATGGCCCGGTGGGTAAAGGTACTGTGAGGTGCAGCATTGGGCTACACTGGTTCAAGCCCCTGACGTGCTGAGTTATTGGCCTCGGGTAGAGCGGACAAAATTAACCAGGGATTGTTATCCAGGGATGTCTCTCTCTCGCTCCCTCCCCCCCTCCCCATGTGAGAAGGTACATGTGCCTGCATTGAATCAGTATAGGACCAGACTCGGTTACAACACCAGGGCAGGAACTGTGTCTGGCCGCATTTTCACCCACTTTTCCTCTCAATTCACCTGTCCCACCAACAAGACGTCCTGAAGCCTTACAAGCCCTTTGCTCAGCTGGAGAGGTCCCCGTTCAATGACGAGGGGAAGCTGTCGTGTTCCTGGAGGACATTCCAGGCTACACAGACTCTCCGCATATCACATTCAAACTGATGAAAAACAAGACATACATCCAGTGGCCACAAGATCAGGACGAGCAGCGCATTTTCTGGGTGAGACTCAGAGACGCCTTAACCACCGGTTGCGACTCGCACCAAACACGCGTGGAGTTTATTACTTCTCCTTTGGTACATTAAACAAAAGTCTTTAGGCGGCGTGCCTCGCTCTCTGAGCAATCGGTTAGGCAGTAAAACTCGCACGAGTCTGATCTGTATAAATCGTATAATCGCCCAAGTCGTACATTTGCCCAAATGCCGTTCAGGAGTTTATATTCTATGCAAGTTTGACATAACTCGTACTTTACCTAAGTCGTATTAAATGTATGGTCCCAACTGATACGACTTGTGTGAGTTTTACTGCACTTCAACGTAGTAATAGTAGTAATAATCCTTACATTTGATACGGCGCTTTTATCGTGTTGTCGAGATGTCTCAAGGCGCTCCACAGGATTTCACTGTGAAGTGAGTGCAGTGACGATCCACTGTCCGTTTGTAGGCACGATGCTTTTGTAAACATCGCTCTTTACCTGTCTGCACATTTCACTGCCTGGAGATTTCCAGGTTAAACATAATAATCAGAAGGAGAGCACTGTTCCCAAGACGCAAGATAACAAGATTAGTTTGGATGAAGAAGGCCCTTTGGCCCATCCGATGTCATCTGTTCAGGACACCCACCCTTTCGGTTTATCCCTTTCCTGACAATGGGCTATTTGCAGAATGTAATAAACGTTAGACCTGGTCAGCAGGTCTGGAGATCCAGTGTCTCTTACGTTTCAAAATAAAATGAAAACACATTTCAGCTCACTTTTTTAATTTTAATTTTGTTTGCTTTTATACCTCTAACCAATATCACCCGGTGTGAAGAAATGTCACACACTTTTGTCACCATCTAGTGGTTTCTTCTGTCAGAAACGCTTCTTTGACCTCCGATGGATGCGACTGATTTTGTACACTGTACTATATCCTGAATTTGGGTTTGTCAAATGGAACCAATTTTTTTTTCTCTTGGCAGTTGAAACCGAAGTTCAGTGACAGAGGTGAAGTAACCAGGAAATATTCTCCTTTCTCTCAACTTNAAAAAAAATACCATCCCAAGTAAAATGCACAAATTCAATCCCTAAGGAACACGCAAGCCAACCACGACTTGTCAACGTGCGTCATTTACATGTTAAAGCGCTCTTTAGCAAAAAAAAGAGTCCCACCACTTTGCGAGGGCGCATTTCCTATAAAATTATTGTTTTTAAATTCGATGTCGATTTTAATGCATTTCACAATCCATCACTCGCTCTATTCCATGTTACGCTGTGCGGCTGCAGGAATCACACTTGTGTATTAATAATC